GCATACATATTTTAAGCTTAAACCGTACACCATAAACTGTCCCTCCTATTTTGCCTTGACTTGAGTGGAATCGAAGTAAATGAACGCTAAGTTGAAGGCTATTCAAGCCGATTAAATAATCAGAAGAATGCCCAACCTTTCGGAATTGAAATCCCAGTCCTAAGAGCATCCCCACTCGTGGCGCTAAAACTCCAAAACTGCATACTCGTGGCGCTAAAACTCCAAAACTGCATTTTTTCAGTCAGATTTTAGCGTTTTAATTCTCCCACCGCGGGACTCTAACGACGCTACGCTAAAGTCAGATTATTCGTCAGATTTGACCGATTGGTTAAGTTCTGGCCAGCATACAATCAGCAATACATTTACACGTTTAGTATTACCTGGTTGCAATGGCATGACGCCATGTCGGCCAAGTACAGGTGCGTGTCCTCGCGGCCCCACATAGCGCAAAGCGCCGCTCAACGCTAAGTTAGAGTGAGTCCATGAGTCCTATCTTGTGTAACTCATCGACGCGACTGCATGTGACGTTTGTATGGTGAAGGATGACTGTCAGCATTGGCCATGTCCTTCGGCATGTGCCAACCTCGCCGACCGACGATGTTAACCTTACAGATTTGCGATTCTTGTAGGAAGCACACTGAAAGTTGGCGCCTGAACAGATGCAAGGACGACCAGGTCGCATGGAACCAGCGCCTGCATGCGTTGCCCCAGCACTGCACCCGCTCGCTCGTGTACGGTGCCCACATCACAGGCACTGGGACGAGCGAGCGGGTGCAGTCTCAACCAACGGAGCATGCCCCCTCCCCTTCTATTGCGACTTTTGGATTTCTGTTAACGCATGCGTAGACTATCAATCAAATATTGTGTATCTGTTCGTTTTCAAGCGCATGTAAGCGTAGACGCGATTATAGGTCGCAACCGCACTACTAGTAGTACCGGCAACGGAGTGCTACTACTGATGCGGCTTTCTAAGCGATATTCCCTGCTAGTAGTTCATTACACTGACTTGTTGGCATGCTTTGCCCTGAACTACTTTTATCCAGGCGATTCTGCGGCTTGGTGTCGTGCATCCATGCGAATAGAGTTGAATCGCTGTTTGGCAGCCGGTGTGAAATAGATGAAAAACGCTAAATTATTTTGCGTGATCCCACTTTAGATCTGGTTTTAGAGTTTTGGGTTTAGCGTCAGGGGTGGGGATGCTCAAAGCTGCATTCTACGACGAAGCCTCTTTCATGTGCACCATAAACTGGCCATCTACGTTAGTAGTAGCATGAGACGAATGAATTAAGTATGACGAAAGCGACATGACGCGCCTTGTTAAATTACTACTCCTTAACTATTAGTACTCCTAAATATATCAATGAAATAAATCAAAACGACAAATCCAACCACGGAATGTCCTCTGGGTCGTTCAGGGGCGACAGCGGCACTTCCCATGTATCGTCGTCGTCGTCGTTGTGAATGTCTGCAGGGTCGAACAACATCGAGTTGTTGTGCATCATGAGGCTACTGCCGCTGGAATGCTGATGTGTGGCCGACGGAATCGCAGACAACGACGGGCTGCACACGGCGGCGGGGCCTTTAAGACAATTCCTGGCCAGCACCATGGAGCGCGGATCGCGAGAGGACGGCGGGTGTTGTTCAAGCATGTCGCCAAACGTCAAGTTGTCCAAGATGGCGTCGTCAATCATCTCGTCCTTGATTTGATCCGACGTCATGGGTTCGGACTTGACCTTCTTCTCAAACGGCACAAACCCCATCAGGTCCGCAGGCTTTGTGTTGATAGATGCCGAGCTGCTTGTGCGCCAAAGCGGAGGCCGCATGCTCATGTCGGCTTGGTCGAGCGATCGCACAGCCACGAGGGAGCCGGTGGACGGGTTTTCCTTGACGCCAAACATCGTCGATGATTGCATGTGATGGGTTCGCTGCTTCATCATGCCTGGCATCTCTTTTCGACCACCACCATTCAAGTCAACAGCCGGCGGCGCCATCATTTGGGCAGTTCCAGGTTTCAGGGCGGGCGACATGTTGTCGGTCTTGATCAGCATCGTCGCTTGCTTGTTTTGGGTCGACAACGGCTTACTTGATGGAGACGAACACAAATCCCCTGCGGTTACGCCAGTCGATGTGTTGCTGTGGTTGTTGATGTGGATGGGGGCATAAATGGGCGTATCTTGTTCCGATGGGTACCGTTGCTTCGTGCTCAAAGGGTCGATCCATGGGTCCTTGGCCTTGCCTGCGCCTCGTCGCTTGATGTGCACGAGCAAGTCAGGTCGTCCCTGTCGGAAATGCGAGTGCTGGTAGATGATGGCACTGCCTTCCGTGACTTTGTAAAAGCTGTAAAAGTTAAGCTGGCGGATCAAACTGGAGAAGCGGCCGTGCCGAAAGTACTTGGGGAGAAAGGTCTCGGCCAACACTTTGGGCTGCACGATGCAAAACGCTGTGCCTTCTCGGATCCACGTCACGACCGAGTCCGGTTCGGTCTCGACCATCGCGAACAGCTTGGTGACAAAGCTCCCGCTCGCATTGTTCATCGGGTCGGTTGAATCTGTGTGGGGGGTCGTTGGTAAGTCCCCAAAGCCTCTGCACAACAAGTCGTTTTCTTCATGGGTTGGCATCCTCAAGGGATGCATGCTGTTGGATGTGTTCAGGTTCATTGTGATTCCCACGGCTGTCATGGTGTGTGTCTTTTCCTCCTACGATCTGTCGCGGCGGCGGTGGCGGCAACGGATGAGCTTTTCGGAGGTTCAGCCAAATTGGCAACTGAATGCTGTCCGGGCAAGGTAAAATAATACAATAATTTTATAAAAAGCATTTTATTGCACGGTTTTGGCATTCATCCCTCCGTGGGGTACTTTAAAAAAATATAGATCGTGTGGTTGCGTCAATATGGCGACATTTAAAAAAATGCAGCCAGGGGACGGGACAGACCATCACTCCTGGGACGGGGGCTTTGTACTACTTGCTCGCGCCTATACAAACTCCAAGTGGTGCGTCGCAACAAGTCTCGCATTCGATTGGCTCATTTACATTGAAGTTGAAATATTGGCGTATGATTGGCTGAATTTGACCACCATGTGGGCAATCGAAGATATTTTTATTAAATTCGTTGAAGTTCAACGTTGGGACCTCATACAAGGTTGAATAATAATATTGCCCGAGCGTTTCGTATTTTTTGTCGATACCGTGGGTGCGTGCGTTCAGCATGTATGTATCCTGTGCCATGTGGAGTTTTTTATTTTCCCCATGTTTGTATCGAACGGTTTTTAAAATATGCTCCAAATTTCGAACATCGCGTCGCCTGACCTGTGGAATTGGGCCGCGCCGATTGGCTCGCGCCTCGCTCCACGTGGCGACCATACAAATTTCAAGTCACCGTTGACTTCAACTTGAAGTTGCCGCGACGACGGCGCCCTGCCATTAACGACTTTGCATTTTATGACCCCGTGCAACCCGCAATATAAAAAAGTACTTGATAAATCAATGGCATGCCCATATTTTCTTGTGGCAACAAGGATATCCTCCAAAGTTCCGCTGCGGTATCACAGTATCTTGGACGAGGGAGCGTCACCATCGTGTCCACATGCGATATCCATGAAACCACAGATAAGTATACTGTAGACCGACGGGCGGCACGAGCGCACTTCCGTGCCGCTGGTGGCTTGGGTTGTTGGGGTGCGTTGGAAGTGGGTTCGAAATGGAACCGATGGTACTACTTGAACGAGTGACAAAGGAATGAACCATGATCTAGTTGGATATAAACAGGTTTCGTTGTGTTGTGGTGTCTGAGGTTGGCATGATCCGACGACGAAGGGGGAACGTCGGATAAGAATGACGGCGGCGGCGGTTTCATGACATGTCCAAATCCCTTGCATCGAGGCGGCATATCACAGCGACACGTTGGTGGCATCCACCGATTGGCTTGGCATGTTCAGATGCTCCAATGGAGATGCAAGAGATGCGCTGTCTTGTGTACTAATGTTAGTACTCGAACGAGCACAAGAGATAGATCCCACATGTGAACCCCCCCAATCAGTACATAAGTACTGGAACGACCCTGCCCAACCATATCCGTCGTTATCGAAAGTTAACAATCGTCGTTAAAGAACTTGGACATGTACGGGCCATCCAGTTCGTAGCCAAGCTTGCGGTAGTAGTGCCGCGTGCCAACCCCTACAAATATATGTACATACAGTACATATAAGTTAGTTAGGATTTCATCATACACTCGGTAGTAAAGTGTTCGATAGATATACGGTAGGTATACTGTACAGTACATAAAGCTGGTGCAATATGGACAACCGGTTGTTTGACCTAACTTACCAGCAATGACAACGATCTTGGCCGAGTTGTGTTCATCCCGTGCAATGCGCTCGGCCTCTTCCATCAAGAGCGTTCCAAATCCCTAAAGGTTCACCATGAGATGGACATATCAGTACATGTCGTCGTACTTGGTGTTGGAACTTGGTCGGGTCGCGGGAGTGGATGGGGACGGCGGATCCGTACACGTGAAGTTCGCGGACGATGGAAGTTCCCGGAGGAATTTCTTTGCGAAAGGCCGTGGCACTGTGTACATGTACGAGATATACATTACGGTATATATCTCCATAACTCATTACGGATATGGAAGGTACCGTACCTGGCTTGGCGCAGCCGCAAAAGACCCACGAGGATGTCTTGGGCGACGTCTTCGTAGGCCAAGAACGTCTCCCATCTACCAACGTCTAGTAAATTGAGTGCTACTACTGCTAGTAATACTAGTAGTACCCGCCGTTGGCGACGTAGTCCCGACGGACCAACTCGACTTGGTCTGGCAAGATTTGATCGTGGATGCCCTTCATTCCCACTTCCCGAGTTCGAATATCTCGACACGCCACCCCCTTCACACATCTCAATCGTCCTCCCCCTCTCATTTGATATATATATATACAATATGGCGTACCAGGTCCTTCATTCGGGCTAGCGCCAGCTCGCGCAAGTTGCCATTTTCAACGCCTGATGTGACCAGCGGCATCGGAATGTCTCGCTGGATGCGATACACGCGCGTCCACGGTGGCACGAGCGCCAGGAGCCGCGCCATCAGGTCCACGAGTTCGTCGGGCGAGTAATTCTACCAGATTGTTTGACCCATATGGCAATTATATTGGTAGAGTACTTTGTAGTGGCCAGTTTTCCACAGTTCGTACAGCCCCGTGCCTCGAATGACAAGAGTGGGGTAGATCTTGAGCCCATCCGTACGAAAGAGGGGGTTCTCAAAGTATTCTTTGAACCCGCTCAAGTCGCGTTCCATGCCTGTATCATCAACACCGTGTCACATGTTTCCGTATACTCGAGAAGTATCTTGATACGGATACTGTATCCGTAGAGCCTGTATCGATAGTACCCATATTCGGCAGGTCGGGCATCATGTGCGCCACGATCTTGTACCCGCAGTCTTTGGCGAGTTGAAACGAATGACACACCTAGGATGAAAATAGATATTTCGCTTTTTAGCCTGTATATGATCAATATATATATATATTTTTCTTACGGCGGCGACAGTATGGCCCCGATTGGTATCTCTGGCCACATCTTCATAGATGCTTTGGACGCCGATTTCGATCCGAGTACACCCATAGGACAACATGTCGTTCAAATGCGGTTTCAGGCAGTAGTCTGGCCGTGTTTCCAACGTAATGGCCGTACACTACCCCATTCATAATATTATACTCGGAACAATATATCGGTATTACTACGTATATAATATATTTATACCTTGGTCTGGCCCTGTTCCGAGTACCGCACGGCTTCCGCCACAGAACTAGACGTATGTCCAGAGAGAGCATCGTGGAGATTGCGCATAAACCAGTCCCGGTACTCCCTGTCCAGCGATAGAAACGTCCCCCCCATTACGATAAACTCTACCTATACATCATATTATTAAATATTATATATATACATATTATTCCAAACTGGCATTGGAAAACAATGGACACAAGTTTTTAGCCAATCAGATTGGGTTCTGGTCCCCAGTTAGCTTGTGATTGGATCGTAGAAAGTAACATAATTGACCAAACAATCGATTCAGCACAATCGATCGCTAGATGTGGACAAAATCACCATACTAGAGTTCAAATTGGACTGAAAGGGACCATATCAGGAACGATATATCGAAGGGCGGCATACTTTGTCGACGTTGTGGCCCAGGCGCTTGAGTTGGTCGACGCGGGTCTTGGTCTGCACGTACGGATTGTACCTGGCTCGAATCGCGCGCATGCTCGTGGGCTCGTACCCAGTGTATGCCTTCAAATAGTGTGAGAAACACATCATGCACATGCAAACGTACTTGGGTCGAGTACTCAAAGTCCGAGTCGGGGCCGCCTGGACAGTAGACGCAGATGTTGCCTGTCATTGCGATGTGGGGGCATCGATGGGGTTTGCACATTACAGCCTGGCAAAGACAAAAGTCGATAGAATCGTAACGTGATAATGTAGATATGTATGACGTACCACGACTGCAATGCCCGACGCCGTGCGCACGGGCTTGGCCTTCAAGTACGGCAGCAACTCGTCCCGGTATTCCTCTGGGATGGCCGAGATGATGTCGACGAGCTGTGGATTACACGACGATGAGTACGATAAGGCTATATAGAGTATGTACGCAACAGTACGAACCTTGGGCATGGATGGAAGCTTGTACACCTTGGCAACGTCGTTCTTCAACCGCGTCATGTTGACAGGGTCTTGCTTCTCATACGCCTTGATGATCTCGTCAACGATAGCAGATATCGCCTTGACGTATGTCTTGGAATCGACGACTACATGGTGGACACGCATAAAGGTCCCACACACAGACCAGTGCACGCCGGTACAACGTACATACCCATGATGCGATCGACAGCGCTCAACCAATTAGCACACCAGCGTGAATATTCTTTACTGATGTAAACAAGTTTTAATCAAATCACGACTGTTTATTAGTCACTTTTTGTTAAGAAATATGGCTCCTTTTGTGAACATCGCAATCAAAGTAATCACCACATAAATGAATTTCAGACATAATTAACTAAATGCACTAAGTGACTTCATTGCTGTATGTATAGTCTATTTTGAGCTGCAATTGCTGTGTTTCAATATGATATATTTACGAACTGGCCAATGGTGTGAAATTATGTATTTTTGTTAAACTATTTGAATAGTTTAACCCTATTTTAACCTACACGTTATATCACAATGTGTGCGTTTGCTGAATTAAAACGTCGGATTAAAACCGCGTTTTAATGGTTAGCAACATTTGGCCTGTTCTGAGTTTCATCATCAAGCGTTTAAGTACAAGCATACAAATCCCAATACGTTTCAGAAGTAGTACCTATTCCTTGCCTGAAGTACTCGTACGGTACTTCTTGGTTGGAATTGATCAACAGAACTCGAGGACCAGGGTCACCCGATTCCTCATGCGCCGACCCCAAGACGACGAGGCTGCGGAGGTGAAGTCGGTGTCTACACCCATGGATTCGGCGTACAGGTTCACAAGCACGCCGCCGCACGACGTGCAGTTGATCGCGGGCTCGGCCTCAAGGTACAAGTCGACGCACGAACATCACACACATCACTTCACTCATCGTCGCGTTGTACAGGGAACCTGAGAACCCACTACCATCGACAAAGCCTCCCAGTTGCGTCCAAGAACCCTCCTCCATCAAGCTCTGGTCGAAAGCCACGCTTGTCAAGGTGCTGTGGTTCTTGGCCGACGTCGTGTTTTCGTTGTCGCTTCTGTTGGCGACGGCGGTTCGCGGCAGTGCTCTGTCTTCGCTATACCTCCTGTCATGGATCATCGGCATTCTGTACTCGTTCAAGTCGCGCGCGCTGGCCGCGTTTACGATCCTCGTGGCCACGGTCGGGGTCGCCGCCAACACGTACTGCATCGTGTGGTACGAAACCGCGCGCGCCAACGACGACAACGCCGCGATGCTCAACCTCCCCACGAACCAATCGGTGGCGGATATGTTTCCAATCCCGGGCAAGGACATCTTGGCCGTGGTGGGGATCAAGTACATGGAGTCATGGGACGACTACATGTTTGGAGTGGGGCCAGATGTGCTGATTTTGGTGTCCACGAGTGTGCACTTGTACTTCATCTACCGACAGCGCAAGACGCAGGACGCCGCCATCCCCATCACGATGCCATCCGCTACCGCCGCCCCTTCCTCGTACTTTTCCAAGGAAGCGCTCGTCGTGATCCTTCGAGGCAGCGAGCTTATCGTGCTCGTGTCGCTGCTCCTGTGTGCGTTCTCGTCCCCGGGGTACCTTGGGGCGCTGTACTACCTCGTTTTCACCTACTGCTTGGTTGTATGGACGTTCTGGAGCCCCAAAATCACCCGAAGCCAGCTCGAACGCCACCAGTCGACGTTTTGCTACTTTTTTGGCCCCACGTCCATGAAACTCATGATTGCGTATACGATCCCCGTCCTCTTCTTCTGGTACGATATATATGATTGGTGTAGCTACAAATGGAATCTTAAACCATATATATATATATTCTATCCCTTGAAGTATTTGTAGGCTCTATATATATATATATATTTAATACATCGTGGTCGTGTTGTAGCCATGGGTACCAATACCCGCAATTGCACGATTCAGCCGTGGGTCGGCACATTGGACAATACGCCAATATTTTCGTCTTGCCAGGGGTGCGTACATATATATTTGTTTGAACGTCAACATTTTGATGTATTATGTATATATATATATATATATATATAATCTAAAAACTGCCCAGATTGGCACCTGTTTTGAACAGTATGATACATATGTATTTAAAACAATCCACCTCTACACATGAACAACCATTCTATTTGAACACGTGTTGTCTTCCTTGTTCATATTAGCTTACCATGTTGCTCATATTCCTGATATTCTATCTCGTACATTCCTCCATGTAGACATGGGCGAATTGGCAAGGCTACGTCTTCTACGGGTCCACCCTCTTCCTGCTCGCCACTGCCTCGCGCACGTACCCCATCTACCTGCAACTGGCGTCGTCGTCGCTTCCGGCCTCCTCTTCGTCTGATGCCACGTCCGCCGTGTCATCAGCATCCCTCCAACGGGTGCCGTCGACTGGCGAGTCCGTCTACCACGACTCGCAGCCGCTCGTGATGTCGTCCAGTCTGCGACACCGTCGCCTCCGAGACGGCTCTGCCAACAACCTGTCGTCCCAAGCATCATCCTTCTATTCCGCCCGCGAATCGGTCCACAGCGACGACACCCCCCACGAGTCGGAACATGCCGCCATCGTGTCCGCCCAGGACCTTTTGCACCAGGAAAACCTTGTCGTCCGCGTCTTCCTCGAAGATCGGGGGGTGCTGGGGGCGATCGCAGCCGCCGTCTTCTGGTGTGTGTCGTACCCGTCGCACCTCCTCGGCGTCCTCTTCGGCATGGCGCTCGTGACACTCGGCACGTACGGCCTCGTGATCCCGCGCCTGCTGCTGCTCGTGCTCAACTTGTACGCGGTCGTCGTGTCCGTCGTCACATATGCCCTGGACGTGCCCATCCTCGTCTCGTTCCAGTGGGTTCAATCCCAAAAGGCTTTGCTTGGAGTCACGAGCTCCCAGTTTCCGCTCGTGGACCTGTCTATCCACCACTCGTGTCTGATTGTCATGTGCTTTTGCCTGCGTATTCGTCTGCGATACCGTGACCTTCTTCGAGAACTTCGAGATGACCAAGCACTTGAACGACTCAACGCCCAAGTCCGCATCTCCGCCTTGTCCGACATGTCTGCCGCCGACACGCCGTCCCGCGTGCAGCATGACAACTTTCAACCGGTAAACAATATCCGGCAGACTCGTTTTTTTGTTACATATTGGGCTTTTCACAGTCAAATTTGCCTATTTTGGGGGATTGATGAAATCGAACAAAGGATATGATTGGCTATAAAGAATGAAGAAGGTTGCAATTTGATTGGCTGAAAAGATTGATTAGTCACAAAGATACCTCTTCAAATTAATTTATATGAAATTTCGAAGTTCCGGCGATTGTTTGGCGGTTCATTCAACCAAAAATTTTGAGTAGAATACACAATACTTATTATATATATATATATATATATATACTGTATATACAGTGGATAAGTGATGGGATGGTATGCACTCTAGTTTGGTATACTTTGTGTTGGGTAGTAGCTGTACGTGTTCTGAATTGTATACTTCAACTCGAATGTTAAATACTACTAACGTTATATACACATATGCAAAGTCGACGAATATTCTCAGTCAGTTTGATTTTTCTTTTTGAGCACATGCATATATTATATATATTATAATAGATCCGTGACCAATTCGTGTGCATAACGTTATATATATATATATACATTTGAGTACTCATGTTTCCATGCTGTGAAAATAACTAGCACCGGATGACGTACTTGGAATTGGCTGCGCTTTGGTTCAAGGACATGCAGTGTGTGCTCGTATCACTCCTGGACACCACCGTACTGTTTACGATCTTTGGTACGTCGCATAATATTATATACACGATAGACTATATGTCAAATATAATTTATTAATATTTCTCACTGGATATCTATCCCAACTAGTCACGGTGCTCAGCACGTCAGTAAATTTGCTCCAAACGGGGTATCTCATGTTGGCTGCGTTTGTGGCCGTGTTTCAGCGTCTACGACGGTACACTTGTCGAATCTTAATTCTCCGCTCGATTTTATATACTAGTATATATTATATGTTCCGATATATATATATAATTATTTATATATATATCGATTTCCGCATTCTCTCGTTATCAAACCAAAACAATGGGATACTCTTTATATCGTCGTGTGCGTTGACGACATAGTAAATTGTCCTTCCAGTCAAAATCTTAACTAACTTGCTATATCCATCAATGAATCATTTATACTATATGTTGTATATAAAACCAAAAACGTTATCCAGCAGTGATATGCCCATCCCACACTAAATTCAATTAGTCACACACTAATTAGCTGTTTCTTGTTGATTGACCGGATGATATCCTGCAATCTGATTGGCTCGTTGCTTTTCTGTATAATCTTGACTCGATACATTCTCCAATACATCGTTCCAGTTGTTTCGAACGAAAGTACGAAGCGCCACAATATATATATATATATATATATATATATGTATATATATTATTCTGTACGAGTCCTATGTCATAACAATATTATTCTGTACGAGTCCTATGTCATAACAATATATGTATATATATATACTTTACGTAGTCGCATGTGGCGGTACTTGCTCGCGTATACCCTCGTGGTGTGCTTCTTAATGTACATTTGGAACGTGGTGTGCCCGACTTCGTTTGACCGGACGACTATGGAGACGGTGGGGCTCACGTGCTTTGCCGGGGCCTCGCCAGCATCTTCCTGGAACGTTCTGTGGCCGACGCTGTTCATCGCGCAGCTGATTCTGATCGTCCAGGTCGTGATCCAGCTTGTCATTTACATGAAATCCGACTCGGGGCGACCCGACCGCGACGCGATGATGCGGCAGGCCCCGGGGCGGCCCATATACTTTATCTCTCGGCTAACATTAGAAGTGGACCTGGTGTTCCGATTGGTGGGGGGCGTGGTGGCGTACGCCGGCTTCCTCTTCCTGGGGTTCGTGTACGAAGTGGACGCAGACGGCCGCGTGACGCTGATCGGACTGCTCCAAGTGCTGCTCATGTTTACGTTGCTCGGGTCGCATATGGGCAGTATGGTCAAATCGCCGCGGGGGAACTCGACCAAAACGCAGTTTCTATGGCGACTTGTGCTCGTCTACGAAGGGATCGTGCTTGTCCTCCGGTACATTTACCAGTTTCGAGCGGTGGAGGACTTTATCCGGACGCATTGGCACCTCACGAATGTGCTCACGATCGAAGACTTTGGCTTGAAGCGGTACTCGGACACGAACGAATTGTCGGGGTTGTTTGCGTACCTATTTCCCACGGCACTGGTAACTTTAAACCTTTTGCTCATATTTCTTCACTTGCAATAATATGTATGGAATCGAGTGGTGGATTTATCTATATTTTTATATTATTTTATTTTTTATATTATGTTTTATATTATATTATGTTTTATATTATATTATGTTTTAGATTATATTATGTTTTAGATTATATTATGTTTTATATTATGTTTTAGATTATATTATGTTTTAGATTATATTATGTTTTATATTATGTTTTATATTATATTATAAAAGTAAAAACGAAGGACACGTGTTTTTCAATATACTGTATAGATTGAAAAATATTTTTATTTTATATAGACATATTTTTTTATATCATGTCTTGGATGTCACGCTCAATGAATGTACTGGTTATTTCGACATTGGATCTACGTATTCTGGTTGGTGTCGACGGGTGTTATTTATACTCGTGCATGTAGTACTTACTACTGATTGCATTTCGAGCTTCATTTCTATATTTCACGACCACGTATAATATATATATCGCTGATACATTTCCGCCATACCATATAATATATAAATATATCTTTGGTCCCACGGATATTACATTCCTGCATCGTGTTTTATCATATACTTATATAGTTTGTGTGTATATATATAATGTGTATATATAAAGTGTGTGTGAATGAATATATATAGTGTGTATATGTATAGTATATACATAATGTGTATATATAAAGTGTGTATATATATATAATGTGTATATATATAGTGTGTGTATATATATTTTATTAATATATATATACGATAGTCCGTTGAGTTGGTTATATCCTTGTACAAGATCTACTGTTAATACCATTGTTTCGACCACCTGTGTTATGTTGTTGGTAGTTGGCAGCTGTGACAGCGTGGCACTTGCGTTCCATGAAGCGCAAGCTGCCGACGTACGAGATCCTGACGCCGGGCCGCAGTGTCGCGATGGATGGCGTGGTGGCGGTCATGGCGGAGTTCAAGCGCATGGTGTTCGTCAACAGTCCGATTGTGTTGCTGCTGTTCAATATGGGCGTGGTGTGCCACAACATCAACGCGTTCAACGTCACGTACTTGTCGCTGTTACTTGCGACACTGTTCAAGCCCAAGTGGACCGGGTCGTGGAAGTCTCTCTTCTGGCTCTCGTCCTTCTTCGTGCTCTGTTTGTACGCGTTCCAGGCGCGGTCGCTCCAGCCAGACAAGCTCGCCGTGTTGTTCGGGTCCGACTTTGCCGCCAAAGTCGAAGAAAATGCCAACTGGTTTGGCCTCGCACGGATCAACAAGGCACTGGCGACCTCCTCTTCGTCCTCCTCTTCGACTGACACGGCGAATGGCGGCAACTACTTCCACGCGACAATTTGGTCCATGACGTGGCAACACCTCGTGGTCATGCTGCTGTGCGTCGTGACCCGGGCCTCGCACTTCTGGGACCCAGACAAGGACAAACCAGTCGGCCGCCGGCGCAAACACCACCAGCAGCCCAAGCGCCGCGAGACATCCGAGAGGTGGATGGCCGACGCCGAAGACGCCGATGAATATGAAGACGGCGGGGGAGGCGCGCCTCTGTTGAAGTCCCTCCAGGACTTTAGTGTTCGGTTCGTGTCGCAGGGATCTGTGACACTGACCATGCTCGTTCTGCTCGTGAGTGCATTTGTGCATCTCAACAGCATCAGCGTCGTCTACTTGGTGGTCGTGCGGTGGATCCTCGCGGCCAACCCCGTCACAGTGTGCCGCAACTGGACGTACCTCGCCATGATGCTCGTCTTCGTGTGTGTGACACAGTACTTTGTCATGCTGTGGCTCCCGCCGTTTATGAACCGACCGCGCCAGTCGCTGCCGCCATGGACGTGGTTTGAGTTTGTCTACCAAGAGTACTTTGCACTCAACTTTCAGCACCCGTGGGGCCTCTTCTGCGACTACATGTGCCTTCTCGTGGTATTTATGATACCTGGTGCGAAAACCTACTACTTAGAGATGGAGCAGCGCGAAGGGGCGGCGGCGGCGCGCGCGGCGCAACTGCTCGTGTCCGGCCACGTCGACTCGCCCCCCGTCAGCGGCGGCCCCGTGCCCGGGGACGTCCACGACTTCACGACCGACGCCCTGCGGAACCAGCGGCCGTGGCGCCTCCTAGTGTTTGTGGTTATGAACTACTGGGTCTTTGGGCTGCTCGTACTCGTGTTCGTGTCCGGATGTGTGCGGTCAGGCGTCACATCTGGCATTTACTTGGCGTTCGCCATCTACATGCTGCTGCACGTACATGCTGTGGACGACCCCCAGAGTAAAATGCTGTGTCGGCTGCGCGATGTGTCGTGGGGGTACTTGTTTCTGCTCATCTTGTTTCAACTGCCCGTGTTTAGCGATGTCACAGATCAATGTGAGATCGGCACCAACAGCCAATCAGATGGCGTGTGCCTGTCGTTGCCGGCAGTTCTAGACTTTAACAAGTTGCCCAAGAACTACCCAGGCGCCCCCCCGTTGCACAGCAACTTGCCCATCCTGTCGATATTGATCTTTTGGATGACCAACATTCAGGAACTCATCTTTCGGTCCCCCATGTACGACTACGTCCGCGCGTACACGAGGCGCCAACACGACCAGAGTCATGACCGACGGAAAGCGCTGCATGCTGAGGTGGGGTTTATAATATATATATATATGACTAAGGGTGCATATATATATATATATTTTTGCCAAGACATATCCCTAGTGTGATGGAAATAAACAACTTGTATATATATATGTATGGTCATGATTATCGTGTTGAGACTAGCTATATGCTGATTTATTTTAAATTTGACTCGTGTGTGTGTGTTGATTGTTTGGTTTATGATCGTAATATATATATATTCGATATAGTATTCGGGTGGGTATCAATCTTTTGATTTGTGTTTATATATATATATATAACTTGCGGATTTGTTGTCGGTAGGTGCTACTGGATCGACTGGAGCGGTGGACAGCACTCAAGCAGGAAAAGCAGGCGGCGATTCTGCGCCTCAAAGCCATCATCTCGCGCATGGTCAACAAGGTCGAGGAGATGATGGACATCGCATCGGGACTCAACTACAGCCTCCCGCCGTCCGCGCCCCTCGCGCCGACCATCGTGCCCCACGAAACCACCCAAAACGCTGTCACAGTCACGTGGAGCCCGCCACCAGGCCCCTTGCTGCATCGCATTCGGTACTACGTTGTCACACGCCAAGTACGACCAGTTCGTTGTATTTGATTATATTGCTGCTTCTTTGGTGGGCGATTTTGTGTATTTATATATATATACATATATCATTATATGATAATTGTATTCATGAATATGGATGGCCATACGAGTTGAATATATATATATATATATATTATAACGGTGTGTTCTTTTGTCAAGTGGGTATTGTGTGTTGTATTAAAAATATTCTCCCGCACCGGCAACCTCACCGGACCTGCGAAATGTAATATATAACTAAGTTTAATAGGTATGTTTGTGACTATTCTTTGGTTTGAGCCAATCCTATTCCAACCCTTCCTTGTTTTTAGCCAATCATGCTGTTTTGCTTGATTTCAACAATCCTCCAAAATTGGCAAATTTCAGCATTATATATTGTCCTTTCGAGTGAAATTTCGTGTTGTGGCGTGGTTTCTTGTTGGAATTTAAATCGATTTGATTGGCTACCTCAGAAGAGCTCAAAATTATTAACTAATCAAAACCTTCTAAATGAAATTTAACCAATCAGATCGATTGTGGATCGGTTTGGTTGGCGCGAAATTTGATTGCACCCCCTCCCCAAATTTGTATCAAGTCGACAATAGTCGTATTCAAATCCTTTTGATCGCTCGTACTTCTTCAAATATTATTATATAAATATATTGCTCAAATCCGTTCTTCCTTACTAGTATATGGTTAAAAATTCATACCAAGGCCGACTGACTCGTCGAAATCTTTACACTTTCGACACTGTATCACACTCTCGACACTGTATATAGGTGTACCCGCCGACGACTCTGCTGGGCGACTACACGGATCCGGTGGAAGTGAAAGCTGCTGCTGCTGCTCCTTCTACTTCGTCCGGCGGCGTGCCCACGCGGGTGGTCGTGGACGGATTGCGTCCAGGGACGTCGTACCAGTTTAAAGTGTCGGCGGCATCTCGCATGGGCGAAGGGCCGTTCAGCGCCCCGTCCGCTCCGATCCAGACGATTCCGTTGAATTGGGGCGGCACATGCTTGGCGGGGTGGGTGCAGTACCACAAGCAGCGGTGGCCGGCGCCGTGGACCAGTCGGCTGTGGTTTCATGCCAAGATGCTGCCCCGGTACGCCGTCATCGACAGCCACGCGTTTGTGTGGTACAAGAACGAAGCGATGGCCCTCAAGCACCGCAGCATGAAGAAACGCAAGCGCATGAAAACATCCTTCTTGACAAGGGACGTGTCCCTATGCGACCTCTCCGAGTCGACGTATGGCCTCGCCCAAGTGTACGCGATTCACGTCGTGGCCATCGCACGCAATGCCCATCAAGTGCGCTATACGATCCAGCTGGAAACGGCCGACGATTTCGACCGGTGGGTGGTGGAGCTGGGCTCGTTGGTGCCTCGGCACGCCGTGGGCGACCGATTAGAAGCGTATTTGGAGGCCAAGGGGGTGCCCCTGCCGCCGCTGGAACAGATGGGGATGGCAGATGACGACGATGATGAGGACGGACACCGCAGCGAGTGGAGCAGTGTCACAGGGGACGAAAGCTGGCTTAGTGACGCCGAAGACGAAGAGCTCTGCGAATCCAGAAACATCGCGGCACTTGTGTACTTGGCCGTGTACTCGTTCTTTTATGTACGTGGTTTTGAATGGATGGATACGAGGGACAGCGGAAGGGTGGAATCTTGTAGAATGGCCTGGATATATATATATATATTATATATATATGTGTGTGTTACTCTTTTCTCTGGATTTGAAATTGTACTGAATTATATAATTATATAGTCGCTGTTTTTTACATGTACAAGAACGAAGCGATGGCCCTCAAGCACCGCAGCATGAAGAAACGCAAGCGCATGAAAACATCCTTCTTGACAAGGGACGTGTCCCTATGCGACCTCTCCGAGTCGACGTATGGCCTCGCCCAAGTGTACGCGATTCACGTCGTGGCCATCGCACGCAATGCCCATCAAGTGCGCTATACGATCCAGCTGGAAACGGCCGACGATTTCGACCGGTGGGTGGTGGAGCTGGGCTCGTTGGTGCCTCGGCACGCCGTGGGCGACCGATTAGAAGCGTATTTGGAGGCCAAGGGGGTGCCCCTGCCGCCGCTGGAACAGATGGGGATGGCAGATGACGACGATGATGAGGACGGACACCGCAGCGAGTGGAGCAGTGTCACAGGGGACGAAAGCTGGCTTAGTGACGCCGAAGACGAAGAGCTCTGCGAATCCAGAAACATCGCGGCACTTGTGTACTTGGCCGTGTACTCGTTCTTTTATGTACGGGTATTGTGTGTTGTATTAAAAATATTCTCCCGCACCGGCAACCTCACCGGACCTGCGAAATGTAATATATAACTAAGTTTAATAGGTATGTTTGTGACTATTCTTTGGTTTGAGCCAATCCTATTCCAACCCTTCCTTGTTTTTAGCCAATCATGCTGTTTTGCTTGATTTCAACAATCCTCCAAAATTGGCAAATTTCAGCATTATATATTGTCCTTTCGAGTGAAATTTCGTGTTGTGGCGTGGTTTCTTGTTGGAATTTAAATCGATTTGATTGGCTACCTCAGAAGAGCTCAAAATTATTAACTAATCAAAACCTTCTAAATGAAATTTAACCAATCAGATCGATTGTGGATCGGTTTGGTTGGCGCGAAATTTGATTGCACCCCCTCCCCAAATTTGTATCAAGTCGACAATAGTCGTATTCAAATCCTTTTGATCGCTCGTACTTCTTCAAATATTATTATATAAATATATTGCTCAAATCCGTTCTTCCTTACTAGTATATGGTTAAAAATTCATACCAAGGCCGACTGACTCGTCGAAATCTTTACACTTTCGACACTGTATCACACTCTCGACACTGTATATAGGTGTACCCGCCGACGACTCTGCTGGGCGACTACACGGATCCGGTGGAAGTGAAAGCTGCTGCTGCTGCTCCTTCTACTTCGTCCGGCGGCGTGCCCACGCGGGTGGTCGTGGACGGATTGCGTCCAGGGACGTCGTACCAGTTTAAAGTGTCGGCGGCATCTCGCATGGGCGAAGGGCCGTTCAGCGCCCCGTCCGCTCCGATCCAGACGATTCCGTTGAATTGGGGCGGCACATGCTTGGCGGGGTGGGTGCAGTACCACAAGCAGCGGTGGCCGGCGCCGTGGACCAGTCGGCTGTGGTTTCATGCCAAGATGCTGCCCCGGTACGCCGTCATCGACAGCCACGCGTTTGTGTGGTACAAGAACGAAGCGATGGCCCTCAAGCACCGCAGCATGAAGAAACGCAAGCGCATGAAAACATCCTTCTTGACAAGGGACGTGTCCCTATGCGACCTCTCCGAGTCGACGTATGGCCTCGCCCAAGTGTACGCGATTCACGTCGTGGCCATCGCACGCAATGCCCATCAAGTGCGCTATACGATCCAGCTGGAAACGGCCGACGATTTCGACCGGTGGGTGGTGGAGCTGGGCTCGTTGGTGCCTCGGCACGCCGTGGGCGACCGATTAGAAGCGTATTTGGAGGCCCCGGGGGTGCCCCTGCCGCCGCTGGAACAGATGGGGATGGCAGATGACGACGATGATGAGGACGGACACCGCAGCGAGTGGAGCAGTGTCACAGGGGACGAAAGCTGGCTTAGTGACGCCGAAGACGAAGAGCTCTGCGAATCCAGAAACATCGCGGCACTTGTGTACTTGGCCGTGTACTCGTTCTTTTATGTACGTGGTTTTGAATGGATGGATACGAGGGACAGCGGAAGGGTGGAATCTTGTAGAATGGCCTGGATATATATATATATATTATATATATATGTGTGTGTTACTCTTTTCTCTGGATTTGAAATTGTACTGAATTATATAATTATATAGTCGCTGTTTTTTACATGTCATGTGGCATATCAACGACAATGAGCAGATATGTTTGTTCGCAACGGGTTGCAATATATATATATATGTATTGATTGCATTCAATGTATTGTGTTGTCGTTGGAAGGATGTATAATAATCTCAAGTTGATATATATATATATATATATTGATATATATAGTCGCTCCAAGATGCATCGATGCGCCACGAGTCCCAAGTATACGAAGAAGACGACGAGATGGTTCCGTCGTGGTATGAAATGCTCACGATGATCATCAACGCGTTTCGGAGCAACTCGCGCAACGTGTGCTGCGTCGCGTTCCTGTGCAGTTTTGTGTTTCAGGTACATATATATATATATATATATTAGATAACTATCATATATAATATATCCATATCTGGGACGAATAACATCAATATACGAAACTAATATCTTTGAATAGGGCGATTTGTTGAATGTCGTGTACGTGTTTGCTGCGTTTGGGTTTCTCTTGGTGGAAAACCCTCGACCGCACTCGTTGGCGTGGCACGTGCTCATGCGATATGTATGGACTATATATATATATATATTATACAAATATATATTTATCCCTGCCTAGTCGTTCTGGGTCGTGTGTGCGCGCTACTTGTTCCAGTTACCGTTCTTCTGCCAAAACATCAACACCAACAGCGTGCTGTATCCCAGGTCTTTTCGTCTCTATATTCGCCTCCTCAGTATATTTAGTGTATTTTTCAAATGTCTATTTCTGTAGCATCCAGCCGTGGTGCCCCGATACACTAGACGTGCCCAAGACCCGAAGCGCGATCCAGCCCATGGTGTACTTTGGCTTGTACAAGTTTGACGGCATTGCAAATCCGGACGTGGACACCATGTGGCGCGGTGTCGCATGGAATTTTGTTGTGATTTTGTGCATTTTATTTCACCGCCGAGAGCTGCAGCTGCGGGGCATGTGGCACAAGTCAGTGGATCACCAGCACGCGTCGACGTCTGCGGATGCCACGTCATCGGCCTTTGACCACATCAACCAAGCTCGGCATACGCTCATGTCCCGCGATTCACTCGATGACATGGACGCGTTCGATGTGGCTAACTTTTTGGCGCGGCACGACCACGACGCCGACGATATGACGGACGCCAAGCCAGCCCCCGTCGCATCAACCACCACCAAACCAGTGGTCTCGTCTTCCAAGGCAGTGGCGTTCTCGATCGAACGACAAAACAGCATCGCAGATAACGTCGTCGCAGATGATCTAATGGAAGATGCTGGCGGTGGGGAAACGGGAAGGGGCTTGAGTGACGGACGAGAAGCGGTGGAAGACCTGCCGGACCGCCGCCCCGTGTCCCCTAGGGAAGCGTTGCTACGTGCGCAATACGCCCGTCTGCAACAGCAAGACAGCCTCCAACACCCGTACCTCCGCCAAGAAGATGAAGAAGGCGCCGACAGGCAGCTAACGTCCTCTGAGTCTGCGGTGGTTATGCATACCCAGGATACCCCCGCGATCATGTCGCCCCGGGAAGCGTTGCTGCGACGGATGGTGTCGACGTCGCCGCCAGCCCCCCCATCGTCGCCCCCGTCGTCCCCCCGCGACGTGATGCTGCTCAGAACCTCGTCGCAGCATTCGGGTCGATTGGTGCGGAACGGATCCAGCGAACAACTGGACGAGAACGAAGTCCCCCCCGTGCTCGTGGACCAGCCCCCTCCCGTTTCGACAACCCCCATCGACCTCTCCAAGCGACACCCCAAGTTGGTGGACAAACTCTGTCGCAGGTATCCGTCTGCGATGGCGTTTGTGGGCCGGTTGTGGCCCCCGACGCCCCCTCACTGGGATAAGGACATGGCCAAAGCCATGCTATGCCCGAAACCCGGCCGCGACTACCTCGCTGTGATGCTGCTGCTGCCGTTCGTGTGCATCGTGTACGCGTTTGTGTTCTTCAAGTACTTTGGCGAACCCCTTCGGGACGATTCATTTGCAATCAACGCCAGCGACTCGATGCTCAATGGGTACATGGTGCTCATCGTACTCTTCGAGCTCACAGTTATGATGTGGGACCGTGCCGCGTACGTCGTGGGCTCGGTCAAGCTCAAGGTCGCGCTGCATGTCACCGTCCTGGTCGGCGTCCACGTCGGGCTCTGGATCATGCTGCCATCTTACAGCCAGTCATACCTTCCCGCGAGGCCGGGGCTCCAGGGGTTCTACTTGCTGCACTGTGCGTACCTCTGGTGCAGCGCGTACCAGATCAAGCACGGGTACCTGGTCTTTCGCAGCAACCACTACTCAAAGAAGTCTGTGCATGAGACATCGTTTGCTGACGAAATGTGTGGCAAGCTGTTTAAGGTGTACATGTTCGTTCCGTTTGCGTTTGAAATCCGATGCTTGCTCGACTGGATGTGCTCGACCACTTGTTTAAACAAGGACATGTGGCTGCTACTCGAAGAAACCGCGGCCACGCTCTTCCTAGTCCGCCAAGAAATGGACGAGCGGATCCGCGACGCTGCCTACTTGAAGGGCACCAAGCGGGTACCCGTGGCCGGCAAGTTTGTGTCTGGCGGCGTGATTCTCGTCGTGATGCTGCTGTGTGTGGTGGCCCCGCTCGCCATGTTTTCATCGCTAAACCCGACGACAATTGAAAACGAGATCACGTCTACAGTGGTCACGTTGGGGCTGGTTCAAGCGGATGGCACGGTGCAGCAGCTGTACATCAACGGCGACACCAACAGCGACCGCTTCACGGGCCTGAATATCAAAGCCAGTGACACGGTGATTCAGAAAACGTCATATGCATCCTACTCGAACGAGATTTGGGCCAGCTCCCCGCCGCTCCGCCGAAACCTCGTCGCACGGCTCAACTCGACAGAGATGCTGCAGTGGAGCCTCCGGTTCTCGTTCACGCGGGATGGTCCGGATGGTAACCAGGTGGTTGCGACATCGTTCGAGGCGGAGATGACCCCCATGGACCGAGCCCTGCTCATGAATATGGTGCTAAACCACGGATCCACGGCCGACCCCGTGCGCGTCTCCACTTCCCACAACGCCACCACCCCCACTACCCATCTCGTGCTCTCGACCTCCAACCAGACGTCCATCTCTGTCACAGCCGACACGATCACGATGCCGTCCATCCGGATCAAGAACTTTTACACTCCCGTGATCAAAGTCGGCGCCCAGACCAACCCCGTGCCCCGACGCAACTACATGATGCGGGACCTGGACATCCAGCGCAATGCTGAAGATGGCGTCAGCTGGTGGGTCGTCCGGTCGCCCGATCCCGTCGGTAACGACAAGCTCAACGGTATCGCAGTCAAGTGCTTTGACGGGTCCGGCGCCGACAAGGATGGGTTCTGCCTCGTGACTATCTCCGACAACATCGTGGCCGGGCTCACCACGCTCGGCATCGGCAGCTACGGACTCACGGCCGTGTATATCTTCGTCGTGTTCACCGTCGGCGCGTTCTTCAAAGACATGCTGCGAGGCGCCATGTATAAAGTACTGTACGAAGAACTGCCCAACCCAAACGATTTGCTCGAACTTGTCGAGGTATGAACTGTACTCTGTCGCACACAAAAAAATATATTATATATCGATATGAACTTACAGAAAGACCACCAAAGAGCATAAATATGGACAGATCTACTTATTTGGTGTGCTAAGTCTACTTTGTAGGGGGTGTATATTGCGCGAAAGGAAGAATACGTTGGCCACCTCAAGGTACGACCAACTATGTCTTATGATAATATCTATATCTATATATATATTGATATATATCTTTTTGTGGAATATATATATATTTCACGGATTGAATAACGTAGGACGAGGGGCGACTGTACGAGACGCTGATTCGCATGTTGCGGTCGCCCGAGACGCTTGTCAAACTCACAGGGTCCAACTCGATCCATATTCCGCACCCCAAGGAAAAGACCGACTGATAAATCAATTGCATTCTCAACTATTAATATATTTTAATAGTATTTTTATCCGTCGTGAATTGCACACACTAGTATCTACTAGTACTAATAGTACATACTCCGTCACCAGGTATGATGGTTTAACTAACCAAGCGATTAATCGTTATTGCTGCGACCATATGCATACCACTGACACATGTATGTAGACTGTTTCCACTTCAAAGTAGGACTTTTCATATATGTAGTACGACTAGGGCAAATGAGATCGCGACACTCAGCATTCATGTTGCTGGACTCACAATATATTACACTTCAACTTGTCTGATATCCCCGTACAACTCTACTTTATGGACGGTAACTGTATCGCATATTAAGCCGTCGGCCGCTTGTACTGCACCGGCTGCTCGACCCCCTGGGGGGTGATCCATGTCGTACGGCCGTCGGGGTAGTCCCTCGCGCGGCTTCCGTCGGGGTTGATCACCTCCCGGAACCCCGACTTGGCCTCGACCATCCGCGTCCCATCCGGAAATGTGCTCCACTCGTCGCCGTTGGTTTCGATGCGCTTGGTCGTGCCGTCCACAAACGAGATTTCCTTGGCGCCGTTCGCGTGGTGCGTCTCCACCTGCGATACAGTGAATATTATATGTGACACTGTCCAATGGCCATAAGACTAGGCCACCCGAAATATCTGAAATGCACGAAACTAACCTGGCCATTGGGAAACTCAAACACTTGCGTATCGTCGGCGTATGTGACGTGGCGCGTCTGCGCTGCTGCGTAGAAATATACAGTCTTCCCGCCTTCTCCTGGGTAGGTCTAGCACCCGTGCACTCTGTTATTAACCCTGAATATATATATATATATATATATAAATCCGGACTTGTATTTCGTGCTAGTTCTATACATAAATATATACAGTATATATATACAACTGGGGTAAATAACAAAAAAAACTACCAGTATCTGCAAACACGCATACACACGTCCTTATGTCTCGATCTCAACCAAGGATTAATTGAGGAATAGATGGCCAATGCATAGATACACAACTGGAGTAAATAAAAACTATCACGACCCATACAGCGAAGTGGTAGCGGCCAACACACACACATATATATATATATATATATATAATTTTATATATAATATATGTCCAGATTCACAGTAGCTGCAGGTAATAATACACTGGCGATAGGTTGTTACCTCCTTGACGTCGCCGTTGGAGAAGCGAACGACCGAGTGGCCGTCCTTGTAAACATCTTTTTCCGTGCCATTTGCAAACTGAAATGACTTGAGAAGGGGGCCGCTGGCGTACCGCCGCTCGACTTTGCCGCCGCTGTGGCGGATCTCCTCTACCTCGCTTGAGTTGGGATGCAGCTCCTACAAGTACGAATATAAGACCCAACTCATAAATCTAATCACTAGACTTATAAATATGCACTCACAGACAACGATGGTGTGGCCTGGTCGTCTGGTGTTTCGTGTCCATCGTCTGATATAGTTGTCTCGAGGCCGAACGCGCCGTTAAGGTCGTTTTTGTGTTGGTCGCCATCGTCGGAATGATGGGTTTCACTGCCATTGGTCCGTCGACTGTCGCTTTTGTCCTTGGATTGGCCAACTGCACCGTAGTTCGGTTGGTATTGCGCTGGGTTGTAGGCTGCGTCTTCGTCTACCGTAGTGCTTTTATCCTTCTTCATAGGGGCGTCGGACGTGGAAATGTTGTAGTTGATGCTTGATGCCAGTGAAATTGGCGCAGTGCCAGGACCAGGTCGACTGGGAATTTTCCCACTTTGGTTTGAGCCAGGGTTATTGTTGTGATTTGAAGCATCGTTGGTCCAATTCCAATTCGCCAGGCGCTCCTGCTCCATAAACTTCAAATCGTCGCGCAGCTCTTGATTTCGCAATTCCAATTCCTATGGCATATATATATATATATATATATATATATATATATATATATATATATATATATATATATATATATCTTCATCGCCATTTTTCTAATAATAATAAAAGTCCATGGAAGCACCCGTTTTGATGTTTTTATCGAATTCTGTTCACTTGTTTTCACAAGATTTTGGATTTATATCAACGTACTTACCGCAATGCGATGCCTGAAAAAGTCCGTCGCTGCTTTGTGCTTGTTGGTTTTGGCCTTGTCGTCCACCTATGATACCAATCTCTAAATTTTATATCTCATTCTCCCATATAAATATCTATTAAATCCCACAATACAAATATACATATATATATATATCCATACTCTATATTATATATCCTTCACACGGATATACAGTACAGTACATTGCCATTGCATCATCCCACAATATATATATATAATTCAATTTCACCCTATTCTTCCATACAAGCAGCATCATCTCGTTCGTACCTGCATCTTGACCAGCTGCGCTTTCAATGCGTCGATTTCGCCGCGCTCCTTCCTGTCGGGCAAAGCCGCCGCCCCAAACTTGAGCGCTTGGTCGAGGGCCCGCCGTTCCTTTCGGAGATGTTTCCACTGGGCGTCCATGTCTTCCTGCGCTTTCCGCTTCTCTTCATGCCAGTCGTGCCGCTGTTGGTCCAGCTTGCGCTGATCGGCTTCAAGCGCCTCTCTCCGCTTTTGCAGTTTGAGCGTCTCCTGCTTGTAGTGCTTGACTTCAGTCTCCAACTCGAAAAGCTAAACATATATAGTCGTTGGCACAATATGAAATAATATGAGCGTGCGTGCTTGCCTTGTCTTCAATGCCAGCGGGAAAGTGGGAAGATGATGGCTTTGGAGGGGGTACAGTCCCCACGGAATGCGGTGCCGTGGCAGCAGCTGCTGTGCCGACGTGATGCCCTGGCAGGGATTTTTCCCTTTTCACCTTCCCAGGAGGTGGTGGTGGTGGTGGTAAAGGGGGTATTTTCCCCGCAGACTTCTTTCCAGTCGGCTTGGCAGGTGTCCTGGAGCTTGCCGCAGCTTTTTGTTTGAGTTTCATTTTAAGTGTTTGTAGAGACGACGATACTGGCGGCGGCGGCATTTGATTGGCGGCGGCCGCCGCCTTTTGAAACTTTTGCTCGATATATGACGGCTGCTGGCCGACGTTGGCCGATTCTTGGTGTGGTTCAGCAACGGAATGGACGTTGCTGGTCAGGTCAAGCCGTTCCTGCGCCATGATGGGAGCAGGACCTTGGTCGTATTCGTCCCACGGTTCAGAGTCGGCAAAGCTCACGTCGTTCAAGCTCCCTTCGTTCAAGGCTTCGATATGGTCGTGATGGGGGTAGTGCAGCATGGACGACTGGTGGTGGCTTAGCTCGCCCACTTCGTCGTCGCCATGGCCATCGATCGAGAAACTATGGTTTAGATCGTACAAGTCTTGGTCGTACAATGACGCGGCTGGGGGACGGGTCGTGATGTCGTCGCGGCTCCACGCATCGAGTTCGGCGAGGAGGTCCCGCCGTTCGGTTTCTTCGTCGACTCTCCACGGAGGTGGAGGCTGAGTGCCGGCGGCGGCGGAAGGATCGGCATGGACATCTGTGTCGTCAAGTTGGTGGCTATGGGGGGTTGAATGTGTATGTTGCTGTAGAAGTTGCTGCTCCAAGCTCTCGAACTCTTGCAACTCGTGCGCGTCTTGCTCGAGTTTCCAGTCCACGGACTGGGTCAACGGATGCTCATGATACTTGCAAGTGTCGGGGGGGGGGTCCTCGTCGTGCCTGACATCGTTGTTGTCCTCGTCGTGGATGGACCAATTCGACGAATCGGGTGCTTGGTGGGCCACGGGGATGTATCGAGAAGATGACGCGTTCAAAACGGTGCTATTGCCCCTAGGGGACGGTACATACGGGGCGGCATGTAATGGCGTCTCGATGGCATCACTGGCACTTCGTCCAAGTGATGCAGCAGTCGAAGACGTAGGAGTGGTTCGTCGTGTGCTGGATCGATGGTTCACGGGAACTTGTGCGCGGCTTGAGGCAGAAGGTCCTAGTACCTGCGTTCGACGGGGTTGCGACGAAGCCTGGGACGGCCGTTGTTGCTTCGATGGAAACGCAGTCGTCTTCGACGTTGCGGTGCCCTTCTGCTCGTCGTCGTGGGCGCTGGACAATGAATACGCCATCGGCACGGCTTTGTCGCTGTTTTTCCACCATCCACGAGCGCCGCGCTTCAAGAATGGCTTCTTGGGCACTTGCTTACGCCCGTCGGACGAGGTGTGGGCATGGGGTTGGTTCGCACTCCATTCCCGCTCCAGCAAGTCGTCGAACGAGACTATGTCACGACGCACACATTAAGAAAGAGTTACACGAAGGAATCGCCTTCATGTACGTACCATGTGCTCCTGGCATGGACTTGCCTGCGGACGCGAACGCCGCCATTCTCGTTGTTTGGTTGGGTTGACAGGCAATACTGTTACAAATCATACTATATTAAGCTTCAGAGTTTTGATTCAATTTCAAATATCACGCACCGGATCTGTCAAACACGCACTGAAAACTTGAAATTGAAGCCGAAATACCTCTATAATCGAATGTGTTTTACAATTATTTTTGGTGATCATACTGTACGTACAGTACCATGTAGTACTACACGACAGGTTGGGTACTACTGTACGTAATCCCAGTAAGGTTAATGTAAACCATATCTAAAGATATAGGCCTTGTTTGAATGGTGGTTTGAGATATTTAGATGAGGTTTTAACATTGCAAAATTGGATGGTACGTTTTAAATGGTTTTTTAAACTACCTAATTTCACCGCACGAGTATTTAAAACATAAATGCGATTGCATATAAAATGATGCAGGTTGTCGCCGATGAACAATATCCAAGCAAGTCGAAATGGCAGCTGCTCGGAGAGCTGCTGCGGCGGCTCTTGCGGTGGCACCACCACCGACGCCTAAAGCGACGGACCTGGTCCTGGCGCTATCCCGAACGACCTTTGCCTCGCACACGGATCTCTTTCGGGCGGAAATATTCACCGTTGGCGGCGAGCTCCCGATTCGAATTTGGATGGAGTCGCGGCGGTCCAAAGGCCAATGGTACGTTTCGCGCTCTGGGTGGACAGCACGGCATCATGGTGCGTGTAGGGAGTGCACTGTGACAAACTTTGACGACCACCGACCAGCCGGGGCAGCGTATTCCCTGCCACCGACCACCATTCTCACGGCGTTGATGGTACCTCCCATCTCTAGGAGCACCTTCCACTTATGCATGCTGCGTAGAGTGTACTGACATGCACCTCCAAGCGAAGCAACGAGACGTGTTCCGAGAGCTGCGAGCATTACGACATTGACTTGCATCCGTTGCCGCAGCGCGGGCTGTCGCTGGCGTTGTCCATGAAGGCCTTTGTAGGAATGAGGGCCGACTACACGTTCCAGTTGGCGCCTTGTGCCGTGGAAGCTCTGGACGTCGTGCATGCCAAGGTTCGGGACCTCGAGGAAGAAGTCGCCGAGCTGCGCGCAGAGAACCGCCGGCTGCGGTCGGCCAAACGTCAGAAGGCGGCTCGAACGCCACTCGACCGCCTCGAGGTGTCATCGGGGCACGACACGGACGCGTTCGACCACGTCGCATGGACGGTGCCGACGCTGTCGCAGCCGTCGCTCGTGTCGATCAACAGCGACCACGACGTGCTGACCATCCGTCGAGAGGGCTTGTTCCACCTCCACGTGTCTGGCAGCTGCACGACCAGCAGCGGACTGCTGGTGCTGTACCACAACGACAACAAGGTGGCCGTGGCAGCCGCCATCAAGCAAGACGACGGCGCGAGCACCAAGTACCAGCTCCAGCTGTCGGTCATGCTGCAGCTGGCCGTGGACGCCACCGTCGAGGTGTGCTACCTATCGAAAACCCCCTGCGGCCACTCGCAGTGTCCCCCCGCCGGCAGCTGCGCCAGGTCCAAACTGAATAAACGAGCGACGCTGGTGGTGCATGTGATCAACTTGCTTCCACCGTCCGACCAAGCCGCGCCAGAGTCCCCCCCCGTGGAGGACGACGACGACACGGACGTGGACATCGTGGATGTCAAAAGAGAGCGATAAGCGCACAAACGGGCTGGGGTTGTGTTGTCGAAGTACAGTAATACATTGCACAGCCGTGCCATCTCGACTACTGATGTCCTTTGGCAATATGAAATTCCGCCGTTTACTGTTACTGTACCACGTAGACATATCTACAGCTGTACTACTGTGGATAGCTTGATAAATATCTATCAAAGGTCGTGTAACCTTTCAATGTAACATCTTTATCGTTTAGTATGTGTTCTACCGGTACCTACACAGTAATTAGTATTACAATACTAGTATAATACTACTACTGTACGTAGTACGTAGTACTTCGAGGTATTATACTTACAGCATAGACATCTTTGCTGTGAACCAAGTACTACATACAGGTGTAGTATTGTGCTTTCGAGTGAAATTTCGTGTTGTGTTTTTTGTATTTAAATCGATTTGATTGGCTACTTCAGATGAGCTCAAACTTATTAGCCAATCAAAATGTTCTATTGAAATTCAACCAATCAGATCAATTGTAGATCGGTTTGGTCGACGCGATTCGATTGCGATATGTTTGAGGAATTCGAGTTTTTGTCACTACAGGTTCAACGTATTATGTTTGGGAGGTGTGTTTCGGCCAGCCAATCGTATGGTCGGATGTTTGGGTATCTTGCATGATGGCAGCCAAGGACATGAAGGACGACAGCGCCGTGGTGCTGATCCTGTCCAAGGTCAAGTTCCCGTCCAGCACCGACTTGTATCGCGCCCAAGTCACTGCCACCAAAGGGTCGTTGCCCATCACCGTGTGGATAGAGTCCCTTCGCTCCAAACAGCAATGGTCCAGAGCATACTAACACATTCTCGACCGTCTCACGCAGGTTGCTGTGGTAGGGAGTGCGACATATCCTGCTTTGACGACCACAAGCCATTGACGGCAGGCTACGCGCTTCCGTCAGAGATGGTCTTCTCTGCGTTGATGGTACATCTCCCTCTTCTCCACCCTTGACACGCAACTGGTCTTACCTCCGAGAGAGTAGAGTGTGCTCACGAGCTCGTCCAAACGAGCACGAGGTGACCACCCGCCTGTGAACAGCGAACACTTTGAAGTGGATCTGAAGCCAGCGACGGGAGACAATCCGGACGGCCGGTTGTCGTTGCAGCTGGCCCTGCAGGCTTTCGTCGGACTTCGAGCTGAGTACACATTTGAAATGATCCGTCGGCAGAAGCAGCCGCTGGATGCGTTGCGTTCCCAGCTGTTCGCGGTGCAGGAGTCCGTGGACGAGCTGAAGGCGCACACGAAAAACATCGCCACGCACCTCCCCATCCCTTCGCCCCAGATCGAATGGCTCCACGTTGGCACCGCCGCCTCCACCCCCAGCGGCGCGGTGGTGCAGTGGCCGACGCACGTTCGCCTCCCCCAAGACTTGGCCTGCTTTGTGGACGAAGAAGCCACCACGCTGACGGTGCAGCGCAGTGGGCTGTACCACATCCAAGTAGCTGGCTCGTGTCCTTCGAGTGCGGGCCGGCTCGAGCTGATCGTGGACGACGTCAAGGTGGCAGTGGCGGACGCCATCAAGCAAGACAATCGCTCAAAGAACAAGACCCGCCTCCATCTGTTTCACGCGACCCCGCTGGACGCGAACGCGCGGCTGCGAATAGTGGTGGCGTCGGCTGCATGCGACCACTCCAAGTGTGCCGGAGAAGCATGCAAAAAGGTCAAGTTGGGGAATGACGCCCAGCTGTATGTGTATGCACTGGGGTACCACGACAACGCTACGAACCAACACGATACCGACAGTTCTGACGGATACAGCGACTAGAAATAGAAAACTAGAATGACACACAAATATGTATATATATATATATTATATATATACTGTAAACCAGTACTATTAATAGTAACGTGAACTCTCAATGATGAGCCGAACTTTCGATGATAGGCCGAGCAGGTTTACCCAATAGAAATCCAGATTTCATTTCATTGGATAAAATAGATAACTCCAAAACGTAATACCTTTATTAACTTATGAAACATTGCTGGTGAAATTAGTCCAATTTGCCTCCAATATACGATACTTGTGTAAACCTAATATTCCTTTATAAATTGGTTTTTTAGCAACTACTCAATAGTTTAAACAAGTATGTGAATCGGCCTATCATCGAGAGTACTGTTGGAGTGTCCTATTTCAATAATTTATTTGCCCGAGTTCGAACTATTTAAATTGATTTGCAATCGAATCATACAATAGAGGATGAATCAGGGATTTTGAAAATACAACTTGTATTAATACTCCATTCCTATTTCGTTGTTAACAGTAAATGTAATACAATACTATAAAGCAGCTATGCATTTTAAAGGAATCCCTCCATGCCCTCCCAGATATAATACTATGTACCATTCGTCCTGCAGGTCACGCTTCTTGAAATACTTATTATCTCTCTCTCAACCCATGTCACACACGTGTAGCTTGGCCAATATATTGTCATTTTACCCAATATTTGATTGACTTTTGTGCTGATTCTTTGCCAAATCTATAGATTGATTGTTTGTACTGACTAAGATCGTACGAATTTCAATCACACACTAATTCGATGTTGAATTATTCGAAGAGTGGATTTGATTGGCTAGTTGATTCATGTTTTGTGTTTTGATTCTCTGCCTGCGATTTGGTTCTTTTGCTCGTTCGATTGAGCACAGTCTAGTCTAATTTCGAATGAACAATATCATGACATGGTTGTTGGTATCATCCGTTGAGGTTGAACGCGGCGGCGTTGATGGTGTCTTGGGCAAGGGGGCTATCTCGAAACTCGTTTTGAAAGCTAAACTTTTTCGGTGCAGAGTCCGTGTACACTGGTAACACTTTGCCTCCATTGTCCACCACGTCCAGCCGACCCAGCGGCGACGCGTGCGTCGTGTTGCTGGTAGCCACATGGAAGATTTCGTCTAGCTTTTTGTGAAACCGATCCCTACACATTCATAGTATGGTCACATCGAGTCGAAACCCTCTGCAGAATCGAATGTCTTGATTCAAGAACCGCCTAAGCCAATCAAATCACTCGTCATGTCGAATTTCTGCCAATCAGTCCCTCCGCATTGGGCAAAACCAATATATATATATATATATATACTAATCTTTGTTTAGTATAGTGTGTACAAGCTTAAATAGGATCAAATAGATTCTTTTTGACAAGTCCAAATTTGGGTGAAATGCACAATATCACAATCCCAAATGTCCACTACAACATTGTTCGTAAGTAGTACCGACCGGTAGGGCTTGGGCGGCAGAGCCGAGATGCCCGTGGGGTCTTTCCGGCACAGCACCGCCTTGACAAACCGCTCCAACCGCTTCTCCACCGTCCACGTCTGCAAAATATCAATCACGCCCATGTAAAAGAAGCCCGGGCCAACCACCACGTCCGCCGCGCGCACCGACGCGACCGACTGCTTCGCCATCGGGCCCTTGGCGGCGGCGGGCGGCACGACGGACGGCAGCCGGACGTGGTGGTCGTGGTCGCCGTCCGGAACTATAATGTTGGTCGCGGTCACGTGGAACCGCACTTCGATCACCCCCAGAAGCAAACTGTAGTCCATAATCCCTTGGTCGCACAAGAAATTGCTATCTTTTTTCAATTGCGTCACCACACTCGGCCCTTGCGCGTCGCTCAGCCGCACCTACCCCATCATGAATATATATATATATATATATATATTCGATTTTAGGCTTTTTGTTTCGTACTTTGGTCGTCAAGTCCATGTCCTTGAGCACGACGTTGGGCTCGTGAAACCCGGCGCGGTTTGGACAACTGTCGCGGTTGCCCGTGCGAAACGTCATGTTGCAATACCTAAAAAGCGAAACAATTAGAGAGATTTCGTCAGTTTATTTGTATATATATAGCAGTGATAGATATAAACACCATTCACCCATAAACAGGTAGTTTTGATGGAAAAATAGTATTAGATACCCCTTACCGACACGTGCATTCTTGGCCACGGCGCGGCTTTTCGGCATTGCGATCGACCCACGAGCCTTTGATGTCGTACCGATGGTGCACCGCATGATGTTTGTCAAACAGATTCTCCATCACGACAAAGTACGATTCCTACAAATATATATATACCACAGTCAACATAGTTTCGGCCACGGTAATATATATATATATATAAATCATCATTGTCTTGCATACTAGTAATACAGTATATAGAACCATCAAGAACAAAAACTAACGTTATTATATATGTATATATAGGGTCGCACGATTATATTTCAACACACACTCCACACACGCTTTGAATGAATACTATATATATATATATACGTGCATTTTCGACGATCATTTCTCATACCAAATCTACACGAACTCCACGTGTCATTGTTGTTAGTAATTCACCTACAAAGCTACTTGTACCTGGAATAGATATATTAGCAAAAATATAAAATAAAAAATATATAGTTATATATATATATACTCTCGACGACCACCGTTGCTAATCGACACAGATGCACTTGAATGGGTCGTGTGCCCACATCATCCTCATAGGTTGAATCATATTCCCAAGCATTTATTTCTAGTGATAAACTCATGTACCCGTCCGTACAGCACCATCGCGTAGCTGCCGATGATTCGCGTGATAAACGTCCCTGGGTTGGCGACCACGTACGCCGCGTACTGGTCGACGATTGAGCTGAGGAAGGCGCTCTCCCGTCGGGTGACGCTCTTGACGATAAACGCGCCGGTGGACGTGAAGAACATGAACGAGCCACTGGCGCCCTCGCTCAGCTTGGGGATGCTGCAGTTGGAGAAGGCCGAAATGAGCTCCGTCTCGTCCACGCCAAAGAGCTCGCGCACGTGGGTGAATGCATCGGGGCGGATGTCAGTGAACTTGCACTCTTGGCAAGAGTATAACGCGTGCTCGTTCTGCGGCGGGTGCACTGTGAAGATGGACACTTCGGCCAGCTCCAGCGCTTGGCTACATATCACACACACATGTTATACAATATTGCTGGGCGTGAGTTTTGGCTACTGTCCGTCTGGTTGTCGGGGCTGCAATATATATATATAGATATGTTTATAGGTATGATTCAATCGTCTTTCAAACGAAATGGACAACGTAGTATAGTGGAAACCATAGTCAAGTTCATGTATTTTGGAAATATATGTACATATATGTACATGTCAAGGCCAAACTCGACGAACGGCATAGTCGTCTATATATAAATATATAAAATAAAGTCATACATTATCAACCTACTCCTTTGTCAAAGTCCCATATATATATCTATATATATTATTTTTTCAATATATATACAACATCCATAAAATCTTCGTACCGTTTGTTAGCTGCTTGTACTGCCTTGGTGATGCCCCGTGTAGTATAAAACACGAGTTCATTCAGCAGTGCAAAGTTGGTTTGGGCTCGCGTGGCGTCGTCATCTCGATCTTCACCGGACTAGCCACCCAATTTCATCCAAATTAATGCAAAATACATTTAAATGGACAAAATAATATAGAAATATACCCTGGACGATGTGTTGCTGTATAGAATCCACAGGAAAAACACCACGCTGCCGCGAAACGACAGCAAAAACCCAAACAATTCCTGCAGAATCTCCCAATCCGACTGCGCCAGCCAGAAGCCAATGTACACGCCCCAGAGCAGCAACCAGTACACGATGAACGCCACCGTCGTGAGAAACCCTTCGCGAAGCAGCCCCCGACGGTGTTCCAGCGTCGCTTCGATGCCGCTGCGAAACCTGTCGCAGAAAAATATTATATTTATATATATATATCTTCGATATATATAATCATATGATTAAACCATTCACGAGAAAATGAATACTAACGTTAGTGTCAATCTTCATTCTTCGTATGGTCAACATATTCGATTCAAAATTGGAGAGTTTGGGTGCTCAATTGATTGAGCAGCACCAAATACGCAGACAATCGAAAATCGACCAATCAAAACCCAGAATAGGAATCAATTGGCCAATCAAATCCATTCTTCGACGATTTCAATTAGTATGTGACTGATATTAGTGTGGCACTGGACGATCTTTACATACAAAAGTCAATTCAAAGTATCGATCAATAGATTTGGCAAAGAATCCGCACAAAAGTCAGCCAAATTTTAGGTAAAAGGACAATACCATCATGTGGTTGAAATCTCTACAGTAAAAAAATCAAGCATGGCGAAATATATATTACATACAACCATCATGTTTCCATTTCGAAAGAAATATATATCAAAATCACAACGCCAAACCCACATCTTATACTCTAAACCCTCGTAAATGACCAAATCGTATGCATATATACATGGTCATATCCTTGTCTTCTAGACCCTTCGATTCTAAATTTACAGATTGAAAGCAACAACAACAGAAATGAAGTATTAGTATATTGTCGATTTGATAGAAATTTGGGGACAGGGTGCAATCGAATAAACCGATCCACAATCGATCTGATTATATAATAATATTTGAAGAAGTACGAGCGATCAAAAGGATTTGAATACGACTATTGTCGACTTGATACAAATTTGGGGAGGGGGTGCAATCAAATTTCGCGCCAACCAAACCGATCCACAATCGATCTGATTGGTTAAATTTCATTGAGATGATTTTGATTGGCTAATAATTTTGAGCTCTTCTGAGGTAGCCAATCAAATCGATTTACATCCCAACGAGAAACCACACCACAATACGAAATTTCACTCGAAAGCACAATAGTGTAATATATATATATATATATATATAGTATAGTTTTATATATATATATAGTATAGTGTAATATATATAGTATAGTGTAATATATATATATAGTATAGTGTAATATATATATATATATATATATACCTCTTGGCAGACACTGCACACACGTAAATGTTGGTGCTTATAAAGCACACGACGGGTACAGCAATGAAGATCCACACGCCAGCGTCGAACACCCCAAAGTGTCTTTGGTCCAGTCCGCTGCATTTGACCCAGCAAAAATCACCCACAGACATCCCGTAGAACGACGAACTGGTGAGCATCACCCCACCGGCAAGGATTCCTACATAATATTAAATATTTCAAATTTGCAGCGGAAATATATATATATAGAGAGAGTACCCAATCCATGCGACAAGAGCTGGTACCGGCCGCGGTTTTTACGAGGCGACGTGAACGGATCGTTCAACTGGGGGATTCATGTTCCATCAGAGTCATGATGGAAATATATATATATATATTATTGAGTATTTTAAATAATTCAACGGGATGGGAACACAACTTGCAACAACGTACCAACGAGAACAAGTCGACCGCCATACAAAACTCCCATGCTACCGACGTCATGATAAAGTACTCTCGTACTGCAGACACCTACAACAAACACCCCACCAGATCAATATTGTTTTGAGCGAACTACATATATATATAATATATGTATATAAATATATATATATATTCCTTTAAAAATATAAATGGCGATATGTTTGGACGTACGTATTGGCACGACATGCCAAGCTCGGAGCCTTCATGCCAGTTGTTCCACGCCGGTTGTAATAGGAACGATAGCGCCAAGAGCAAGTCCATGACGCTAAGCCATGCTCATCATGCACTCCAATCGCTTGGAAGGCGAGGTCGTACCTGCGGTTGAGCAGCAGAATGTTGGAATGGCGGCGGCATCCCGGACTTAAAAGGTACGACACGCACACGATGCATGCCATCACAACCGTGCCAATCGAGCCGAGGAGGACCCCCGACGGCATCTTGACTGCCTGCCGCGTTTTCGCGCGCAGGGCCACCGCGCAGACCACCAGCGCCACGGAGAACAAGGCGGTGGACGCGGCCATGATGGTCTTGCCGCCAAGGAGCTTGCCGTTGTCAAAGACGAGCATGTACATTTCCTTCATGCCGCGGTGGCTGGAACTAGGAGTCGTCACGGACGAAGTGGCAGCCTTTCGCGCCGGCACGTGCTTTGCATCGGGAGGGCCACGGGAAGGATGTACGGCGATGCTGTCCAAGGGCGAGTCGGGCTCCGTGTGCGCAGAATACGCAAAGCTGTTTGAGGTAGTCGTCGTCGTGGTTGTGGTGGTCGTGGAGCCAGTGCACATGGTATGAGAGTGTTCCATAATGGAAGAGTGGTCACCACTGGTGGTGCTGTTGCTGGTGGGATCGACAATGCTTTGCGTGACGCAGAATGAGTTGTCCAGAATGTCATTCACGTCAATGATCGACGAGATGGATTCCGACTTGACGCCACCGCAATCAGTGGACGAGTTCAGGCCTGCTGTCGACGCCCATGCAATGTCCGTGGCGCACACTTGATCCTCCATGACAGTGCCAGCAGGAGCCGCGAAATCGTCATCGTCCCTTCGATGCGCTTCCATGAGAGGATAGCTCTAGGTCTCACACCAAGCGTTCTCCTATTAATACACGTTGGATACATCTTGTCGGCAGTTTCACAATGTGGGACCAACATTCTTGGAAATTATATTTCCAATATATTAGAAACATATATACTGGGATTTCGTCGATTTTGAATTCTGATTATGCTTCATCGATTACCAACATTCATCGTCGACATTCCCCACAAGTGAAAGATTTCTGCTATAACATGATCAGCTTCGCCTCCACTACTGGGATCCTTGCGGCGATCGCGCACACTGCTTCGTCCAAGTGCCTACTTGTCCACCTCCATGGCGTTCCATCGCATGATGGCATCTCTCTCTATGAGGATCTCACCGAACACTCCCGCGAAGCAGTGCACGCATACCTACGTGACAAGTTCGCCCCAGCACAGGCGTCGTTTGTGGCTCAGTTAACGTCCGCCACCGCTCGTGCCAACATGACCATGCCTCGTGCGTTTCCGTTGTGGATTCAGAACACCGTGATCTTGTACGACGTGGAGGACACCGTGGAGGCACTCGTCCACAAGATGAACGGCATCGCCACCGTTGTCGAGGATGGGATCGTCTACCTTCCCTCGATGACTAGTACATCTACAGCATCCATCCCCCGTCTTGATGACATGGAATCGTCGTCTGTGCAAGACAATGTCAAGGATCTACATGCCGACGAGGTAGGTTTCTCTCCCAAAAAAAGTCTCATCAAACGTTCGTTCGAGGGCAGGCATGGAGCAAGGGGTGGACTGGCACTGGCGTCGTGATCGCTAGCATCGACTCGGGGGTGCGCTACACCCACAACGCCTTGCGCGGTTCGTATCGAGGTAGTAGCTCTCCTCCATGCTCGGCGATGCTCACGACGTTTCTCAGGCACGCAGCAACGGGACGGGTCCGTGAACCACGACTATGCGTTCTGGGTCCCAGTGTCTCAGAATGCCACCGCCCTCACGCCAGACAACGCCGACCTCGTCGGACATGGCACTCACACGATGGGCTCGGCCGTGGGAAGCGGCGGCATCGGCATCGCTCCGAACGCCACATGGATCGCCGCGCGACCATTCAACTGGGTGAGAGAGACCTTTTCAGTTGAATTCGAGTTTGGAAAATGACGAATGTCCAAAATATATTACCGAGGAGAAGGTCAAGCAGCTAACTATTATATATATATATATATATATTGGCCTCTCAATTAGGACGGCAGCGCCGCCCAAAGTGATATTTTGCTCGCGGGGCAATGGGTACTGTACTTACATCTAGTATATTATTATTGCATGCCAAAAAGTATTTTTCGTTTCTACGTCTGAATATATATATATATATAATTCCAACTCGTGTCTTTGTGTGGCATCCATAGAGGAGATCATATCATATATATAGGTAATGTGCCCCACAACGTGGCAAGGAACCCAAGCCAAGTGCCATTTGGGTGCTGACATCGTATCCAATTCATTCGGCGCCGACAGCTCCGTCCACTGGATGGACCACATCGTCCAAGCATGGCGAGCTGCCCACATCCTTCCGGTTTGTGTATACTATTAAATGGCTTATATAATTTAAAAATATATATTTGGTCTATTCCTATCGTTGAAATATATTTTCATCCGTACAGTTGCTTCGAGTCTTCTGAGGCGGCTCAAGTCTATCCAATGCATCATCTTTGTAATGTTGTTGATATTGATTGTTCAAACGTACATTCTTGTATATTTTTCCAAATGCATTATATATATATATATATATATATATATATATATATATATATATATATATATATATATATTATGGACATTTCGCTTGTTTTTCATGGCTCGATGGTTGTAGGTGTTTGCCAGTGGCAACGTAAACGGGTTCCAGTGTGGATCTGTCATGTGTCCAGGATGTTTGCGTGAGGCGGTGGCCGTGGGGGCCCTCGTCGGCAGCAAGACGTTGTGGGGGGGGAGTGGCAAAGGTATGTATGATATGTAAAATACTCACCCAGGAGCTTGCCACGTCATTTCCCTAGGCCCTAGCCCCGTCGGGGGAGTGGTGAAGCCTGATTTTGTGGCTCCGGGGGTAGCGATTCGATCTGCGTCGAGCTTGGGTGATGCCAAGTTTATGCGGTTAACTGGCACGTCCATGGCGACTCCCCACGTGTCTGGGGCGGCGGCGCTCGTCCTCCAAGCGTACGACGTTGATAGTGTATGTATATGTGGTTGATTGGGCGTTTGTCCCGTAGTTGCCGAGCCACGACGCCAACTGGATGCTCAGTGGACCAAGTGGTTATGCAGCTCCAGCAGACGACCACAACGCAGTCGCTGCATAAACCGATTTTGGTGCCGTCTACTTGCGGTGGTACGCCGTACAATCGCTTTCCAAACAATATTTACGGTTACGGGCTGCCAAATGTGCTCAAAGCTACGAATCCTTCTTCTTCCAGTGTATACACTGCACGAGTAGCCGACGAGGGGGTCGTAGCTGTGACAGTAGCGTAGAACGTTAACCACCAATGAACCATCGACGTAATATCACTTGTATTGTGTATGCTGCCATCTATGGAGTTGGTGGCATAGCTGTGTTGGGGTATCAGTTTCGTCGCCGTCGGTTTGCCAAGGCTTGACGGGCGTCGTACTCTTGCTGGAGCCGCAGAATACACTCGTGGCGCGCTAGATCCTTTTGACTCGTTGCGATGGGGGCGGCGGCGATGCGCTCGCCACTGAACCAAAGCCCCACTGGCCGCACTAAGCACTCGTGCAAGGCGGTCAACAGGCCAAGCGCCGCAAACAGACGCACCCACGTCGAGAGGGATGCCGCTTGAGTAGCCAGTCCATGTGGCCACCACCAAAGAGATGCAGGCTCAGTGGCCTTGTGGGCTAGCTCTCGGTCGTACTCGTACCGAGACTGCGGGTTGGACAGAATCGAATACGCATCTACAAGTAAATGTCGAATCACAACGAAGCATGGCAACGGCGTACTGGACACGTCGTGGAATAGCCGAGTGGAGGCTTCCCTGGCTTCAGGAGCCAACGACGTGGTCTTGTCGGGGTGATATTTTAGCGAAAAACCGCGATATGCAGTGGCAATGGTGTCCTGGGTTGCCTCCCGCGACACTTTCAGGCTCTATGTAAATCACACTCAGCTTCTGTCGCGATATAGCGTCATGGGGCGCCTACGTCATATAGAGTTGTGGAACGCATGTGCGGACCATTCATCTCCCAGTACACAACTGCGGCCACGATAGCCACAGCTGCGCAGGCCAGCATCTTGGACGCACTCCTTCGCCATGGCATGTTATGTGGTGTCTGGATAGTTAGCGTTGACAGTGACTCAAAAGTTGCACTATTGCCAACAATGTAGCATTCTTTATTCACATTTACAATGCATGTTTTAGCATGTTTTTATACATCCGTTTGTGAACAAGATTAAAATGCACGGCAAAATATGTTTTAAAATGCCAACAACAGAAATGTAAATATATCGAATTACAATTTGTAGTACATGAAGGACTAATCATGCAAAAATGAAATATCGAACGCAAAACTTGTTTACTGCCGTAACAACAGGTCTCAAGCTAATATATACTACCCAAGTGCTCATACTGTACCATGGCGATCACAGAACCAACAGCTCAAGAGCCCTTTACAGCGACATTTCGTGACAAAGAACCGAAACACGGAGGAGGTTAAGTTATTAGAGCCCTTGAAATCGTCACTACTAACTAGAATCGATTGATTCGCTGCGCAAGTTGGTAGGCGTTTCGTCAAGCCATCAGCGTCAAATGAAATTGCACGAGTAGTTGACGTGGATGACTGGTAAACTTCTTTTGAAACCACATAGGCTTACAGTAATACGCATGGAATGGCTGTTCTGCACACTGCTGCTGCCACTCAGGACACTCAGATTTGACCAAGCACCCAGTTAATTGACTGTGAAAATGACAAAGGCAAGTACAATTCGTACATATTGTATTGGCCTTAACGTTAGCATCCTTTCGAACACGTTCATTGTGATATGCCCGTGGTGCGTGCTGCCTACTCACCCCGATCACCCACCTGATACAGTACGTCCTATCTAACCTACACGGAGGAGTAAACACTTTCAAGCGTAGTATATGGGTGTCCATAGCCATGCAATCCACTTGGCGAAGATGCTCAAGCTGTCCCCAGCTTTCTAGCGACGTTGGTAGCCTGCCACGTCAGGAGCCCAGCCAACTCTAGCATGCTCCATCGTCCGCAAAGTGCATAAACCTGCAGCGTCCTTATGTTCTTGGCGGTGGAAAATCGAACGGTCGGTGGTCGTCCCGCATCGAAAAGTGATTAAATACGTGCGCGGTGATTGGCTAGTGTATCCCAGTCATATATTATCAAAATAACCGCTCCGAGTTGAAGGTGGTTCGACAATATTTTTATTCCCCAAGTGCATACATGGTGGTGTATTATTATTCGAAATTATCTCACTGAAAAGTGTAACGGATATCCGCGATAATAAATGACCACCTCATGTATATATTACGTTTGGCAGAAGGAAAAACAGAAACAATGCCTCCTCCTGGTCATATCTAATCTGTCCCAGCACAAGACATCCAACGCCGCTTCCCGCCGCCGCCGCCACCTAAAACGCGCCCCCACCCCACCATTCAGGCAGTGCACATCAACTCTTCCTACACACACCACTAGCCGACCAAGGGTTGACCAGTAGACAGACATGCCACAAGATCTACGATCCTCGTCTCATGGAAGCACAGGGTCGTCGTCGTCCCGCCAAGAGCTTGGCTCGGCTCCAGTTGCCATTTCCGGTGGCTGGACAGTCTCTCAACGCATTGGTGAAGCGTCTCGACCAGACAACGGTATGCAACTTCCTCCTCAAGTGTCGCCGTTTGAACTCGGCGTCACAATGATGTGATTGATGCATGTAGCTGACATGATTACGGCGGTGGAATACGATCGATATGGCGATTACATTGCCACGGGCACCAAGGGCGGTCAAATCGCAGTGTACACCAAGGACGTTAATGCCCAACAGGTTGGCTCTTCCCACTACACATCATCTCATGCATCCTTGTTCCGAGCAGCAAGGTCGCCTCACGCGGTCATTTCAATCGCACGACCACTCGCAGAATCGATACGCCCCGTATAAGAGCTTTCAGAGCCACAAGGCCGAGTTCGACTACCTCAAGAGCTTGGAGATCGAAGAAAAGATCAACCAGATCCGGTGGTGTCGCCCGTCCAACGACGCGCTGTACCTTCTCTCGACCAACGACAAGACGATCAAGCTGTGGCGTCTGCACAACCGCGAGGTCCGCACCGTGCAGCAGTTCCAGCACCCCGCCAACACGTACGGCGACGTGATTCGGCTGCCGACGCTCAACAAGGCGCCGCCGGTGGCCGTCGCCACGACCAAAAAGGTGTTTGCCAACGCCCACACATACCACATCAACTCGATCGCGCTCAATAGCGACGGCGAAACGTTCATCTCGGCCGATGACCTGCGCATCAACCTGTGGCACTTGGGGGTGTCGGACCAGTCATTCAGTACGTTTCACCCCCATCTCACAAGTCTCACTATAGTTGTGTGTACAGTATATGGACTGTAATATCTTGCTATAGTGATTTTGTGGTGACTACAGTGTATATATGGGGTTGATTCGAGCTTTTACTCATGTAACGATTAGACATTGTCGACATCAAGCCAAACAACATGGAAGAGCTGACCGAAGTGATCACGTCGGCCGACTTTCATCCGACGCATTGCAACATTATGATGTACAGCACCAGTCGCGGCGCGGTCAAGCTCGGGGACATGCGGACGTCTGCCCTCTGCGATTCCCATTCCAAATGTATGGTAGAAAGATATACATATATATGTCTACCTATATATACATATATATATATATCTTTCTACCTATATATATATATCTTTCTACCTATATATATATATCTTTCTACCTATTTATATATATCTTTCTACCTATATATATATATAAATATCTTTCTACCTATATATATATATATATATATATATATATATCTTTCTACCTAATATCTATCTTTCTACCTAATATCTATCTTTCTACCTAATATCTATCTTTCTACCTAATATATATATTTCTACCTATATATATATCTTTCTACGTATATATATATATTTCTTCGTATTAGATGTATATATATTAAAAGATGGATGCCTAGTGTTTGAAGACCAGGAAGACCCTGCGGCGCGCAGCTTTTTCTCTGAAATCATCGCGTCCATCTCGGATATCAAATTTTCTCCAGACGGCCGATACATCATTTCCCGAGATTACTTGACGCTCAAGATTTGGGATATTAACATGGAGAGTCGGCCCGTACACACGATCAACGTACGTACAAATGGCTTTGAAATACACAACCCAATGACCTCGACTTCCAAATGGCCTTGAAATGTGATACAGTGGACATGTGATGACGTTTCCAGATGGCCTCGACACTTGGTCTTAATTTGTGTGTTTACTAGATCCACGAGCACCTGCGGCCACGGCTGTGTGAGCTGTACGACACGGACTGTATCTTTGACAAGTTTGAGTGCTCAGTCAGCGGCGACGGCAACAACTTTGTCACAGGGTCGTACAACAGCGAGTTTCACATTTACGACCGGTACGGACGCAGCGACTACTGTCTGAACCCGCTCTCGAACGCTGGGAGACGGCGGTCGTCGGCGCCGCACACGGCCATCTCGAGGGCCCTCGCGACTGGAACCGCCGACGGGGATCCATTGGACTTCACGTCCAAGGTACTCCAGACCACGTGGCACCCCACGACCAATGAAGTGGCAGTGGCAATCAAGAACAACGTGTACTTGTACTCGGCCAAGCAGGACGCCCATCCGAGTATGGTGGCGGTGAAAAATAGCAAAAAGTAGCAGTGAGTATTCCGTTTAGTACATGTACTAAAGAACGTGGTGTACGATAGTAATAGTAATAGTATTACTAGTGTATTACTAGTAGTACTACTACTACTGCTACCAAGAGAACTGTAGTGCAAAGTGAACAAGACGAGGCATACTAGTACATACTATTAATAGTACATACATACACGGATTGAGTGAAAAATACTACTATTAATATTAGTAGGATTGTTTGAATATATACTGTATACCAGTGTATATATATATATTTGGCAAATGTATTGGAATCATCTTGTGGGACGTTTTCATGTCAAGATGGCTTTGAATTCTTCGAATTCGATCTCGCCGCTTTGGTCCACGTCCAGCTTGTTGATCATTTCCTGTCCAACCATTCAGTTAAAGCCACCATAAGCCAGCATATTCATGGGAATTTTGGTTTTGTTTTGCGAAACTACAAATTGTGTGACAGGGCGAGTCTTACCTCGATGTTGATGGTCAAGCCAAAGTCGATTTTGATGATTTTGACCAGCGTGTCCCGCTTCACGACGCCCGACTTGTCGGGTTTGCCGCCGCATGCGACGAAGGCGTCAACTACGTCACATATTTTGTCACATTTTATACTTGAACTGGCCGTCTGTTTGTTCGTACTCATGTCGCTCTCGTCGTTGTAGAGCGCGGCGCGGTCCTTCTGGTTGTCAATCACTTGGAGAAACTCGGCAAAGTCTACAGCCCATATAAGTCAATGTAGTTCGACTTCTATCGGACAAGAACTGTGCGAAAGCATTTTGAAGGGGTGGATACATCTACGTACCAATGGCGCCACTCATGTCTTCGTCGACCTCGCTGATCATTTGAAACAATTCCTCTTCCGTGGGCTGCTGACCCATCGCTACCTCGTCGTTGTCACAAGGGGAAAGCTAAAGCTAATGTACCTTCAAGGACTTGGCGAAGTTCCCACACATCGATCGTGCCACTCCTGGTCACAATCCGCATCATGTGGCTGTTGGTCCTCATGTAGTTCATGCTTCAACTTCATCTCGTACCTGTCTTTGTCAAATGCGAGGAATGCTTCTCGACACGCGTCGATCTCGTCTTGGGCCAGCACCATCGTCCACGTGCCTCTTCGCAGTGGTTTCAAACGGTTTCAAACCGTGCAAAAAAGCCAAAGGGAATTATTAATAACAAAGAGTTAAAATAAACGGAAATGTGACAGGCTGTTGTATCATCCGGATACGCAGCATACGCCTGCTGCGTGTCCACAATGACAAGCTACGTAGTGGATGCTTGTCGGCGAGACAAGCACTGTAATCAGCCCGTAGGCGCGGACGCAACTGGACACATAAGACCATTGCAACACCACCGTCACCCACGTCAAAGCCGAATGTGCTGGTGACGCAACCTACCGAGAGCCGCATCACAGCGAGCGAGAAGTAGCTGCCGCAGCGGTCCTACTACAACAGTCCTTGCCTGACAAGTGCGCGACATCCACGGACCATCAGGCAGCACCATCGTGCCACGTACTGCCAGCCACAGATCCATACAACGACACGTTTCAAAGACTGGACAGTTGGATCAAACAGGCGAGACGTTGCAAGCTTAGATTGCAATTACACACAAAGATCGACGCACGGGCCCTTGGCGACTGCGTATGTGGCCTCATCTAATATTGGCCGTTTAAAATTTGGTTCTTGCGGGTGAAACTCCACATGGAGCAGCAACATGTGTCGTCGGCAGCGCAATACGAGCGCCAACGCTTAGCTTGGTGCAGGCGTTGCATGCAGCAATGGTGGAGCAGCGGAAAGAGAGGGACAGGTGGATAGAAAGCAATGTGCAGTAGCGTTCGCCGAAAGATCATGCTAACCATCGATGTGTTCAACCAAAACGTTCGAGACCACGTACACCAATGGTAGCACGTCGGTATGTGACACCGTCACTTCGATCCTGGAGTAGTAAACTGCGTTTGTCTCAAATGAATACTAGTACTGTACTGTACTACGAGTAGTATTATCCTCAACTACTTGTCTCTGGCCATAGTATACATTCTTAATTTCCTCCTACTATCGATGGCCCGACAGTGTCGGCAAAGTCTTATTGAACCATCGAGTTGTCAGCACCTTCCACCAATTCGATCTATGTCGGTGTCATAGGGATAATCCATTCAATCAACATACCCGGCCCACAGACACCGCCCCGGGGGTGCGAAGAGCCTACACAAATCTCTTAGCCCAAACAAGATTCCCTTGGGCTATCTTGGAATCATAAGTAGTAAATACCCGTTGATTTTCTAAACACGTTCGTTCCCCCAGTTGCGGCGACGGCGTCCTACGAATATATATGTTTTACTCCCCAGTCGATATACAAGTGCATACCACGAACGCAACAGCTCTAGGGATTTTGAATCGATGAACGAGTCGACGGTGAGACCGGACGTCGAATGCGTGGCCGACAGCAGTGCTTGTGCCAACTCCCTTTGAGATGATTCGGGGAACTGGAGCAGCAGTGCCCGCACCACGTCACACCGTTTGGAAGCGTCCATGTGGGCAAAGCGACCACTTGGATCTGCGATATCGGTCCACGAATTCACGTGCGTTGCATTCGGCACGACCTGACCATCTTGGGAGACTCGGACTGGCAAATCCGCGCTTAGAAGGAGCGTCGCCACGCCCCACTGGCCCTGTGTCACAGCCACTTCGAGCGCCGTGCGACCGTCCTGTCGCACACAATTTGTTGAAATACAAATGTAATATCGATAAGAGCATGGGTCGACATTTTGCGTACGGGATCCAAAGCGCCAACGTCGTCGTATGCACGCGCCAAGAGTGTCCCCACAATGTCCTCGTAACCAGCCACCGCCGCCGCATGCAGCAACGTGGGCTGGCCCTATCGAGTATTCGTCATATTTGATATTGAGAACTTCGTACTTGGCATCAATATTGTACCTTAGGGGTAGGGGGTAGCGTCAGTTTGCTGCCGTTTTCGACAAGGAGCAGCCGACACACTTTGAGGCGTTTGTTCAGTAGGGCCTCGTACACAGAAGTCCATTGGACCTACACAACGCCATATATTATGAAGGCAATATTTATCATCATCTGGAAATTAGAATATGTATTGGCAAACTTCTGGGGGGTCGGATTCGAAGACGCCGCGTGCGAGCAATAACTTCACAATGTCCAAATGTCCTCTCTGGCAGGCCACCGTGGTCAAAGGTACTTTGTCCTAATCAGCACAAGTCGATTCGATGTTACAGGGCTTAGATATGAACAAGTTAATACAGTTGGTTGCACTGTGCTGGGGATGGATTGCTCGTGAGTGAGTAAGCGGTCGAGGATAGCCACTTGACCCTTTTCCACGGCCCATGTCAACGCAGACTTGGTGCCCTAGATGTGTATAAATATATATCTGAATCATCTAGATGTATATATATATACTGAATGATCTAGAAATATGAACAATTGAACTCTGAAACCGACATTGTCGTACCGAAACACGAAGCTGTATCGCAGGGTGCGTCAACAGCAACGCCACGATGTCTTCAAATCCTTCTTGGCAAGCCAGAGATAGCGCCGAGTGACCGTCCTACCAACCAAAAAAAGAGTTTCAGAATAGGCAGAAAATATGGTGTTTGTTTGTGTCCTTACTTGGTCCAACTTGTTCACGTCCAGAGTGGGGACCGCCAAGAGCATGGTCACAATGTCCGAGTGGTGGTACAGAGTGGCCATCGTCACAGCCAAATCTCCGCCCTGCAAACTCGTAATATTAGTCCATCAGTCGTATAGTCATAGTACAGTCTTACACAGAGCAAGTTGACGTCAGTGTCTGGCAACGTCAGCAGAAAGCGCACGACATCGCTGTGGCCGTGCAAACTGGCAGTAAACAGGGCCGAGTGTTCGTCCTACATGCCCCCATGAGACCAATTTAAAGGTCCAGATCGAATGGATTGGCATAGAATCACGGTACGTGGTCTAGCAGGTTCAAACTCAGGGCGGGGCAAGCGCACAGCTCCTGGACGACGTCCAAATGACCATTTTCACAGGCTGCGGTCAGTGGCGTTCGTCTCTACGGTGCAAAGTCATAAATATACCCTGACAAGTATCATATACAGTGTCCTTACAGCAGTCGCAGCGTTCACATCGATGGCCGGGTGGCCGAGGAGGAGCCGCACAACTTGGACGCGGCCTAGTCCTGCCGCCAGGGCCAGCGGGGGGTGCGACTGCAAACATCAGGGATCATCATACCCTTCTTACGATACTATCACGGTCGTACGTAGTTGCTCAGGTTCACTTGGATCGACGGGTGCGACAACAACAGCGTCACAACCTCGAGGCGCTCTTCCACACATGCCACGCACAGCGGCGTGTCCTGATTGATATATATCATGATTTCATGAGTATTCCAGGCAGACTGTCGGGTACAAGTGGTAGAGTACTTGATGATGCGTGAATCGGTTCAAGTCCAACGCCCCAGAACTGGCCAGTGGCAGCTGGGACCGCACCATGACCTCGTCTCCCGCTTGACATGCCAGATAAAACAGCTCATCGGTACTCGCCTACAACACACATAGGCTCAAATTGTTTGGTTTTATGCCGATATTTTTCCAAATACGTACGGTGGAATTGAGGCACTGCATGGGCTGCAACACGATCGACTTTTTCAACCGAACACTCGACTTGGTTCGATCTGCGTCTTCGTCTTGCCTGGGCGTAGTCACTGAAGCACGAGAACTCTGTGTGAAGTTCTCGGGGCTGGCACCGTTGTCAGCGCGCGTAGCAACGGCATCCTACGACGAGCGACAAATCTGTGATAGGGTGAAGGTTAGGATAAAATGATTACGTGGCGGCCGTCATCTGCACGACAAGGAGGTGGTGTCGTCTCAGGCGGCGCGGTCGGACGCTCCATGGGAAAGAAAGTGGTTTATGTTTGTTTTCACGATAATGGTCGATTGGTTACATACGCTGGAGCGTTTCGCCCCATGACCATGTTTACAGATAGGTCATATCGTCAGGGGGCCTCCTTGTGTGTACGGTGGTCTTTGTGATGAGGTAACTGTCTCTGCGCGGAATCTAAACTGTGAGTATGGCTTTGGGTCAAAATTGCCTGTGATGGCACAACCCTCTAAGGTTATGTGGAAACTTTACCTATACGACTCGAGATGGGGTGTATGGGCGACGAACGTGGCGACAAGCTCCCTATTGCAAGAGGTTTGGTATATCCTCGTAGATAGTGTGAACACTGAATCATTGGATGGAGCATGCATGACCCCATCACACCGGAGATACAGTGCACATCATAAACTGTGGCTCGGCTAAGCAATAAAAACGTGTGGACAACAAGGATGTCTAAAAGTTGCTCTTCTATGTCACTTTACTTTGTTTAGGCGAAGTGGTAAGTAGTACATTTAGAATGCATGAATCCAAATATAGGCCACCATTCTGTAACAGCCCCCCCCACCATCCACGCTTTAAAACACGTTTCCTCGCCAAGTGTTGATGAATAGCGCGCAGTTGTCGCCATCACGTACCCCTGACCCAACAGCCAACGCCAACTCCGTCAATGGGGACGCCACGAACCATTCTGTCCACGACGACGTGGATCCACCTGCGACTCCCCCAGGCGTCCAGATCCACCAATTGATTGGCCTCGCCCATGCGATGCATAAAGTCGTGTGTCTCGTCTGCTTCGCTACCCGACCCAAGACTGCGCCTTATTGCTTGGAGTGTGGGGCGGCAAGCCCCAGCGGCGACCAACCATCCAGTCGTCGCTCGCTGCTAGGGGACGAGAACGTGACGCCTTCCGTCGCCCTCCGAAATGGGGACCTCGGTGTTCCACTAAACACCCCTGTCGATTCAATTCATCAAGCTCCCGGCTCTGCATCTTGCTCCGATGCAGAACCTGCGGACATGAGCTCCAACACTAGCCAAGAGCCCGTGGCTACTATGGACCAACTTTTGGTCATCGACACGAAAGCACACTCTGCTGTTGTTAGTTCTCAAGAAGAAAACTGTCAACTTGAGGCGGCGGTGTCGTCTGATGCTCCAGACACGGATCCCATCAGCTCGAGTGACTTGGTCGATCTTCGTGCACTTGCGTGCGCGATGCGCAAAGTGGTGTGCCTCAGCTGCCACGCCATGAACTTCCAAAGCGAGGTCGTTTGCGTCAAGTGCGGAGCAAGCTTCGCGGTTCCAACCAGCGATCTCCCCCTACAAGGGGCCTCCTCGTCCGCTGAGGTTGTCCTCGAAGAATCTAGCCATGTTGTCGAAGGCGCCTCGAACGAGAACATCCATGGGCGTGTGCGCACGGTGTGTCGTACTTGCTTTGCAACTGGGGCGGCAGACAACACCTTCTGTATCGAATGCGGGGAGAATTTGAGTCTCAGCATCACCAGCCCCGAAACGCAATCTACTTCCGTGCTGGCACCGTCGGCTGTCGTTGGACCAGAAGTTGCTGTACAAGTTGCGGCCACCACGGGCTCGAATGACAGCAACGAACATGGAGACATGGGTCCCCAACAAGGGGACAACAACAACGCCGCATCGAAGAGCCCTGACGGCGGCACCCGCCCCGCCGACGTCATTGGTGGACAAGTTCATCCGGACGATGGGTCCGCCAACAAAATTGCGCCCCCTCCCCCCGACGTTCCGTCATCGTCCAAGCTGCACGCCGACACGATTGTCTACGGAGCGACCATCGTCTTGCGCGGATTCGTACCGCCTTCCGGGGACAATGACGGCAGCGCCACATTCAACAAACCCGAGGGCTTTTGTCCAGTGGCGTTCCGGCCATTGGTGAGCACGGGCTTTGGCAAGTCAAATGAACCGGTCTTGACGCTCGTCCAAGCCAACGACTGTCCCCTGCCACTCGCGCAATTTGTCGTGTACGTCATATATATTTGCACGCTACGGCATCGATAGTTTTATTTGCTGCAGAATTTTTCGTATTTATATCATATACTTCGAAGTACTGCGAAGTGTATATTAATTTATCGTGCTTTTGAAGTGTATAATAATTTATCGTGCTTGGGGGGATTATCCTTAAAATATTTGTTGAGTTATATAATCGCGAAATATCCTGACATATTAAAGAAATATCTACCGGTATATATATTTGTGTGCCTGCATTAGTAGCCCATTGATCTCGTATATTAGTTGTAAAATATATTTGTTGATGGTACCACTTGTGTAGGCTGCCCCCGCCAGGGGACAAGAACGCGCGGCTGGGGAAAACGTCTGTGCATTTCTTGCAAAAGGTCGTGTTGGCCATCGCGCCGTCGGTGGCTGGCGACCCCACACACTCGTGGAATAACAAGTGTGTCCATTCATTTGATTTCATCTACTATATTAAATATATTTATGGATTGGACGACTATGATGTGTCAGATTACCCGGTGGCGTGAATGACTTCATTGGGACGCGGCCGCGACTCCAGCCCGATCACGCCGGCCCAACTAAAGGCGAGCTCCACGTGATGTTTGTTCAGACAGACCATCCAACCTCCACGCAGGTCGGAAGTTGATACTCCATACATCAAGCACATTGTAGTGACTTATGTGTTGGTAGAAACTGGCCACGGGCATGGCCAACGTCACGATTCGGGTGGTGGATTCGAATCGACTGAGGGAGACTTATACGGCCCAGGATGTGGGCTTTTGCGTCGCGGCCGGCGGGAAGAGCTCGCCGTTGGTCGTCGGCCACGAAAAGAGTTTGATGGAATTTGCCAAAAAGGTACACCCGTCCGCCCTCACGTTTCGCGTGGAGAGGGTCAAGGACGCGCGGCAGTCGAGTTCACCAAGTCCCGCAACGGAACAACAACCCGGGGGGACTGCGGAGCAAGCGTTGGAATAGTCGTCGGAAAGCAACATCCCAACTAGAGCGAGTAGACGACAAGTGGATAATAGAATTGTGGCCGATTACTTGCAGTTTATATTAATACTTCATGATTGGGGCAACACGAACGACCACGATGTGTAGATGATGTCAGCAAATGCCACGTTCTACTTCATGTTCATCGATTCATCCTCACTGTGTTTAATCTTGTCGGGGGCTATTGACATCGCTAGTAGATCATCTCTAACGCGAAGGTAGATACCGATGGTCGATGTAAACCAATGCTGGTGTAACCTCTTTTGACGACAACTCTGTTTCCATATAATATAACATGAACGTTATAAATGATCCACACAACACTTACGACAGCGCCGTTTGCCACTGGCGGATATAGTGGTCCGAGTTGGTAGCTCATGGAATATTAATTTATATTTATATTACGATCGAGGTATTTTTCCGATAACGATTTTCGCTATAAACCTCCAAACTCGGGTGGTTGATTACTGTATTACTACTCCCTCTGTTCCAAGGTAAGTGCGCGAGGTGTATCATGCCAGTACTTCTGATTGGCTGAATGTACTTGGTAGTTTCTGTAAGAGCCAATCAAGTGCACTAAAATTCATTAGCCAATCCAATAGGTGGCAATAGGTGGAAACTAGCAGTGGTTCAAACAATACTGAGCGCTCGCAGGCTCCCCATACAACAGTATTACCGTGTCCTCAAGTCAGCTCGAGTTTCCATGCAACACAGCGTAATCCTATTCTCCGTGTGTGGAAGTTCAAGCAGCAGTACTGTCACATGGACACACAATTTCATTACGACACCCACGGAGAATTGGAACACCCGCGATGCAGCGTCGCGGCGCGGATCGCGTCGGACTTTTTGGCCACAACAAACCTGCCCACGGCAGCGTTGGTCGTGAGTTGGTTGATTCGGAATGGACGGTGGACGACGGTCAAGTCGATTTGGGACACCAACGTGACTCGCGTGACCTCGACGATGTGGTCGTGGCGGTCGTAGCTCAGCACGTAGCAGTCGCCGCCGCGCTGGCTGATAGTGCATTGGCTTTGGTAGTCTGGACACTGTTGAAACAGCGGGTAGACTGACCCGCCGGTGTACATGTCTACCTCGGTAAACAAACAAGTCACGCCTTCAACGGGATATGAAGGAATACATCGTGGAGAGAGTTGTGTGCGTCGGTCGTACCATGGTTCAGATTACCCAAATTGCAAAACCATAGCATGAGACGATGTTTGAAATCGTTGTAGTGAAAGCTGCTTTCGACCATGTGCTTGGGTGGCTACAACACGACTAATCATTAGATATCGTGGGTTTCTAAGTTGGTAAACTCTTGTCATACCTCGACAACCATTTCGATGGCGTGAATCGGCCCAATCGAACCGATCGACGACCGCCGGCGGTTGGTGGCAATGAGGATGCTCACAAAACTCACCTTTTGCTTCAACGTCGGCATCTTAGTCGTGCTACGTTGAACCGCATTCCACACGCCAGAGCACGCAGCGACTGCAAACGGCAAATTGCCCATCGTACCCAAGTACACTGCCATAACCAGGGCAATGTCCATGTGTCCAATGTGGTGGAGCTTTGATACGTCCGCGTCCACATTGTACGGAAGGAACAGGCTCGTGTACAAGTCGAGGACCTTGGGCCATTGCTTCTGGATAGTCACAATGCCGCCGCCAGCCCACGTCGCTGCCACGGCCAAGACGGTCGTGTTGGCAGGGGCGAACCACGTCGTTCTGTGACATCGTTTCAGCATGATGTTCAGTATCGTTAGCGTCGAGTAGGCGCACCAGACTGTGCGGCCCAAATACAGCAGCCCGAGGCCGAAATAGAGCCAATTCTCGGTTTGACAGACCCGCAGACATGCTTGGCCGACGTACTCGGTGCTGGCGCAAATGTCCACCACAAACGCCAAGCACAGCCACGGGTTGGACAAGACCACGCACGTTGGCTCGCCCACGAGGATCTCGTACCTCGTTATCGCTGGTGATGTCACATGGAGGGGGATAGTTTTCAAGTTGTTGTACAAGTGATACACGTGGCAGTAGTAGTGCGTCGTGCAGAGCATAAAAATCCACACACACAGGCCTATCCTGTACAGAAACTTGACCAGGCGCCACAGCAGGGGTTTCACCACGGGGCGGTACACGTAATACACTGTCGACGCCGACGAATTGGTGCTGGAGCTGGCGGCGGTGCTGCCCAGGTCGTTGCCTGGAACGATCCACAGCACAGACGTGGACGCAGTGGTCGTCAAGATGGTGATGTTCCACGAGATGATGCGGCGGTAACCGAAGCGGTTTGTGTAGGTGAGGACCCACGGCCAGTTGCGTTTCACGTCGGGGGGGAAGTAGGGGACCCCAAGGATGCTATATACTGGGTTCAACGTTGTTGTGGTTGCTTCTGTGGGGTCTAGAACGTCAACCACGACTGTCCGCATCACGTCGAGGCCGTTCTGGCTGTCGTAGTCGTACATAATTGTAGGGGCCATCGTGGATGCATTGAAAAGTAGAGGGAGAGTCATATCAAACTCGGACGCTTCGACTGTGCTATCGGTAGTGAACGGCGACCCTTCAGACAAGTACACTTTGAGTGGCATGAAGAGCAGGTTCGCGAACAAGCCCACGGTGAGCAGGACCGACTTCCACTGGAATCGAACCTCATGAGACGTCGCCGCAGATGTCATGGCGTCAAATGACAAAAACTTACGAGGCGTGGGCTATAAATACAATAGCACAAATGCGAAAAGTGACTCACTGGTGAAGCTGTACAGTTATTTTTTCAAGGCCACAGAACCAACCACTATGAACAATCCACGCACCGCAAAGAGTCAAGGAGACGAGTACTTATCGGACGACAGTTGCCACAATCGAGCAAACGATTGGACGGTGTACAGCAGTTTTTTATTTTTGTCGTCCACTGAACAGTACATATACCTGGGAACCGACAATTTACGCACAATGTGTTGGAGGTATTGCTAGCTCCGAAGGTGTCAAAGCGTCTGGGGTGGTGAGTCATGCGTCGCACAATCGAATTCAGAATGGACGACGTCACTCGTCACTTTGCAATGAGGTGGACGTACAGTATATATGTAGAGTACTCGAATGTACCCATGGTGTGAGGACTAGCATGTTGTAGCTACTACTAAGTAGTAGGCAAGGAAAGGTAAGGTCGTTGTTGTAGCTAAATTCGTTGCGGTAGCTAGGCCAGGAAAGGTCACTGGTGAAGTTGATACCGAACGGACACCCCTACAGCTTACATCGCAGTGTCAATCTCGCCAGTTGTACAAATGTAGATGTAGCAGACCCATTAGGTAGTAGGTATCCTTGGCACGAACATTGAGAAGTGAATTTAGACGCGATTGGACATGGCGACAAGCTGTGAGTACTTCAACGTACCACCTGAACTCGGTACCTTAGGTCATACTAGTACTGTATCTCCTCTCCATCGCTTAAATCTATTCCCAAACAGCAATAACGTTAGAGACAATTTCATTACGACACCCACGGAGAATTGGAACACCCGCGATGCAGCGTCGCGGCGCGGATCGCGTCGGACTTTTTGGCCACAACAAACCTGCCCACGGCAGCGTTGGTCGTGAGTTGGTTGATTCGGAATGGACGGTGGACGACGGTCAAGTCGATTTGGGACACCAACGTGACTCGCGTGACCTCGACGATGTGGTCGTGGCGGTCGTAGCTCAGCACGTAGCAGTCGCCGCCGCGCTGGCTGATAGTGCATTGGCTTTGGTAGTCTGGACACTGTTGAAATAGCGGGTAGACTGACCCGCCGGTGTACATGTCTACCTCGGTAAACAAACAAGTCACGCCTTCAACGGGATATGAAGGAATACATCGTGGAGAGAGTTGTGTGCGTCGGTCGTACCATGGTTCAATTTGCCCAAATTGCAAAACCACAGCATGAGACGATGTTTGAAGTCGTTGGAATGAAAGCTGCTTTCAACCGTGTGCTTGGGAGGCTACGGCACGAAGAATGATTGGATATCGTGGGTTTCTAAGTTGGTAAACTCTTGTAATACCTCGACCACCATTTCCATGGCGTGAATCGGCCCAATCGAACCGATCGAGGACAGCCGGCGGTTCGTGGCAATGAGGATGCTCACAAAACTCGTCTTTCTCGTCAACGTCGGCATCTTAGTCGTGCTACGTTGAACCGCATTCCACACGCCAGAGCACGCAGCGACTGCGAACGGCAAACTGCACATCATACCCAAGTACACTGCCATAATCAGGGCAATGTCCATGTGTCCGATGTGGTGGAGCTTTGATACGTCCGTGTCCACATCGTATGGAACGAACAGGCTCGTGTACAAGTCGAGGACCTTGGGCCATTGTTTCTGGATAGTCACAATGCCGCCGCCAGCCCACGTCGCTGCCACGGCCAAGACGGTCGTGTTGGCAGGGGCGAACCACGTCGTTCTGTGACATCGTTTCAGCATGATGTTCAGTATCGTTAGCGTCGAGTAGGCGCACCAGACTGTGCGGCCCAAATACAGCAGCCCGAGGCCGAAATAGAGCCAATTCTCGGTTTGACAGACCCGCAGACATGCTTGGCCGACGTACTCGGTGCTGGCGCAAATGTCCATGACAAACGCCAAGCACAGCCACGGGTTGGACAAGACCACGCACGTTGGCTCGCCCACGACGATCTCGTACCGCGTCATCGCTGGCGATGTCACATGGAGGGGGATAGTTTTCAAGTTGTTGTACAAGTGATACACGTGGCAGTAGTAGTGCGTCGTGCAGAGCATAAAAATCCACACACAAAGGCCTATCCTGTAGAGCAACTTGACCAGGCGCCACAGCATCATCTTCACCACGGGGCGGTACACGTAATACACAGTCGACGACGCATTAGAGGTGGCAGCGGTTCTGCCTAGGTCGTTGCCGGGAACGACCCACAGCACGGATGTGGACGCACTTGCGGTCAATATTGTAATGTTCCACGAGATTATGGTGTGCGTAGCATGGAGTGGCCCGGCCGTGGTGTGGTTGGTAGAGGTGAGCACCCACGGCCAGTTGCGTTTCACGTCGGGGGGGAAGTAGGGGACCCCAAGGATGCTATACACTGGGTTTAACGTTGTCGTGGTTGCGTCTGTGGGGTCTAGAACGTCAGCCACGACTGTCCGCATCACGTCGAGGCCGTACTGGCTATCGTAGTCGTACATAATTGTGGGGGCCATCGTGGATGCATTGAAGAGCAGAGGGAGAGTCATATCAAACTCGGACGCTTCGACCGAGCTATCGGTGGTGAACGGCGACCCTTCGGACAAGTACCCTTTGAGTGGCATGAAGAGCAAGTTTGTGAAAAAGCAACTGGTGAGAAGGATCGACTTCCAGTGGAAATGAACCTCAGGAGACGTCGTCGTGCCCATCGTGATAGATGTTGTTGGACGGAGTACGAGCTATAAATACACTAACGTTACTGATCGTAAGACAGGAGTCGCGAAACGTAACTGATTTTAACCGACCTTGGCGAAATTCAGACAACGAGCCTAGTTTGAGGGGAAATGCGCGTGTGAATACTATGCGTATGTAGCTGTTGGACCGTTAACTAACGTTAGCCGTCGGTTCGCTGGAATATCGACAAAGATTGGCATGAAATGTCCGCCCCAAACCACGTCGTGTCGTAAGAGACAGCCACCATGCAAAGTCACAGGGGGGGCATCGATGTCATAGCTTGCTTCAGAAGACTGCCTTCATCTCCAATGTTGGCAGCAATCACACATTATTGGACAGAGCATTGTAATCCTATCGGAGACGTACTCCATCTCTAGCTCATCGAGGGGGAAGGGAGATCGTTGGACAGTTGGCTTACGACAAGGCCGTCCAGGAGCGTTATCTAGCAATCGTTACATTGTGGGCGTGCCTCCTTGCTCGTGATGGCTTCGCATGCTCAACGAGGAGTGAGGGAAGTGAAATTTCAAGCCAGCCACAGCAACAAGACGGGATTGAACTGATGGAACAGTAGGGCGCAAGGCACAAGGTAGAGTAGTTACCGCTTCCATTGCCTGTGGCATTGCCACGAGGCTACATGTAGAGGCCAGCTACAGCTAGGCCTCGACAGCATGTCAGCACACAAATTGTTTGATTGCGAACCTATTCCAGGAGGGCATTTGAAACGTTTTAAACGGTTTTCTATTGAGCGTGATGCGTTTTTCGTTAACCGTCCCCATCCAGTTTCCCCATTGGATAGTAAAACGTCTTTAACGCGTTCGAATAAAACGCCACGTCGCCCGCCACCAACCAACACGAGCCATTTTATCCGGATTACCGAATACTTCACCTTGGGCCAATGCACCAGTCATTTCCGTTTTCATTTCCCGAGAAGTTTGAATATGGCCGAAGTCGCTGCTGAAGTGAAGTTGTTCAACAAGTGGTAAGTAAGCGTGGCGATGTATGTACCTGTTGCATGTCGGAAGGATGAATATGGAGATGCAATCCCGAGAAACGATCAGGAAGGGACCAGCAGGAGCCACAGTGGTGATGATCGGGAGCTCACGTGATCATGCTGTCTCTGTGTAGGACCTACGATGACATCAAGGTCAACGACGTGGCCTTGATCGACTACGTCGCCGTGACTGGCAAGGCCGCCACGTTCTTGCCCCACACCGCGCAACGCTACCAAAAGAAGCGTTTCCGCAAGGCGTTGTGCCCCATCGTCGAACGCTTGGGCAACTCGCTCATGCGCCACGGCCGCAACTCCGGCAAGAAGCTCATGGCTACCCGCATCTTGCGCCACACGTTGGAAATCATCCACTTGTTGACCGACCAAAACCCCCTCCAAGTGTTGGTCGATGCCGTGATCAACGCCGGCCCCCGCGAAGACTCGACCCGCGTCGGTTCCGCCGGTGTCGTGCGTCGCCAAGGTGTGGATGTCTCCCCTTTCCGCCGCGTGAACCAAGCCTTGTACTTGTTGAGCACTGGTGCCCGCGAAGCCGCCTTCCGCAACGTCAAGGTACGTCCCATATCATCTCGACACACACCACAGAAAACTTATTCCATCTTGTGTGAATGTAGACCATTGCCGAATGCTTGGCCGATGAATTGATCAACGCCGCCAAGGGTTCTTCCAACTCGTACGCGATCAAGAAGAAGGACGAAGTGGAACGTGTTGCCAAGGCCAACAGATAAACAACGCGATTGTCTAAGGGGCGACATGCCAGCTTTTGCTGCTGTCGTGTTGCGAATAAGGGAAATGAAAACACCCAGACGAGTTTTGTGTATTAACTTGCTAATACATACGAGTTCGACAACCGCAGCAGCAACCCCAAACTGGCGAGTCGGGTAGCATCAGTGCAAAGTGGCTTCGTTATATATATATATATATATATATTATATATATATATATATATATACTACTACTACCTAGTAAATATGTGGCTTAAATACAGGTGAAAAGTAGGAGTTCGTTGAGAGTAATTTACAATTACTAGTAGTAAACAACGACAAAGTGCAATGTGACTACGATGGGAACTTGATGGGCAGTTCAAACATGCACACGATTAAAACAACATACAAAGATCAAGTATAAGGCTTTGAATATATATATAATATTTCTATGCTTGGCTATCACCAACAAAGCCATCGTTTGAATACTATAAATAGTAACAATAAATTAAGTAGATAAATATTAATACTTGAAGTAATAATAACGTTAACCTGGGGATTGCGGCTGGTATGAGCTCTAGAAGACTCACCAAAGTCCACTTATTAGCTGAAGCCCCGTGCTTGTTGCAGTGGAAGCAACGACGAGCATGTTTGGTCGTTGCCTAGTTGGACTTGTACTGATCAACAGCTTCGTTGGTTGGCGCACCATCCTCCTCAGAGAGAAAGCATCCGTTGCGTTGGGCTGTACGTACAATAGCGGTTGAAGGCATGGATAGGAGATATACACTTGCGCATGCATAGTTTATTCACGACAAGGTAGCGTTCCTGTAATGATGCTGCTGGCAAGTCGATCTTGGAGTGTATAAGTTACGCCATTATATTAGTTATTGATTCGTCGCGGATAATTACAGTAGTTAACGTTAGCAGTCCATAACATATTGAACAACCATGGCAGGACTCAAAGCGTCCGTTTGTGTGTGCTACCAAAATCCATTCAACCTTTGTATTCAAACCCATTCAACCTTTGTATTCATGATCATATACTAGTAACTACTACTACGTAGTACGTAGTAGTACTGTATATCATGTACTTCAAGTAGTACTTACTGCCCGTGTACAATCGCCGAAGCATGCAGAGTTTATCGACACCTAAAATCGCGGTTCAATTCAATGTGTAGTTGCATTAACCACCACTGGAGCCTTCAACATGTCATCGTTGTCTCACACTACTACCCCATACTAACGTTAGAACGCCATCACATAGTTTAGTATTGATAAATTAGTTGAATACGCTTCAGGCGTCGGTCGCAACCAAATGCAGCAGCCAACCGTGTCTACAGCCCTTGGCCACTTACAGTGTCCGAGCGCGTGGCAGCACCCATTGCACGAGTACCGTCGCTGTGCCGATCGCTCCCGCCACCACTCCAGCCACAACACTGCACGCTGCGATGTAGGCGGTCTGTGAATTTGAGCACGCGGCCTTCTTCAGTTTGGTGTCAGCTTTCCGGGGGCCATTTCCCACTTGCGTGTTTGGATGAGTTGTCGACTTCAACGATTCGGTGAGTTGGTGGTTGGCTGTAGACAATGGGGCCGCCCGTCGTAGGCCGCCGGATTTCGCCTGCTTGTCACTGGAGGAAGGCTTCGCATGATGCGTTAAACAAAAACCAGCCCAGCTGTCACCATCAAAGCACACTTGGCCATGGGGACACTGGGCATCCACCGAGCACGGCCGCCTTAGCACTGGCCCATCGTTTGGCGGGTTGTCAGAAACGCATTCACAAGAACACTGGCGGACGCTGGTTGCGCTGCTGTCGGGGTGATGAGTGTAGTACGTGCAGCGATAGCCATAGGTGCACGACGTTGCTGGAGTTCGGCACATGGTGTCTTGGGCTACAGTTGCATGAGCGCTGAGCAGCAGCAAGGTCACCATCACCACCGCGTGAAATCTCGACGTCATTGGCATTTGTCCAATTTAATCGGATGACTACGGTACGCTCGCTGTTGACGCGAATATGCGTACAGTATGTGACGGCAATCGAAGGGTCATTTACCTTTTTGAATTAATGTATTGTCGTATTTCATACTTCAATATGCCATTATGTGTATCGGGGGATCACATTGTACACAGTTAAAATACAATACTCTGAGAGTGTATATTTTGTATTTTTGTTGAGTACTGCAAACAGAAGGCCAAAAAGTTGATGGCCACGGCAATACAGTACCGGTATGAAGTGACTGACACTACGGCAGTTGTGTTGGGTTGTTCTTATGGAATACCACGCGATACTCCAGGGCTGAACTCTGTAGCTTAGGACTACTTGGCACAAGATTGATATGATTCAAGCAGCAACCAGTACTAGTAGTAGATCATACAAGTACCGAGGCAGAGCTACTGTAATATGTTGTTATCTTTCACTTCATCAGTACTGTAGTATTTCAGAGATTTTGAACTTTGGCGAATTTTCCAAAATGCCAAATTTCGAGATTCATATTGTCAAAGGCGGATTTTTACAGTACTGTACACTGTACTACTCCTAGGTTGTACTCCTACTACGTAGTAGAAGATCCCAGCTTGTGCACAAACAAGGTGAAGCAACTCTGTGGGCACGGTTGTCTCGACAACTGAACCGTGCAAGTCTTAAGCCTACCTGGCACTTTAGCATTGTCGGGAAAGTGAAGACCATAGTGAAACTTGTTCGAATCTCGGACAGTTGAAAGCAGTACAGTACTATTAGTACGTTGTCGAGGAAAGTGCATTCTCCACCCATCAATGTTACTGTAATATACCGACACTGTACATTTGAACGATCTATACTGTTGTATATGCAGTGACAATAACGTACGTGCCGATATGAGGTTTGGTTGTTGTCGCAGATATGGTGGCTCAAATTTAGTCCAATTTGATATACAGCGCTGGCCCTGACGTCATGTTCTCGAGTAGCTTCCCCGCCTTTGAGTGGGAATCATGCATTGTACCAGCGATGCATGCTGAAGTGTATTGATTATTTGAGTGCAATCGACAAGCAGTACAGTGTTGTGATGGAGATGTTGCGAACTCGGTTGTAGTCTCGCGTTCAGATTTCTCAGCAGTCGCTGCCATCACGACTGTAACACTGTTCAATCCCTTGCTGTAACTACAAAGGACATAAACCATCCACCAATGACATTCGAGAGTTGTTAAATAAATGCAAAGATACGCTTTTTCGAAATGGGAAAATTCCTCGTCAGGCCTCAATGTTTTAAACGGTTTGTAAACGCTTCAAAACCACAATGACTCCTCAATGCCTGGTCGACTGAACATGCAAAAGTGTGTACTCCAAGTGCATACTTCATCGTGATTGGTTCAAGGGCTTGGATATAGTGGATACCTTGCTCTCGCTCTACTGGTTGTATTGTGCGTCGACAATTGAAACCCGTTTAGAACTGGTTTTAAACAAATAGTCAGCCAAAAAGGAGCACTACAACACAAACGCGGGGAATATTTCCCCAAGAGAACTGTTGGCAAGGCAGGCAGGCTGCAGTGCGCCATAAATCGAAATTCTTGCAACGGTCAACATGGGTAAGAGAAATGTATTCCTTGGACTTGTATGACATCGTCGGTTAGAGATGGCGTGTCCGCCGTCAATCCTCTTGGGAAATATCATGGAGAACTACATGAGCCCCCGCAACCACCACCAAGCGGCCAGCGAAGTGGGTGAATGTGTGGAGCTAGCGTCAGAAGACAATGGAATGCACACGCCGTGGGATCAACTCAGTCCGGCTTCGTCTGTGTCAGTGTCGCCAGTATCCAGCACTGCGTCCACGATGTCCTTTGCATTGGATCACATGGACGAAGACGAACTCGAACTTGATGAAGCTAGTACCATGGTTGTCGTGTCAACGAAGTCTGTCGAGGACTCATGTGGCATTGTTGCTTGGGTAATATCGTATCCTTGATGGCATTCCTTCGACACTGACGTCAATCTAACACGCAGAGCGTTTCGTCATCCGTGGACAAGCAAGGACGAGCGGAGAAAGCGCCGGCTACACTGTCGATTCTGGCTAGCGAGCTGGTGCAAGAGGGCAGCAATGCCACTACGAGCCCCCACAGCCAGGTCCCCGCAACAGATGCGCCGAGTGCTGCCACCTCGAGTTCCCAAAACCCTGAAACCGCATTGCCTGAACTGAATGAGTTGCTGCCAAAACTGCGTGTCACGGTATGTCTTGTCGCATGCCGTGGCTGCCTCTATCGCTCTGGCTTACCCGGGTGTAGGAGCTTATTGTTGATGGTGCAAAGTCGCCGAAGGTGGTGCCTGTCACCACCCACACGAACCCCTTCGAGTGTTCCCCCGACTCCATCGTATGTACATCTCATTTATCCTTGTTGTCTTTCGTAATGGGTGTACCATAGGCTATTCATATCGGTAATTTAACGGCTATCAAGGGCTTTGCCCTCAGTCCCACCTGCGCCGTGCACGAGCACGAGGAAGGTCTCCACGACCAAGTTGCCGCCACCGCCCCTCCTTCGACAGCGTCACCAGCCGCATCCCAACTGCTGTGGCAATGCGAGGTCTGTCACAACCACGACACCACTCTTAGACTTCACGTTTTATATAGCCCATGCTATTGTTATATAGCATGTGCTAATGTTTCATGTGTGTTTAGGAACCTCCGCGGCTGCTGCTAACGTATCCAGCTGCAGCCACGTCCACCACATCATCCCCTCCATCTACTGAGCGTACCGGAGACGTCGACGCGCTTCGTCCTCCATGTGCTGCCTTGTCTAGTTCACCAACTCAGCCCGAGGACGCCCCTCTCTGTGGCAGCCTCCTCATGTCGACCAAGGAAACCATCCCCACACACGAAGCAGTTACTCGTTCCCTCCTCACGACCAATCATCCAACCAAACGAATGGTTCAGCCACGTCCACCATCTCCACCGCCACCTTCCAACCACCCTGCATTTGCCCATGCATCTGAGTCATCCCCCACCACCTGTTGGTCGTTGCATGAAATCGCTCGCTTCAAAGTGCACTCCATGGCCAGCCCCCCCCCGTCGTCGTTTTCGTCCTTTCGGAGCAGCGGCAGCAGAACATACCCCACGTCCATGGTGCTGCTGCCATTCCATTTTGAATCCGAACTGCGATCGCATGGAGTGGACGCGGCCCTGGAAGCTATGGGCCGCGGCTGGTCGCTGGCGCTGTCGCTGCTTCAATCAGCCATCCACACGCTACTCCACAAGGCACCTACTACTAGTACTACTAGTCGGACTTGGTACTACTTGTACTTGGTTGACGAAGTCAAAGGAACGCTTGTGGTGCTGCCACGTCCCGAGACGTCGACCTACCCCCTGTTGGTCGAGTCCACAGCGGTGGTGCCGCTGCTGCCGTTCCTTGCGTCTAGCCTGCACCTAGTGCACAACATCGAGCCGTTGGAAGCCATGCTGCACCCGTCGAAAACGACGGTGGAAGGAACCCTTGTGCACCTACGTGCAGCTCAAGCCGCGTTGCGCCACCCGTCCGTGCAGTATGTGGACGTGCTGACCACCGCTGTCAGTCAAGCCAAGCGAGGGGGTCGAGTGTCGAGACGAAGGGTGCAGGACGTGGCCCGGCGTGAGCTGCACCTATTCCTGCAAACGCTTGATCCTGAGCATGAGTGCAGTGGCTTGGGATGTGTGGTGGAACCCACCACTGGAGTGCCTTTGTGGACAGCCAGTTTACCGCCTCCGGTGGACACATACGTGGCATACTTTGAAGACACGGATGATGTGTTGGATGAGGTGGGTGCGTTGGTTATGTACATTAAACTGATGGTCTGAGGTAGATGGCGCAGTTTTGTGCCGATAAATTCGGTCGCGGGCGCAGCAGCGTCCTTGGCGGACACGAGCGCGTGTGTGATTGCACGATTTCCTAAGTGGAGTATTGCAGCAGTTTACTCCAGAGCGAAGTTTTATCTTGTTTGAGTTGCACGGAAATGAAGAATGAATGTTACATGGAAAGTCTGATGGATTCTTCACCTACTAACTACTATAGTATACTATTAATAGTACAGGACATATGGGGTTTCAGAACGAAATGGTAAGATTGATGTCCGGATACCAAAAGGTATACTTCGTACTTCATGTAGTAGTACTACGTAGTATTTTCTTCCAACCGGACAATGGACTTTTCCTTATATTTTCTTCCAGAGTAGTACAGGTGATAGTTGTATCCACAACCGTCAGCACTGTACAGTGTACAGGTGATTGCTGTGTCCACAACCGTCAGCACGTTCATGGAGCTTTGGTGGGGAGTGGCTATAGATCGACTTATAACTACTCGTGTGGCTGGCCACACGAGTTTCCTGTAGTTCACTTTGCAAATTGCTTCTCTCAATCCCTAGCGATGCGTGTGCTTTCGTTTTGGGGAGAGGCCTTGTCGCTACTACTTCACTCGACCGCTGCCACCGACTGGAAGTGCATTCCTGGCAACCCGATTCCGTTCTCGTTGTCGGCCGACGGAGAAGTGCAGTGTTGGTCTCTTAATCACCACACTTGCTACAACAATGGCGACTGCCAATCCACGATCAACAGTGCACCGGACGCCCCCGATCCGTTGGTGTGTGGCGCTATGCATCAAAAGGCGTACGGGTACACTGGCTACGACTACGGCCCCGAGCACTGGTGCAACTTCGCTAAAGACGCGCTCGTTCCTGTGTGGAAGTGTCTGGAGGATGCGGACGCGACGTTGGGGCCGTGGGCGAACTCTCCCATGTCTCTTGATGCAAACGGCGATGTCCAGTGTTGGTCCAACAACGGAAGGGAATGCAATGTGGCCCCCGAAGGCTGCAAAGCCACCATCACGTCCGGAGCTAAGCCACTGTCCAAGATGGTGTGTGGGTGTGACATTCTGTCCAAGTTTGGTAACACGGGGTACGACCAAGGCCCCCGGAGCTTTTGCAACTTTGCGCAAAAAGCGCTTAACGCCAGCCCCCCCAACCTCCCCTGCACCCCTCCTTCCGCAGTCTGTACCTTTAAAGACGGCGACGTGATTGGGCTGCAAGCCGACACGGGCGAGTTTGTCGGCCGATGCAACGGTTGCCTGAGGAAGCCGAGGACGACCTGGGACGTGATTCTTCTGGGCCCTCTGAGCTATTCGACCAAGTGGACAGTCCGCAACATCCCCCACATTGGAAAAATCACTCTTGTGCTGGACACGGGGGCGTATTTGGGTCGCTGCCACGGATGTGCCGGAGGGGCCACCCTTCCGGACCAAGCGTTTGCCGTGCCCCCCTCTGGGGTAAACTACCTCGTCGACCCCAACGTCCAGTGGACATGTGAGGAAGCTGGGCCCGACAACCGAATTGCGCTCAAGGGCGATATGGGCACGTACTTGAGTCGATGCCATGGCTGTGTGCCCATCATTGGCGGGGTCCCAGACGCCATGTTCATGCACGCGAGAGACTGGCGGAGCAATGGGCCGGCCCAGTTCACTCTGCACCGCCTGCCGTCTACGCCGCCGATGATGCTAGCCGTCAAGTCTTCACATGACAACTCTGTGGAGTCAGTAGACGAAGCGACTGTTGCTGGGACCGTGGTGATCGCCGTAGCCGGCTGTGTTGGAGTGGCGGTCGCCGCTATGACGATGCATCGCCGCCGTCGTAATGTCCGCCGACAAGGGTTTGTGCGCGTGTAATGTCAGCTGGTACAACCCATCGCGTACAGTTGCACTGTAACGTTACTAGTATTTGCTTAGTACATAGCGGCGACTGACTTGCAACTAATTTGAAGCTGGATTTCATACTGCGGGAAACGATCAACTTTACAATCCTCAAACGATATGGCAGTACGTTGTTCATCATCTACACCATACAACACGCTGAATCAAATCGAGTTCAGTCTGAGGAAGAAAGCAACGTGCACTGCTTTTAATTGCCATTTTGAAGGATTGGCACCGTCCTCAATTTATTTCGCTGAGTTGCTTGGCACGGTTGCACAACTTTTTAAAATATGACATTGCTAAATCTATTTATATGTTAGAAAATTATAACATAACATATCAATGTATGCTATAAATTATAGCTCAAGATGACAATAATTGTTTGCCATCTTTCACGCTATATTTGAAGTTTTCGCCAAAATGCGTCTTTAATGTGTTGCTTCGTGGCTCAGAGATCACCGATCAACGCAAGAACATGGTAGCATGTACAGCAGCATTGATACTACGTAATAAAGCGGCATGGACGGTGTTACGATGGTTATTGCGGGATATAATCACACCCAAAGTAAGCTATATTTCAGATTTTTTGCTTGTTTGAGGTCACTTCACGCATGCTAAATAAGTGCAATCGCCACACATCACGTCTCGTTATATAGCCTGCAGCCATCTCTTCAGTTTTCATATTAAATGTATCACGCCAAGACCAGCCGTTGCTGAGCAATTCAACGACAAAGTCATGTACTTTCTCGATAACGTTAGTTAACATTGTCATAATTTATGACAAACATTGATGTTAACTTATGTTAACTTGATGCTATATTTCGATGTTATCTTTTTAAATTATGACATACACACTACGTAGTACTACGTAGTACTACTTGTATTCTCATGGATACTTTTCCAAAAATCATCGCAACTGGCGGCCAAAATTTGAAGTCCATACGTATACGTGTTGAACAGCGCAATCGAATACAAACTTAACGTTAACTTGCGCAAGTTTTCGTTCAAGGGTTAGTTGGATGCAAGTTACACCAAGCTATAAATAGATACACCACCACCACATGATCGCATATCTTGAAATGTCAGGTCCACAGTGAGGGCGACATGGCGAGACCTGTGACGACGTTGGAAGCAAGTTGACACGGAAAGCAGGAAATCTATTCGATCCTCCCATCACTCAATTGAAAACGCTAGAAAACGTCAACACCAACAACCGACAAAGTCCCCCCGCGGGAACAGAGCTGACCAATACTTTATTTTTACTTATTTATGAGGTTCTCATCGGCGGGTTATTTACTTTTTTGGAAGTCATGCACGTTGTATCTATTCACCATCACGTCTGCAAAGAATAATTTATTCCTATGTTCCCCTCAGACGAATAACTTACTCGAATAATTCAAACATGGACAAGCTGTATTATTAATCGATTAAGGGCAACTCCACCCGTTGGATTTATTGAATGAGATTTATTCGGATAACGTACGGATAACAGCGAGGTTTAATGGAGTTCCAGGGATAAATCTCAATTTCCCCACCCATGAGATTTATTCCGATTCACACACACAGGCCGCCGTACTCTGACAGTCAGAGTGCGGCGGCCTATGTCGTAAAGTAGCTATGGTGCATTTCATCTAAAGACTACAGATCGGCCATCAGGAAAAGACGTTTTAGTTTAAACGCCTCGGTTCTTTCAGTTAACTGTAAACCCAGGTTAAACGTTCTGAATAATCTGGATAAAATGGAACAGTCAGCATTCATGTAGCTGCTACGAGTGCGGAACCAAATGAAACCCACATGACGACTATCACATCACAGTTAATCAAACGTTACAGTAGAAATCCATTCTGAGCACGACGTACGCCACAACGGCAGGTCCAATCAGTACTTCCAGGGGTATTTCGCGTGAAGAAGAGCTCGGCCAATTGGTGCCCACGTAGGATGTTGGTTTTTTTTTGGTTGGGTTGGTTCATCAAAACAGATAATGAATGTCAGCACTCGACCTTGAGTTCCAATGGACATCCAAACGTTTGAATGGCCACACGCCATTGGAACTCAAGGTAGGAGTGCCAACCAACGAATTATTCCTTGGTGATTCAATACTTATTCATTTCTGTAAGCTTTGAGTATAACCTATTTTCATGCTCGAGAAATCAAGGTTATTTGCTTTCTTGGCACAGAGTAGAAGAATTATCTTTTTAATATATTCGCAAAAAAGTTATTTTTTGGTCAGCTCTGCGCGGGAACGCGCAAGGGATGGTCGTCGGTGGGGGAAATTGCTCACATGACCTCGCCCATGGTCGTGCTCAAGATCATACAGTATTTCAAGTGAAAAGTCTAGGGGCCACGATTCTCCATTCACTCTGTTCCAAACGAAGGCGTTTCGGGGTTTTGGAAAGGCAACTTGGCGTCGAATTGCTGCCGCCTCGGGCCGTACGCGGGCATCAAGTTCAATCTCTTTGAACAACTGCAAACGCTGGCCAATCACAGTTCCTTCGGATGCGACTTATCCTCTGACCATCCGTCACGAAGCCCGGCGCATCGTGCAAGTCGACGGCGTCCGGGGGTTCCGGGGGTTCCGGGTGCACGTCCGGACTCGTGGGGCCATCCCGTTCGAAGGCATCCAGTTTGCGTGCTACGAATATGGCAAAACGTATACAACGACCCGCCGCTGGCCACATAACAAGACCCACCTGCAGACCAAACCCTAACGTTCATGCAATGTGGACTGCTGGGCGGACACGCCCTTCGAGCCGCACCATGCCGACGATGTCGCTCCTAATGCGCATGGAATAGATAGCTATTCCACACAATTCCCTACCCGTTCACTTGACACCCTTCGAAGTCGATTGGGTCGATACATCTGGCAAACCTGCACCAACGACTTCTCCGACCCACACACAAATGACTACTGCTTCCGCCACACCTGTACCTACCCCAACTAGTGTATCACCCCCTCCCACCTCGAAGCCCCTACACTGTCCCCGACTTCAACACTAGCACCTCCTCTCCCAGCTCCCTCAAAGCCTACGCCTTCCCCAGCAACTGGATCAACCCGTTGTCCAAGCTTACTCGATCATCGATCCTGCACTAGGCATATTCCCCTCCACCAACCCCAACCCCTTCCCGTTGATCCTGCCCAACACCCAAGCTAAAACAACAGTGTCGGCTAACATGTAAGTTGACTTCCAATTGTAATTGTTTTGCCGTCAACTAAAGTACCTTACCTTCGCCGTACTCAGAGACAGCTCAAATCTGTGCAACTCGGCTGCTTCATAGTATTTCCGGAGTATTGTTGCCCTCAGCATGACTTCATTTGAGTATGCCACATCGTTACAAAAGGTAGTAGGTGGGGACTCGGGAATTATCGATTGGAGGTCATCATCCCATCGCTTGAACTCGCCTCGCCGATGGTTTCGAAAGTCCAAGTCAAGTCACTTGTGCACCGTCACGTTCCAAATGACGTCAAGTTCCTCGCATTTGTACACTTCAACCCTGGCATGTTCACGAAGTAAAACTTTGCACTAACAAATTGAGCTGTTGTAATTGTAATAATGAATTTACTCACTGTCAAATCCATGCAAACAACGTAACCAGCCCCTTAAGGGCTGGTTGCGGAATAACGTTAACTGTGAAATCTACTACAGAACAGGAATGTTGGTTACTCTAGATGCGTGATTTGGCAGTCGCTTTGTCATTATCAGCGTTAACATGAATTGGCTTCCGTGCTTTCTTAATATTTGTATGCACTTTGACTTTTCGTCGTAGCGTGTGTTGTCATTCTGTTTTTCCCTGGCTTTTTTAGTATCTACCAATCCAATTGCTTCATTCTGCGTTAACGATCTCCCATTGGTTCACTCCCCAGTTCTACCCCACATTCCCATATTTCGACCCGCACCGCAATTGCCATGGCGCCGCCTTCGTCTTCGTCGTCTACGTCCATCGCGGGACCGCCGCCTTCAGGCCCAACCCTATCCGAACGCATCGCTGCCATTCAGAACATGGACATCTCTCGCGTACTTCGGCTCATGCGCCTTGGCAACGTGTTCTGTTCAGTGTTCCAGATTGTGGCTGGAATCGGCGGCGTGTTCAACCTCATCGCGCTGAATGTCACGGGCGCGCTTCTATCTATGTACGTGGTGCTCTTCGGCCTGCTCTTCCTCTTGTTTGAGTGCCGCTTGAAGAGCATGGAAAGCCGCATCCGAGCCAACTTTGGGTTCCTCTTCTCGTACAACGGCCGCGCCGGGTTCATTTTCTTCATCGGGTTCCTCGATTTCGGCATGGGGTCCGCCATGGGCACCGTGGCCGGCATCCTTATGTGCCTGAACGCGTTCCTCAACCTCTTTATCATGCTCAAGCACCCCGAGTTCGCCTCTGGCGCTGTCCGCAAGGACGCCGACCCGACTACAGGGTACGCCGATTCCAAGGAAGCAGCGCAAGCATACCTCCATTCGAACCCGCAAGTCGCCCTCCAAGCGACCAAATTTGCGCTCTCTGGAAGATAAGCTGCCATTTCATGGTGCATTGAATATATTCCAGGATCAAGGATGATTCCATCTCCTTTTGTACTGTACTAATAGTAGTACTAGTGGGGTATATTAATCTCACAATTCTGAACAGATATTAATACTATATACTATTAATATTTTTCAGAAAATGTTAAAAACTTGATAATAGTATTACTAATAGTAGTACTAGTCGGGTAAATTAATCTCACAGATATTAAAACTATTAATATAAATATTTATAGTATTACTAACAAAGTAGTATTAATACATCGTAACTTAGTATTATTATTATTGATAGTACTATTCGACGAATCTGACAATACCGTTATCACTTGAAACCGTCTCAACTGGTGAGGCGGCGGCCGCCATGCAACATGTACGTTGGCTGGGACTTACAGGTCTCGTCATCCCAAGGTTAATGCTATACCCCCACATGCTGACTGACTGTCATGATGCAGACCACCCGAGCATTTCACCAAGGCAAGGTGCTAGCTGCCACTGCCATGCCTTTGAAAGCTGGCTCGTCTAACCACCAGCCAGCAGCAGCAGCTTGTATCGTTGAGGCGAATGAAACAGCCTACATCCCCGTCGCATTGGCGAGGTCCTCCCTCCATGGACTTGCAACTCTTTACACGAAAGTCTGGTAGATCGCACTTGGAGCGTGTAGTGCAGGACATGCACGCGTTGCAAGCAGACCACGCGACCAAACTGGCCACTGTCGTCGACAGATACAACAAGATCGAAGCGTCCACGAAAGCTCACTACGAAGCGTTCGTGGGCGAGTTGAAACGGTACCGAATCAAGTTGTATATGCTGTGGTGTGAACAACTCTTTTCGACGTGATGTGGTATTCCGTTTCTAGTCTTTGAGAAGGATGGAGATATTCGTTATGGTGCTCCAGCCTGTGATCGATACATCGTAGGCGGACGTTGGACCGAGTTCAGATGCACAAGCAGCAGTACTCCCGCCTACAAAGCGAAAGTGGTAAACTACTGCCCTCCCCACCATTCATTCATGTCTCCAATTGACTCTAAATGTGTGACAGGTAGTATAAACAGTACTACGTAGTATTTCATATTGCCGCAAGGGGTTGGTTTCGGGGATTTTCGATTTTTTTAAACTAAATATAACGAACGACAAGTGCACTAGCATATTTTTTACCATGTACTACTACTACAGACCAAGCCAAAGCCGAGGCAACGAACGACCTCCACCAGCTACAAGAGACCATGGCCGAGCACGACCGCTGCCACGCGGCGGAGTGGCACAGCTGGCTCATGGAGCGGGATGCTCTGGCCAATCAGCATGCAGCGGACGTGCTAGCCTTGCGACATTGTACGGATTGCGATGATTGGTTGGCGTGAAAATATCAATTTTACACGAATTTAATGCATCTATTGGACACAAATACTACATATATGATGTGATATGGTGATTCTGAATATGTATGGTTTATGGCTCATTTGACTTGTATTTTTGTAGCGTACGAGATGGAGCTGGCCCGACTGAGTGCCGTGGCGCGAGTGCAGCGAGAGAATGCGGCGCGGGCGTTGGCGCATTGTGGCCTCATGTACTAACAGTCTAAACCCGAAACACCACCAATAAATATATATATATTAATGAATAGGAGCGAAGATTGGCGTTGGGAAGTCCAGCTGTTGAGATCCGTTGAGATGGCTACAGATAATCCAACTCAGCCAATAAAAAGCGACAACGACAACACCAGCACTTGTGGGTTGGACGCTCGACTGTGGGTGGACTGGCTTGTCGACCGCGCTTTGCACCAAGCAGGTATGAAATATTGTATATATATAAATATTTATTTATTTATCTCACGTTCGCAATGTCAGATGTTCACGGCCTCCAAACAGTCTTACGCCAAGCTAAGGTATGAGATGTGGTGTTAGTGATTTTTCAGCTTGGCCTTTCGAATGTGTAGACTGATATTGCGCACACTCAAGCGATGTACGACGACTTGATGGTGACGTCGCAGGTGGCGGCAGTGCTGGCGACCGTCGTCTGTGACGTGGTGGATACTATACAACGTACTCACTGAGCCCTGCAAGTGGATTCTTGAGCGAGTTATGTAGCAACGAGCAGAACTTCGGCAGCCAAAGTCCTGCCATTCCCATCGAAAATGGCGGCGGCATTTCATCATGGCACCAAGTGGAAAAGTATCGTGGCGTTAGAGGTATGTTGGTTTTAATATTATATATATATATATTTAAATACGGGGTTGGAATATATTGTTTGTAATATGTAGCCCCCGCAAGAATACGCCCACTTGATCGCATGTGAAATGGACATGGAAGTGCTCAAGACGCAGCTGGATACGCTCAAAGGTCGAGGGTTCATACGTGAACTAATACTGCAATATATATATGTATATATATATATTGCAAAATATAGATGTATTGAATAATATAATTTATACCATGACATATAGGGCAAAGCACGGCTGTGTTTCAGACCAAAACCGCAGCCAAGCAGCGTATCAAAGGTAGGCACAGCCCAATAACTAAAGCTCCAGTCAGTTGAATCATTTGAGACAGAATGGCTCAATGACTTTCAAGCCAAGTACAACCGAGACCCGACCTTGACGGATAAAGCGCAGGTACTGTATGTATGTGTGTTCCCCAAAAATTGATATTCACTTGATGTAGTAAGCATAAACCTGTAATATTTTATATTTATTTATTATGGACAATATGACAGGTGAAGGACTTGTACGTGGCGTTCAAGCAAGCCGAAGACGACCACGCGCGGCTCAAACAAGTACTGTGAACATGCATTGTATATTACCTTATGAGAAATAATATCTGCCGCTTTTGCTCAAAAAAGATATATTTAAATTCATTCATTCATTTTTATCGACTGTGCCAGGACACTGCGACAGCCAAAGCCGCATACGACCTCAAAGTGGCCGAAGTGGAGACGCTGCAGGGCTCGGGCAACATGAGGCAATTTCCCCACCACACACTGGTAAACACGTGACAAAACGAGGAATTTTCCCCATTCCAACGCCGTAGGTCGCCCATTTACGCACCGCGTTGGACGACGCCCAAGCCAAAGTGGACGCGCTGCAGTCGCGCCTCAAAACACCACCCTCGATACAAGAACCACACAGCTCAAATTACCCCTCGGTGCAAGAACATCGCCCCCAACCGGTATGTGTCATTTACGACTAGTTTGATGTTTAGGAGTGAACCTAGGCGGTCGTCCTTGAGCGTCAACCCTCGTTAAAAGGACCTGTCACGACAAACACATCCCCAAGGATTGTCTCGCAACCCTCGATACAAGCACTCGATGCGTCGCCAGGCCCTGCCATTCAGCTTCCCATGACACAATCGTCGCAGCCCGGCAAGCCCTTGTTAGAAGCACCACTGTCATCGATCCAACCTCAACACCCGCCCTTGATTGAAGAACATAGTTCGTCCCTTGTATTGCCGTTGACAGCGTCGCCAGAACACTCCGATGTGTCGCTGGCTGCCCCTTCCAAGGACGCACAAAAACGAACCTCTTTACAAGGACACTTCTCCACCTCCAACGACACACAACCGCCTTCCCAAGCTCACACGATCGAAGTTTCCTCTACAGAAAAGGCCCAGTCTCCCTCGATAGAAGTACTTTTAACCTTGCTAGACGTACAGTACCTGATATGCTCGTCCTTATGACATACGTTTGTTCACAGGACAAGGCGTCCATTTTAAAGTTGAAGGCAGCGTTGGCTGCAGAGGTACTGACCAATGAGTGATGATTATATATATATCTATATTATGTTCACGTCAATATAATTTGCACGCTCAAACTCGTCGTGCCATCTTTGAAGCATGAAGTCGCTCGTTCGTTGATCGAAACCCAATTGGCATTACAAGGTAGGTTAGGTGGCTATTTGCTTGTGGCTGATATATTTATATATATAAATATATACATGACGTTGCTTCTTGGTGTAACTAATATCAAAAATAAATCAATATTTGTATAATATATATTTATTCACATTATACGAGCAGAGGAGCTTTTGTCATGGCGAGTCCAAGCCGCCTCGTCGAGTGCGGCAACTCTGGCAGCCGACACATTCCACGATACGTCAAATGATCTGGATCCGGATAACGACAAGAATGACGATCTTGATATTGGTATTGTAACCCTCTTAGTTGCTCCAGAAGTGGCTACTCGCACTGCAATACGACGTCAAGTGCAGGACACTAACTAAAGTACTACCTCTACGACCCCAGACGAAGGAGAAGACATCTCCAGTGGAAATACTAGTAGTACCAGTTTAATTGCCGAGCCAAAGGTCTGCACATACCGTTTAACTACGATTAACTAACGTGAAATAATGTTACTATGTAGTTGCAAGGCGACGTCGACGGGAGCGGGCTGGGAGCAGCCGTCCAACGCGCCAAAGCAGCCATCGAAGCTGGCAAAGTCGCATGGAATCAAGGGGATAAGGCAGGCTGCCACGTCATTCTCTTGTCGGCGTGCCACGCCATCGCTCCAATGTGAGCACACACATATATATATAATATTACTCAAAATATGACATGTATCTTAGAAATGTCCCTGGAGGGGACGTGGTGGCGCTGGCAGTGGCGGAAGCCGCGACGGTCGTACCAGCCAAAGGCGCGGTGGTCCTGCGCAAGGCGTTGGATGCGTTCGTTGCTGGCCACCCAAACGCTGACTCTGCCGTAGCTGCTCACCAACTGGCAACAACGCCACCAGTGCAAGCCAAAGCCCAACGCAACACAAACACTCTAGCTACTGGGGTAGTATGCAGAGTTGAGTTCTCCTTTGAATATGACTGGGACCTAGAGCGACGGATCTGCCAACTCGACGAAAGTCGCCAACGAGTACAAGCAAAAGCTCAAAGTGGTCGAGTCCAAGTGGAAGGTAGAGTTGAGGGATTCATATACGGAGTTAAGGACGATTTTGAATGTCGCAGGCCGACCGCGTCAAGTTGAATCAGTTGGAGCAGGCGTTGACCAAGGCCAACAATGCAGGTACAATCAATTGTGTGGGGAACATACGGTGAGACTAGGAATACAAAACGACGCTTAACGTAGGAGGCAAAGGCGGTAGCGACGGTGGGGATGCCGTGTCCGATCGTGTGTGGACGAAGAAGTTAGCGGACGCTGAAAAGAAAGCGCAAAAGGTGGTCGACGACCTGCAAACCCAGTCCACGCGCCAAATTACAGCATTAAGGTCTGTTTTGATTTGAGCAACCGAAATGCCGTAAGAGTATTTATTGGTTGGTAGAACGGAGCTGGTGCAAGCGTCAGCGACTGTCTCGGACTTGACGAATCAAGTGCAAGAGGTGCCTAATCACAGATTGGCCACACAGAAACAAAACAGAGCTTAACGACATGTATGGTATATATAGCTCACGACAACTGTGACGGCATTGCGCACGCAAACCGCTCGGCTATCGCAGCTGGAGAAGGATATGGTGGGCTTGCAAGCTGAAGCCGTACGAAATCGCATGTTAAATACATCATATCCTGTAATGTATATATACGATTTTTTTGTAGGCGACGGCCGCAACGTTAACGACCAATTTGAATACGCTGACGCAGCAGTACGCGACACTGGAATCCCAATACAAAGTACATGCTAACCATAGCCTTGATGGGATCGAGCGTCGTCAAACATAATGGTGCTTATCGAGTACTATAGGAAGAGCAAGCCCTGCGCAAGAAATATTACAACACGATCGAGGACATGAAGGGCAAAATCCGAGTCTACTGCCGCTGTCGCCCTATGAGTTCCAGCGAACTCGACCGGAACTGCCACTCGTGCGTGCGGTTCCTAGACGACGTACGACGTTGTGCTTGTATCGAGTGAACAAACGAAGGTTGTTCTTGTATCGCATGTAACGGTGTGCATAGTTTACGCTCGAAGTGGACACGGCACGTGGCCCGCGGAGTTTTACCTACGACGCCGTATTCAATCCGTCGCATACTCAAGTACGCTGATTGCTTGGACATTGGATTTTGATATATATATATATATATTAAAAATATGACTATTCTTGAAGAATACCTTGTTGATCCTTCTCGATACTAGGACCACGTGTTTGAAGACACAAAACACTTGCTGCAGTCGGCATTGGACGGGTACAACGTGTGCATTTTTGCCTACGGGCAGACCGGGTCTGGCAAAACGTTTACGATGACTGGTGGGAGTTATCAAGTGTTCTTGTAACGAGGTTTCAACTAACATATGGATCGTATGTAGGCACGGATTCACATCCAGGGATCACCAAGCGGTTGATCGAGCTCATGTTTGCCTTGCAAGAGTCTCAAGGTATCGTAACCCATACGATTTCAATAATATATATATCCATTTTCCCCGGTAGTTGATGTATTTGTTTGATATTAGCGTCCAACCAATCAATTTCCTACGAAGCGAGCATGCTCGAGCTGTACAACGATCAGCTGATCGACTTGTTGGCGCAGTTGGATCCGGCCTACAAAGAAGACAAGGCGCTTAAGCTGGACATCAAAAAGAACGAAAAAGGCATGGTCGTTGTCACTAACGCCGCGTCCAAAGAGTGCACGTCGGCCCACCAAACGCTGCGAATGTTTGACGGTATCATACTACGAACGATCTATATATATATATATATATATATGCCTGGCAGATAGATATGAAATATCTTTTGTGTCGTGTAGCGGCCAATAAAAAAAGACAAGTCGGGTCGACGAAAATGAACGCCGAGAGCTCGCGGTCGCACTCGGTGTTTACGGTGCTCATCCACAACTACAATAAAACCACCAAGCAGGTAAAAAATATATTTATATATATAGTTACCACAACGTTAAGTTTATTATCATTTGGTTGAAAGGGGTTACAGTTAAAGAGTTGTATTGTCCTTTTACCCAAATTTGGACTTGAGAGTCTTTTCGCCAAATGCATTCGAATCCATTCGATCCAATTTAAGCCTGTACAAACTATAATATACAAGTATTAGTATATATATGGGTTTTGCCCAATGCGGAGGGACAGAGTCGAGTCAAACGTTTGGATTGGAAGAAATTCACTAGAACTTGATTTGATTGGCTTAGGTGGTTCTTTAATCCATTCTCCTAAGACATTCGATTCAGCTGAGGCTCCAGTTTCGAATCGATTTGGCAATATATACATCCAACCTAACAAGACATACAATAGACAAGTGTGGGCAAGCTGAGTCTGGTGGATTTGGCTGGTTCCGAACGGGCAGGCAAGACCGGCGCCACCGCAGACCGGTTGAAAGAAGCGCAAGCTATCAACAAAAGCTTGAGTGGTGGGTATTAAATATATATATATATATATGGTCATGAATATTTCATGTGTTATTGTCTGACCTTGGCTCAACTATGTAGCACTGGGCGATGTCATTTCCGCCCTCTCCACAAATGAAAAGTTCATTCCATACCGGAACAACAAGGTACGACACGACACAAATATTAATTATTAGGATATAAATCACAGTTTTACGCCTATTCATATGTTGAATAATATTACATAGGGTATAAATCATGGGTTTCCATATTAATATATTGAACGTTGCCTATTCATTTGACTGAACATGACAATGAAAACTCGAGTAGTTGACGCAACTCATGCAAGACTCGCTGGGCGGCAATGCCAAAACGGTGCGACAGTTTATAATATATTAAATATTTTTCGTGTCGCTAATATTACCAACCCCTATTAGCTGATGTTTGTCAACATTTCGCCCGCCGACTACAACCAAGTACTATATCCTATGTCCTGAAATATCGACGACATCTTTGAATACTGATATTGGTACCAGGAAGAAACGCAAACGAGCTTGTCTTATGCATCCCGCGTCAAGTTGATCACAAACCAGGCCAACAAGACGTCCGACAGCGAAGAAGTGGCCAAGCTCAAAGCCATCATCAAGCAGCTCAAAGCTGGAAGTGTTGTGGACGACGATGTTGCCGCTAGCGAAGGCGACTCGGTGGCGTGACTTCTACGGTTTCCGCCAAGAATAGAGCCTATAGTGTAAAAGCAAGCAATGACAGCTTCTCACACAGATCATAAGCAATGATACTGGTAACTTCGCACAGAGATCAAGGGATAGGAGGCACTCGTGTAAGGACTATTCTGATGTGGCGGAGTTAATATATATTGGGATGGATAACGTTAATGAAATTATGGCTGATTTAGGGAAAATCTGTATACAAATATTTTGAACTGGGGGTCAGTATTTTGACCAATCCACGCCATGTGTCAGTAAACATAGGGAATATTCGACTTTCCTATGACGAATACGGCATAATGGGGATAGGTGTTTGTAAACCGAGGGAATTGCAATTTGGTGCTTCGCCCTGTCGTTTTGATTGGTGGTGTGGGGTCCATCCGCAAGAGTTTCGATCCACTGACCAACCATTTTCCGATTTCCACAGCAAAATGGTACGTCACGTCGACGTCTCTGTGGATGCAGCTCTTCGTCGTGCAGCATCATGCTCGCTGCATCTACCACGGGCATGCAGGCTCATTGCTGTTCTCCATGTAGGCCTCGTTTGTGTTGTTCGAATCGGCCTCCGGGTACGCGCTCTTCGAAGTGGTCGAGTCGGAGCAGATTGCCGTGTTGCTCGATCAAGTGCAACAGGGCGTGCAAGACTTGGGCAAGTTCGGTGCCGCCGTCAAGCTCAAGGCGTTCTCTCCCTTCGTGTCGGCTGAATCCGCGCTCGAAAACATCAACGCGATCTCGGAAGGGTTGGTCACGGACGACTTGCAAGCGTTCCTCGAGTTGAACCTCCCCAAGGCGAAGAAGTCCAAGTCCGCCGCGGTCACCCTCGGCGTGTCGGACAAAGGTCTCGCGCAATCCATCACGGACGCGCTCCACTTGTCGGTCAACACGAACGAAACCACCCTCGAAGTACTTCGCGGCGTGCGCCTCCACTTTGCCAAGTTCATCAAGGAGCTAGACCATGGCGTCTGGTCCAAGGCCCAACTCGGTCTCGGGCACTCGTACTCGCGCGCCAAGGTAAAGTTCAACGTGAACCGCGCGGACAACATGATCATCCAAGCCATCGCGCTGCTCGACCAGCTTGACAAGGACATCAACACGTTCGCCATGCGTGTGCGCGAGTGGTACTCGTGGCACTTCCCCGAGCTCCTCAAGATCGTGCCCGACAACTACGTGTACGCTCGCTGCGCCGCGTTCATCCAGCACCGCACGTCCCTCTCGGAGGAATCGATCGAGGAACTGTCCAAGCTCACGATGGACGAAGACAAGGCGGCGGCCATCGTCGCCGCGTCGCGCACGTCCATGGGTATGGACATGTCGGAGCTCGACATGCTCAACGTGGCGAACTTCACTTCGCGCCTCATCGGGCTGGCCGAGTACCGCCAACAGCTGCATGCGTACCTGCACTCCAAGATGGGCCAAGTCGCGCCCAACCTAGCAGCGCTGATCGGCGATGCCGTCGGCGCCCGCCTCATCTCGCATGCCGGCTCGTTGACCAACCTGGCCAAGTGCCCAGCTTCCACGGTGCAGATCCTCGGTGCGGAGAAGGCTCTGTTCCGCGCGCTCAAGACCCGCGGCAACACGCCCAAGTACGGCCTGCTGTTCCATTCTAGCTTTATCGGACGCGCCGCGGCCAAGAACAAGGGCCGCATCAGTCGGTACCTAGCCAACAAGTGCGCCATTGCGTCGCGCATCGACAGCTTCATTGACGAACCCACGACCGCGTACGGCGACCAGATGAAGGAGCAAGTGGAGGAACGTCTGGCGTTTTACGAAAGCGGCGCCGCGCCCCGCAAGAACGTGGACGTGATGGCGCAAGTGAGTGAGACCCTCAAGGCGAGCGCCGCGGCGCCGCTCAAGAAGCGCAAGAGCAGCGACAAGGCGGAGAAGAAGGCCAAGAAGGCCAAGAAGGAAGACAAGGTCGAGGAAGAAGAAGAGGTGGTGGTGGACAAAAAGAAAAAGAAGGCCAAGAAGAACAAGGAGTAACCCACGTGGTCGTCGATAGATGAGAAAGATATATACTAGTACTTACATATGGTCCAAATTGAGACTTGAATGACGTGGCAACGTACTAATAGGGATGCCATGGAGTTAGTTATTACTCATGGCATTATTGTGCATTGTGTAGTTTTTGGTGCAAAGTGCATACGACGTAAGACTGTGAAGTAGAGTAAGTGGCAACGTACTCGTCAGGATGCCGTGGAGTTAGTTTTATTACTCATGGCATTATTGTGCATTGTGTAGTTTTTGGTGCAAAGTGCATATCATACCACGAAAGGCTGTGAAGTGTAGTACTATTAATAACTGGAAATTTTACTATTTTAAATAGTAAAATTTCCAGTACTATTATGGATAACTTGCATTTAACGTAATAAATGGATTTTTAATGTGTTTATTAATTGTTTGAGGTCCTCTTGCATTGTATACTCTCGAACGCGTTTGATTGGTCGATTCATATCCATTGGTTGTACTCGGCGGACGAGTGTGCTCCTGCCATTCCTTCATTTGACGGCCTCCATCCCCCACTTGAAGAATGTCGAAGAAGGCCAAGGCTGTGGAAACCGTGACGGAAGTCGTCAAGCTCGGACCTACCAACCGTGAAGGTGAGGAAGTGTTCGGCGTGGCGCATATCTTTGCCTCGTTCAACGACACGTTCGTGCACGTGACCGACTTGTCGGGCCGCGAAACCATCGTGCGTGTCACCGGCGGCATGAAGGTCAAGGCCGATCGTGATGAAGCCTCTCCTTACGCTGCCCAGTTGGCCGCCCAAGACGTCGCTGCCAAGTGCAAGGACGTGGGTGTCACCGCATTGCACGTGAAGATCCGTGCCACGGGCGGGAACCGCACCAAGACCCCTGGCCCTGGTGCCCAATCTGCGTTGCGCGCGTTGGCCCGCAACGGCCTCAAGATTGGCCGCATTGAAGATGCCACGCCCATCCCCACGGACAGCACCCGCCGAAAGGGTGGTCGCCGCGGTCGCCGCCTCTAAGCGCATGGCGGGAACTCAACTCTCTCGCCTTGCTTTCGCGTTGGCTCCTTCGGCACTGCTCTTCGGGTTCTGGCTACAATCTATTTCGTAGTTGGAATCCCTTCGACAGAACCATCAACACAAAAATATACCATGTTCTTGTGTTGATCTACTTTCATGGTGTTGGCAGTACTGCTGTTGTTTACTATAGGTTAGAGCTCGGCACATAACTAACTGTACAGTACACTTGAGTCTGGCATCAATTTCCAACCGCGTGGTGATATCAAGCTGTTGGCCTTGGAGTTCTTTGACCGCATTTGAGTTGGCCGTACAGTACAGTATGTACTCGTTACCCCCAACCTTGAGCCTTTCATCTTCTTCGAGGTCCGGAGTACCAGTAGTTGGCAAGGGAGGAACGATCTCATCACTAGACTCAGGGCGTGGCCAGTGCGGGCACTCCAGCCAAATGAACTCCGACTACCATTTTAGTTAATACTACTACTAGTACTGCCCTGGCTATGTATTAATAGTATAGTATGCTCCAGCATGCTCAACAGGTTGATGTACATACATTCTTATTAAGCTTATGACGTGGCGGATTCCTGTTCGTGTTCGTACTCGATCTCGACGTACGGACCCTTTTGGGTCGGCTGTCGTTTGGGTTTTTTGCGCTTGGGTTGGTCTTCATCACTGCTGCTTTCGTCATCGTCGTCATTGTCACTATCCGACCCTTGTTGCTCGTAGTCCTCCATGTCGCTCTCATCTTCAAAGTCCTATGCGACGATTGGCCATCCATTTATATATATATATATATATGCTCAAATAAAGGATTACCTCGACGTATTCGACCTCTTCTTCGACCTCTTCGTCTTCGCTTTGCTCGCTCTCGATTTCCTCGTGTTCGTCCAACAGCTTGGTGAATTCGCGCTCAGGAAAGTTGTAAATGTCGCCGTACGTGCCCTTTTGCAACCGTTCGAGTAATTCCTTTTCGATGGACGTTTCTGTAGTAGGCCATGAGTACGACGACGATGCTGCTAGTACTACTAGACGACGTACCGAGCTTGGCGGCGACCTTGGCCTTTTCTTCCCGACGCGACTCGCGGCGCTCGATCTTCTTGGAAATGACCACCAAGTTGGGCTTGGTCTTCATGCGAAGTTTCCGCATGCGCATGAGGTACTGATGGATCTTGGTCAAGCGCTGTTTGTTGCGATGGAGCAGCTTCTTGGGCCAATATTGCAAATGTTCGTCCAGTTGGGCCAGCGATTTCGTGTAATTCTTGGACAATTTGATCTTTTCCCACAGGTTTTTAGGCGAATGTGCGCGTTCGATGGTCTAGTTGGTTGTGAGTATGTATATATGGCAGGGACTTTAATATATTGGACTGGCATAGATTAGCGTTGTACCTTCATGTATAAGAAGCATACGCCGTTGTGTTCGCGGATGGTGGCATACCGACTGTTAGCCAAAGGACACGATTGTCTATGACATAAACATAAGCACGTGCAAGGCACTTTACAAGTCGTGGCGTACCGGTTGCAAAGACCCGTGACGTTGTATTCGTTGCGGCAAAACGCAGAGCCTTCGCGCAGCCTGGGTTGGACGACACATGAGAATCAAACATGGACGAGGTTAGAAGAACCACAGGATGTGGACACGTACTTGCTCTTAAACGAACAGAACTGGTTGTTGATCACACCCCAAATGACTTCGTCGTGCTGCATGGTACTGCTGCTGCTGTGCTTGCGCTGGTGGCTTCGAGTTGCTGGTGGTGGAGCAAAAGAGTGAGCTCGTTGGTGGCGCCAGCAATAAAGTAGGGTCCAATCAAACCAAAATGTCACTTTACGAGCATTTGACATTACATGTATCTAGGTTTTAGTATGTGCGTGATTTGTCACAGTTTACCTCTTATTATACATACTACGTAGTATACGTACATAGAGGAAAGTGCACCGAGTACTGCGTTACTGTAGTTTACAGTTAATCAAAATACCTAATAGCAAAATTAAGGAGCATATGTACAGGAGGATTAAGGTTTGCCGTAGTCGACCTTCTTTACCTTGTATTCACTTTAGCTTGGGTAATGTCGTGCACATGGCTGCTTCAAAGCGCATCTCCAATGTTCCGCAAGAATTCCATAGTGAACATTTATATCTATTGTATATTACTACACCATTTTGCAGTTAAGTTGGACGAATGCCCGATGTATTTGGCCGTGTGCCCGATATAATTGGCCATGTGCCCGTTTAATTTGGCACACCGAGTTCGTGTGCCCGATATATTTGGCGCTGTGCCCGATATAATAAGCCGTGTGCCCAAGCAAATGGCCATCTGCCCGAATTGTGTCGTGTGCCCGATGAAAATGAAATAATTCAAATTAAAATTGAACTCAATAAAAATTCATTCGAAATGAAACATACATCACATGCCAATGTGATGGCGTCCATAGCCTCCGCTCATCCGTAAAAGTATTCGAGGCGTAGCGCGTATCGATTCAAACGGTAAGCATCGACCCCTATTTAGCCATTTTCGAGCAGTGCTTTGCTTTATCCCCTTGGCGAGCACCACGAATTTCCAGCCGTCGTCATTTCTGAACGCTGCGACGACTCGTTGCTTTGTGGAGAGAGCTATGCGTTTGTAGGGGCCTCTGGCTACATAGGGGGTTACCTAGTACTTCAATTGACATCATAACCGGAGTTCGTGGGGGTGCAGCTACGTCCATGCTGCGCGTTCCTTGGCGATTTGAATAATGAGCATTCAATATGTCGGAGGAAAGCGCGCGCATTATGAACTTAAACTATACTTTATTCAAGTATAAATTTCGAATTCTTGCCTTCGCGCGTTTTCCTCCGAACTTCAACCACATGATGTTTCCACCAAAACTGATTTGCAATCCATGGAATATAATTATTTGAATTATTTCATTTTCATCGGGCAGACGACACAATTCATCGGGCAGATGGCCATTTGCTTGGGCACACCGCCAAATATATCGGGCACACGACCTCGGTGTGCCAAATTAAATGGGCACATGGCTAATTATATCGGGCACACCACCAAATATATCCGGCCAAATACATCGGGCATTCGTCCAACTTAACTGCAAAATGGTGTAGTAATTGAGAAATATAAATATATCGGGACTGTTCAAGTGGGTGATTTGACTTTAAACCCTAAACTTTCATATAAGAGCTATATACAAATATAAATAAATAAAAAGTGGATCAATCTTGTCATGGCGGAGCTGTCCATGTGGGAGGTGAGAAGGCACGTGGATATGACGTCCAGAACGTTGAGTAGTTCGAATGTCGTTGAAGTCGTGCGAAAATCGTAGTGATTTGTTGTCGTTCGGTGTTGTGGATTACGTAATAGTCGACGGACACTGGCGCTCCAGGACACTATAGACGTCAGCCGTAGGACGGGGATACACGTAGGGGACTTGTTTTCAAACCTAGTGTTGTTACGTTGACGCCACAGGGAGTGGAGTGTCACTGCTACCAACAACGCCCACCTCCACGAGGTCCAGATCTGATATGGTATTTCATGTGAAGGATAGTCCAAATTGTCGTCTTGTTGCCAAGTGCCATGCCCAGACAGGGGTGAAGCAACTACATTCCACAAGTACATGTCTCATCGTTTCCACCGCTATACACCTCGGGTATGAACACTCCATAATGCTCGGATGTTTGTCTTGCAGAAAGAACAACAAGGAGTAGTTTACAGGGAGATACGAAATATCAGACGCCACCATGAGTCTCCTTGCACAGGTGGGGGGAGATTTAATAATGGGGTCAACGTTTCACAGGTCCGGATTTTGGTGTTGGTGTTGCGGTCGGCAGATAGGAGTGAATGTTATTTTGTCATTGGTGGGGGATGCAAACAAACTTTCTTAATGCGCTGCTTGGGCTACAAGTGAAACGGTGTTGATTGGTAAACGGGACGCAGTCACCATTGCACGGAGGGAAGGGATCATTTACTGAGCGACCAATAATGTCGCATACACAACGCACGATGAGAGCGAAAAAGCTGTAGAACTGATCAAACGACGTCGGTCGAGGTTCTCTGCGATCATAGTTATCGACAAAGCCGATTTGTTGGAGGGTAAACTCCTCACGGGATGGTCATGTCTGCGTTGGAGTGAGAATGTCCTCGAGAGAGTGGACGCCTCACTCAGCAAGATACTGGTACCGACCACGGTGAGATCGTAGTGCAATGGAGAGACTCGTATCACATTCAAGATTTGGGACTAAGAACAGTAAGTGGCGTTGTAAACATAGTGGTGCAGTGAGGAGTTGATCAACCGTAGGTGAGCTTTACCAAAGAGTAGTCATTGGAACATTTCCCCACTCGGCCCACACGTGCAGCCAAAATGATGGCAGTACAGAAAGATTGAGCAGCGCTGTTCTAATGTTTGGGGCACAGAACAGAGCATCCCATCGACGCGGGCGATGGAATGGCCTGGTGCACCGCTGCCAAAGCTCCTTCGGGAGGATGGACCACATTCCGACATCCTCTGAATCCGATAGCACAAGTAGTTGTAAGCGTCGAACACATTGAGGTCGGAGTTGTGATGGAATATGAGGAACGCGTAGCCCTACGAGTCGGTTATACGCCAAAATGTAGTTGGTTGGGGTGATAAACCGGTCCTCGTGCGTACGCGTCGGTCCAGAATGTACTTGGTCAACATCGTCTGCCATTGTTTAGTCAGGTCCGATGGTAATGGTAGAACTGCTGCGTATTGCCACAGTTTGGATAGTATCATGGGGTTAGCAATGAGACGCCGACCCTTAAGGGCGCGTACTCGGCATCCCCATGTAATGAAGGAGGCATAGTACGTGTCGGAAATGAGGTTGAGTTGTCCTTTGGAGCTCTACCGGTGACCAAGATGTATGCCCAGGTAACGGATGGGGACCATGCTAGCGATCATGTTGAGACGGGGATTTACTGGGATGGGGTGGTTGTCGTTTAAAGTCAGTACTTTGCACTTGTTGCGGTTGAGTCGAGCTCCAGTGTATGAGCAAAACTCGTTCACAAGGTCAAGCTGACGCTCGACGTTCTCCATGGACGACGCTAATATGGTTGTGTCGTCTGCAAACAGTAGTACTGTGGCTAGTTGAGTCTCCGAAAAGGTAATGTCAAGTTCCTCATGGTCACGGAGGAGTTGGCTTAACGGTTCCATGGACAGGACGAAGAGAAGGGAGGACAATGGGTCCCCCTGTTTCACACCTCGCGATTGAAAAATGGCTTGGCTGAGCGTGCCACTAATGACGAGGTGGACCACTGGGTGGTTGTGGAGAAGCCGAAGCCACTGCAGGAAGCGAGGACCAAAGTTAAAGGGCTCCAGAGTATCAAACATGAAGTCCCAGTTGATGCGGTCGTACGCCTTTTCAAAATCGAGAAACATAGCGTAGCCTTCCTCGCCATCGAGCGTGTGTTTGTGTTGAAGGTCCCGGAGAAACAACACATGGCCGTGGATGCGACGTCCTTTCACAGCTCCATTCTGTATGGGATAGATCAGTAGGGGGAGCAGCGAATTGACTCGGTATGCTAGTGCTCGAGTCAGGGCTTTCACCTCGACAGGAATCAGCGAAATGGGGCGATAGTTGCCCGTGTTGCGTCGATCTTCTCCTTTAAACAACACGGAGACAGCCGAACTGCGCTACATGCCCAACAGCTCGCCTAACTGGTAGTTGAAAACCCTTCGCAGGATTTCCCCAAAGAGTGGAGGGTCAAGTTGGTAGAAACCCGTGGAGAACCCATCTAAACCAGGTGCTTTGTTCGGATGCATTGTTCTAATTGCAGCTGCAAGCTCGGTGCTGGTGATGGGCTGGTCCAGCTCATCTCGCTGTGCGTAGGACAACTTCGTGTTAAGAAGGCGCAGAAAACGACGCCTGATCACTCGAGAGGGAGACCGGAAGTCGCGTTCGCACATTATATCACTCCACCGTTCATGGAAGGCGTCGTGGATGAGAGCAAGATCCGACGTGTACGATCCGTCACTTTGTTGCATCTCCACAATCGGAACATTGTACAGTCTCCGTTTAGGTGGGCGAGAAGTGTGAGGCGGACATTTCATTCTGTGACGCATGGAAATCGAATCGTCGTTTCCTTATTCGATTAGCAGTCGTTTATGAACGAATTGATATGCCAATTACAAAAGGATTCCAACTCTACGGGCACAACTACTTCGAAAATGTAATCAATATGAACTTTATGAAAAATCACTGCGCCAGGTGGTTAAAGCCACCTCAGAAAAATCAATGTATTTTCAACACAAATCGCTGTTATTGACCCAAATCAATTTATTAGTACTTTGTTTTACCTCCTTTAGCTACTGCAACGTCAACAAAACGGTCTTGCATCGATCGAATCAACTTGTCGAGATAAGTTTGACTCAAGCCAGACCATGCACGCTTGATGGCCTCGACGAGGTCATGCAGTGTCATAAATTGACGTCCGTTCGCATAAACCGAACGTGCTAGGACCCCCCACAAGTTTTCAATTGGATTTAGGTCGGGAGAAAGGGAAGGGTGGTCAAAAATGTCCACCCCATTCTCCGCAAACCAGGCCATTGTGGTCTTCGCCCGATGGATTGACGCCCCATCTTGCATAAACGTAAATCTGGGGCCATAGTGGCAATGGCCAAAGGGGAGCAAATAGTTCTCCAATGTTTCGACGTAGTCGTCAGCCTTTTGGTTGCCCTCCAAGAAGGCCAACTCTGACAAACCTTTCGACGAAAAAGCGCCCCAGACCATGACGCCACCACCACCCTTTTGGCGCGTCAAAAAGGTGTCAGGCTCCTTCCGTAAGTCAAGCCAATAGGACTGAAACCCATCCGGTCCACCGAGATTAGACTTCTTCTCGTCGGACCAGATGATTTCAGTCCAATTGGTTGACTCACGGAGGTGTCGCTTGGCATACTCCACCCGCGCGATCTTGTGCTTGGCTTGGAGGTTGGGCATGTGCTTCCGCTTCTCGTAGTTGAGAATTGGACTTTGTTGCAGGCGTCGTTGGCATGTCCGGAGTGAGGCGTCGAAATTCAGGGTGGTCTTGAGCAGTCGCGCGGACGATCCAACCTTGGAGGCTTCCCGGAGCATAAGTCGGCACGCACTGCCAACGAGAATTTTCGGCTTCTTGCCGTTGTATCTCGTGCCGTAGGCCTCTGGGTCGCATAAATAGCATCTCACAACATCCTTCGACCTTCCAAGCTCGTCCATTTGGTTGACTCACGGAGGTGTCGCTTGGCATACTCCACCCGCGCGATCTTGTGCTTGGCTTGGATGTTGGGTATGTGCTTCCGCTTCTCGTAGATGAGAATTGGACTTTGTTGCAGGCGTCGTTGGCATGTCCGGAGTGAGGCGTCCAAATTCAGGGTGGCCTTGAGCAGTCGCGCGGACGATCCAACCTTGGAGGCTTCCCGGAGCATAAGTCGGCACGCACTGCCAACGAGAATTTTCGGCTTCATGCCGTTGTATCTCGTGCCGTAGGCCTCTGGGTCGCATAAATAGCATCTCACAACATCCTTCGACCTTCCAAGCTCGCCTGCGATGGCCCGGTTGGAGCATCCGGCCTTGCAGAAGGCCAAAATTGCGCCTTTTTCAGCAGGAGAAAGCTGAGCGTCTTTACCCATCCTATGGCATTATTATTGTTCGTTGTCGGGGTGTATTTGTGTGTTATAGTGCTTACCATGCACGTCACAAAAGTCTGTTAGCTGTGCGTGGGGTGTAGTTGCTGCTTGGGGTCTGAATTGCATGTGGCTTTATTTCCCTGGTGCGGTCAAAAAACGTTAATGTTGCAGTCAACAACGCTCAACTCAACGAATTGACCTAAAATTCTATGTGAAAACTCCACCAATCATACTCGTTTAACTGGTGCATTTTGCGGAGCAGAACTCTTGATTGGCGGGATTTTTCTCTTGAAAAATAGGGTGGCTTTATCCACTTGGCGCGCACTGTATATCGTGCGTGGTACTGCCGTAGGAAGCGTCGAATGCGTTTCTTCCAGCCAGCCCATAATACACCAATGTTTGTGGCATTGTCGAGTTGTACCAGTAGGGCTCGAGCTTCCTCGCGGATCACACTTTGGACCTCCAGAATAACCAAAAGTTCTTTGGGGAGTTTCCAGGAGGAACGAGAACGAGCCAGCCCACTGGGGAGCAACGTGACCGAGTGACAAAGGTGATCCGTCGGATCGGGACACTCAAAGTAGGAGGACTTGAGGTAGGCTTCCTGTACGAGAGATGTATCCGCAAAGATGTAGTCTAATCGGTGCTTGGCTTTGGGCGAGGAAAACACTTGATCGTGTGGGTGATGAAGTCGCCACGCGTCAATGACCCCAAGGTGTTGCAGCCATGTCATGCATTCACGCCGTCCAGAATGATGTGTAACTACGTCGCCCAGCGAGTCTAATTCTCGATCTTGGGGGACATTGAAATATCCCATCACAATATGAATCGCTGTGGGAGGGAAGTCCCGTGGCAACTCTTCAAAGAATTCCTCCCGGGTGTCGTTGGAGACGGGTGCATATACGTTGTGAAAGTACACATCAAAGTGCTCCCATTATGTGTGTACAACCATGTATTTGTCCCGAATATCCTGGTCGGAAAGATGGCGAAGTTGGGTGAAACCCGGAACTTCCTTTTGAAAGAGGACCATGACACCACTACTACGTCGCTCCTCAGGGTCGACGGAGTCGCTACGGTGATCATTCGTTGCGAGAAAGTAGTTGTTGATCCCGAGGGCATGGTCCAGATGGAATCGGACCTTCTCGAACTGGAATTTGTCTCGGAGTTTGGTTTCTTGGAGCGCCACAACTGTATGTCGTGCCAGAAGTTGACCAACTAGACGGTGTCCATTGTCTTTGAATCCATTGATATTAGCCGTCAGGATAGACAGTTCGGATGTGATAATCTCGGACCAAGGATTCGTTGCCCGACGGCTTGGTTGATGTGCTCGTCGCGGTGGGGAAGGGGGGAGTTGGTTGTGAAGTCGAGGAGATGGTTGAGAAAGATGCGTTCGGTTAGGTCGTGTGTGTGGTGTCGTATGGTTTGCGTTGGTGTGGTTTTGGACAGCCGCGATGCCCTTACATGCGATATGGGGTGCCGAAGGCAAGCGTCGGGACCGGTCCAGGGACGAACATCAGCATGCGATATGCCTCGTATAGGAGGTAGTGGGCTTGGAGATGAGCCAACGTGTCCATTAACTTTCCTGGATTGGTCGTCCGCATTTGTGTTACGAGATGGTGACCCACTGTCGAGTGAAGCAGGTTCCATAGTGTGTCCGGCGCAACCATGTTGTGTGTTTTGTTAACAGGCAGCCAGACAACTGGTTGTTTCGTATAGTAACACCAACCAATCATGCTTCTTCGAAGAAGTACGGTGCCATTTGAGTTGCAAGCAGATTTCGAATGCCGATAATGCTAGTTCGACTTCCTCAATCGGGACCCCCCACTCTTGCGGGCTTAGGGAGCGTAGCCGAGATCTGTGCAGAGTGTGGGAATGCATTTCGCATGAACTCTTCGTTAGGTTTCCGTCCAAACACCGTCTCAAAGGTGGTGTGGAAAGGGGTGACTTTTGGAAGAGCCGAGGCTACCAGCCAACGATGCCATGCATGTAGGTGCGCCACCACCCGAAGTGCTTTGGGTTCCTCCAGGAATACCCGTGTGAGATCACAATTAGCTTTGTATGGATCAGTGTTGATCCATTTCCATAGTTCCACTACTTTCGCCCCAAATAGTAGAGGTGCAATGTCCACCGGGTCCGTGGCAGCAGCCTCGGTGAGTTTCGTCTGAGCTACGTCCGCAACACGCTCGTCACCCAACGTGTTTTCAACGTTGCAATGATCTCTTTCATCGTCAAGTAGTTTGGGTGCCATTAGATTATGCTGGCACGAGTTCTCATACGTCGAATACTCGTGCGTGAGTGATACATTGTTGAAGACGGTACGATGATATCCATACAGTAGGCAATCACCGGGAGCTTTTGTGGTAGTGTCACAGTGCGAGACGTCACATTGACATGCGACAGAGCGTCATACATGTTATCGGTGACCCAAATCAATTTGGAGTCCCCCTTCTCTTCGCATGTCCGTTTCAGAGGCTTGCGAGGTTTCTCAAAGTCTTCGACCTCCATGCTTGATTGGAAAACTTCTGTGGACGCTTGCACGTTAGGTGCGTCCAGGTCTACCTGGGCAATTTCCTCCTCCATGGGTATGTCCGTTGTGATCGGGATGTCTGTAATGGGGACGCAACTGTGCCCCTCATGTGGTGGTACAGGAGTTGTCACTGCGTCGGTAGCGTGTACCTTATCCCGTTTATTCTCTCCCTCCTGAGTTTGTGGCTCAGGAAAAGTATTGGATGTCGCCAGCAGTTTGTCCAGATCAATACAGTGAGTTTGTCGACGACCATTGCGACTCGGTGCAAGTTGGTAATCTTTGACGAACACGCCGTAATGCACCCCGTGCATCATGATTTGGTCTACCGGGTGTCCCTTCACCAGCAGGGCCGCTGGCTGAGAGGGCGTGTTAAAATACACCCGCCAAATATTGGGATGTGTATTGGACTTTTGTGTCGAAGACGAGTACGCAAGTTTGTAACTGATGAAGACTGGATTAGTCTTCAAGCGACGCAGGGCGTTGAGGACGGCTCGCGCATCAAAGTTGAAGCGCGTACCTACAATGTCCATGTAGTACAGGTCGTGTAGGTCGGCATGTTGCCGTTGGGACGGGTTCCGATTCCCCGTCGTGGAGGAATCCACCACAGAGAACTCCTTGCCGAGGAACCGGATGGACTGCCCGAACATGCCAATCTGAGTCGCCTCGTAGGTGACGGTGACCACAACATCTCCACCACGTGCCTTGTTTACTTGCACGAAGTCTTGCATGAGGTGGGCCCAGGGAGCGTCTTTGTTGTCCTCGAAAAGGCTCTTGATGATCTTGTCGTTCGTTTGCGACATCAAGGCGTCGCTCGTGTCAATCCAAAACGTTGTCGTGCCGATGCGTTTGGGGTACGGGAGCGCGTCCTTAATCGCTTAAAACATGGCGTCATCGGACGTTGCTTCGTCCGAAGCCAGCTCCATCAGCTTGGCCAAGTTGGCGCGTGTGGGCCTGCAGAGCGTGACCTTGACTGATTCTCTTGATGCTTGTCCTCCACGTCGCATGACTTATGCGTACGTAGGAGGCGTTGGCGTGGGCACTGCACTTGACAGCGGGTCGCTGAGGTCGACCACTCGACGCAGGTAGGGTTCCACGCAGACTTGATGGCGTACTTTCAGCAGCGACAGAATGTTGAGCTCTGATTGGCTGCTGACAGGGCGTCGACTCATCTCTTTCCACTTGGGAGCTGAGTGGTTGGTGCCGAGGCTCGACAGCGCGAGGATCCACCGCACCGACCAGTGGCGGCGCTGAGCCAAGCAGCCTCAGCTGGGTCGCCTTCCCCGGCGTCACGAGCGACGGGGTCGTGCGGGTCCGAATTCCTACCAGTGTTCTCGCGCCCCGCAGCCCTGGCCGTACCTGCAGTCTCAAGTGGCTGGAGCTCTTCAGACAAGTGCACCGAGTCATGCAGCGTTGGATTCATCATATCCGTAGGCGCCCCAGACGGAGATAGGGCCGTCACGGGTTGCAGCGACGGTGACGCGGTCGAGGTAGCGATAGAGGAAGACATGTTCACTTGGTTCGAGTAGAGAGGAATGTTGGTACTTTTCGATCAATTCGTTCGTTAACACAATAGGAACAAGAATTCCATAGTTAGCATTTATACCTCTTTTACATTATTTGAGAAATAAATATATATCGGGGGTGTAGCGCAGTGGTAGCGCGTCCGCTTTGCATGCGGAAGGCCCCGGGTTCAATCCCCGGCTCCTCCAATCTTTTTGACATACTGTGTGAAGTCCTTTTATCCGGACATTGACGTCGTGCCGGATACATGACCCCCACGATGGTTGCCGGCCAGACATTTTTTACAAGATGCAAGCTGCCGCCGTCGTTCGCCGCGCAGCCGTCGCTATCGCTTCCCGCTCTGTTCGCGTACGTCCCATGAGCTATCTCCACGCATATAGGTCATGGTGACAAGTTGGTTGGATCCATAGGTCTCTGTGGTGCGTGCCATGAGCAGCACTGCTGTGCCGACTCCGTCGTTTGCGTCCGAGTTGGAACCCGACGTCAAGGGCCCGCGCCACTTCATCGGCTCGTTTCCGGAAGAAACGGAAGCCAACAACTTCGAGGTCAACTGGAGTCTCGGTGACGACGACATCACCCCGCTGCACAACTGCTACCGCAACCGTGCGTTGGACCGGTTGGCGGCCGCCGCCGCTGTCGCCGCGCCCGTGGCCAATGCTGCTGCGCCTGCTGCCACCGCGACCAACTCGCCTGCGGGACCTTTCCTGGACCTCTGGTATGTTCCTTGACGTGGCATCAGCAGCATTCTCATGTCGCGATCAGGAACGACGTGACCAAGCAGCTGTCGCACTCTGCGGACTTGTACATTTCGGACGGTGCCGTCGGCGCACATGCCGCCCTTCGCACGCCCGTACGTCGCTAGCACTCGAGTAGACTTCCATGTTGACCACTTGTAGATCCGCGTGGTGTCGGACACGCCTCGCGTTGCCCATGCCTTGGCGAACCTCCTCACCAAGGTTCCGACCCTCAAAGACCCGCACACGGTAACATCATCATGGACCAAAACGTCGTCACCTTGACATGCTCATTTGCAGCCGCGCCCTATCTTGGTCGTGTGGAAGTCGTCCACGGACAAGGACGAGTCGGCGTTCGCGTACAACATCGACACGAACCTCGACGGATTCACCCAAGCCAAGCTCGTGGTCCGCGGCGGCGGCGTGTCCATCGAGTCGTTGCTCCAGAACGTGCTCAGCCTCAAGGCGCAACTCGACGCGTCTGACGAAGCCGGCGCCCCCGTGACGTTGGCGGCCGACGTCGTGGCCACCGACTCCACCTCGACGTTGGTGTTTGGAGGTACAGACAGACCGGCTCTAGTTTTGTGTTTTTACCCAACTTTGGAGCTGTTTCGCTAAATCTATCGATTGATTCTTTGGCTATTGTATGTACAAATCATCTAGTGTCACACTAATTTCTGTCACACACTAATTCGATGTCGAACAGTGGATTTGATTGGCTACTTGAATTGTGTTCTGGTTTTTGATTGGTCGTTCGATATTGTCTGCGGATTTGGTGCTGCTCGTAATTTCAAATCGACTTGACAATATGCGTTTGTGTATTACTGAAGCGTTTTCCAATATATTTCAAAATGGCCCAATCTCGGTCTGTTTAATTTAGCCCTTCTTCACAATGTGTCCATGTCGATGCTCTATACAAGGATTCACTCGCTGGTGTGTACAAATAGTATTTCTGAATATATATATATATATATATATATGGGATGCCCTCTTTTTTGTATTGTGGAACCAATATTAAACGGATATGGTGTATGTAGCCAACGCTGCTTTGCGAGGCGCGCAGGTTGCCGCCGCGCACGGGGTGATCTGGGACCCTTCCATCGGGGTCACCCCTGCGTTCCAAGGCGCGGTCGTGTCCTCCGCCGTCGTGAGCACGCCGTACGACGTCCTTAGATGGAGATGTGTCTGACGGATCGAGTAGGAAAGCGTCCACCCGTCGCCACCAAACGTACCCGGCGGCGTGGTCGACTGAGGCGACGGTGGTTGCCCGTGCATTCGCGACGATCCTGCCGCACCCGACGCATGCGGTGGCGCACGGCGCGGCCGCCAACAAGAAAGACGTGTCCGTCGAAGAGTTTGTCAAGCACGTGAATGGATCCGCGGCACTCGCGGCGGCGCTCGCGCAACACGGCACCGCCCTCTCGTTCAAGAAGTAAACACTTAAGTCGGGATAAAATAGCCAACGACTTTGTACGAGTTTGTACTAATTTTAATAGTACTACAACGTAGTTACTATGAATAGTAGTAGTCATGAACCAAGGTTGATGTCAACGTAGTACCAAGGTTGATGTCAACGTAGTACATGAAAATTGATTTTACCCAAAATTTGGACTTTTGTGCGGATTCTTTGCCAAATCTATCGATCGATACTTTGTACTGATTTTTTTGTAACTATGTAAAAAGTTCACACTAGTTGAAATAACACACTATTTAAACGTTGATGATGGTTTCCTGCAATCTGATTGGCTAAATTCTTCAGTACATTTCGTTGTGTCGATTCATTCTCCAGTTTAGAATAAACATTACAATCCTTACTGTAGTATACGTATACTTCGTGGAAGTATGTAGTTATCCCACTTATATCGGTCCCAGTACGTACAATTTCTTTCAGCTTGTACATAATTCAACACTCAGATCTTAATTGGCAAAACCAACTGATGAGTATGGTGAAAATTGATCATCATTCCCCTTTTCTTTCTTGTCCACAAAGTTAGGACTAACAGCCGCCTGAATTAATGTTCAGATTGCTTGAGGAATTGGCTATTTAACAGTATGCCTACCACAGAGCCTTGAATTGATTGAAATACTCCCATATTAAATCCTAAAAAGTACTACAGTGTAGTAGTCTGGAGCACTGTACCAAGTAAGTGGGACAGAGGTAGTATGTACTACGATTAACGACGACGGCCTTGTCGCTTAGGCCAGCCACGTACAACGTACTCGCATGGTGTCCGACTTTATACTAGTTAGTAATACTACTACGCAGTTACTAGTAGTAATGAATGAATGTTTATTGAGGTTCCTTGGTCCGGCGGTTGGTGCTCTGAGAGTCACGGCGATCATGGCGTCGTCACGGTCGAAAATCCGTTTCTTCAGCTTTCTAGTCCATGCGCCGCTTGGTCACCGCAGCCATCTGTTGCCGTCTCTACCTCCGCGTCCGCTACGTTACACAAATGTCCTTGAAAGTGAATACTAGTATACTGTAGTAGACTATCCAAACTTGCTAAAGCTATGAAGTGGTATGTAGTTAGGAACATGTTGAATAATAAACGGTATTCTCATGAATTATTTGAATAAGTTATTTATTTAGCGCCTCAAAAAGAGTAAGTTATTTATTCGTCTACTCAAAAAAATAGTACTACACTATTGGAAAAGGAAATATTGCATTCCTCAAGTTCGAAAAAATAAGTACAGAATAAATATTTCAGAACCACTGGGTGGGACAATGAACAACACGGTGGGGGGCCGCTGTCGCCATTGATGAGCATGAGCACTTCCTGCCGTGTGAGGTCCACGTCACGTCCGAGCTCATCTGGACCTACACCATGTGGTTTCTCGTCATTCTCCGAGCATGCATGTGCATACCTCGGCGCCATCGACAATCTTGGTCGATTTCGATGCACCTCTTCACCATTGTGATAATCAGTATCCGGATGATTGGATATCCGGATACATACTTCCATCTATCCGGATGTTACGGTGGATGTGTCACACAAGATGGCGTCGCTCTTGCGGCATCGGTCGAGCAAGGAGCAGCAGTCGGCAGCCACGGTTCCTTCGTCGTCCAATGCGCCCAAGGCATGCCGACATGGTGAATGCTTTGAGGACTGACGACGTGGATATCATAGATTGTCCTCAGCGGGTGGATGCGCAAGCAAAAAGCGCATTTGAAGACGTGGAATCGGCGGTATGGACGCCCTTTGTTTCGCACGATCGTCATGCGGTCTCTGGTAGATTCTTCGCGCTGTCTGGCAGCACATTGTCTTATTATGACAGCGAAGACATCTCGGGGGCACCCCGCGGCGTGCTGGACGTGGCGTCGGTCCATCCGCTGCCGTCGGAACCGAACGGCCTGCTTCTGCACTGCAAGTCCAACAACCAACGACGGCGGGACGAAAAACTCATTTGCGACACCAATGTCGCGTACAACGCGTGGTTTGCGCTGCTGACCCGCGCCACGACCGCGGGTCAGTCGTCGTCGTCTGCATCTCTGCAGTTGGTACTTGCCTCCTTCTCCATCGATAGGTCTCCCTTCCTTTGTCTCATATGTGACGTAGCTCCATACATCATCGGCGTCTATGATGGACACCTCATCGTCGACTAACAGTGCCGCCTCGTCCAACAACAACGCAACTCAGCACTCTCCGATTGCATACCGCCCCAACCCCATCAAGATGGGCTACGTCCACGTCCACTACGCCGCGTCTTCGTCGAATGCTCCATCTTCCTCTCAGAACAATCCAGTGGGCGGCGGCGATGGAGTCCCCGCGGCCGACGTCGATGCATGGAATCGCTACTTTATCAAAGTCGAAGGCGACCTACTCAACTGCTACGCCGACGAGTCCCAGCAGCATCTCTACGTCAGCGGCATGGTACGCACCCCTGCTCATTCTGTTGCCGCCGCCTTTTCATGTTATGATAGTTATTGTCGATTTGATACAAATATGGGGAGGGGGTGCAATCGAATTTCGCCGACCAAACCGATCCACAATCGATCTGATTGGTTGAATTTCATTTAGAAGTTTTTGATTGGCTAATAAATTTGAGCTGATCTAGCCAATCAAATCGATTTAAAATCCAACGAGGACACAACACGAAATTTCACTCGAAAGCACAATATTTGGTTATTTGTTTTAAATGGTCAAATTGGACATGACTTCTAAAAAATTAAGTACGAAAGTCGATCATTGGCCGGTGCAATTTTTGCGTGTATGAATATTGGATATTTCGTTTATAAATATATATATAGATATATATTATTTTTCCACAACAACGGGCGCCTATATCATATGCTGCAACCCATGGTTGTTTATCCTGTCGTCGAATAGGTTGATATATTGTCCTTTTACTCAAAATTTGGCTGACTTTTGTGCGGATTCTTTGCCAAATCTATCGATCGATATACTTTGAACTGACTTTTGAATGTAAAGATCGTCAGTGCCACACTAATTTCAGTCACATACTACTTCAATGTTGAAATGGTGGAAGAGTGGATAATTTGATTGGCCACTTGGTTAGTGTTCTGGGTTTTGATTGGTGGATTTTCGATTGTCTGTCGATGTGGTGCTGCTCGTTCGATTGAGCTTCGAATCGACTTGACAATATGTATACTTCTGTAGGTGCGCAATGTGACACTGTTCGAAGGGCGCAAGTACGCGTTGACTGTGGGGCTAAACAAGGGGCGGAAAGTCGTGCTATGCTGCGACAGTATGGAGGAGAAGACCAACTGGCTGCTGACACTGGAAGGCGCGCTCAAGACGGCGTACAGTGTCATCCAGGTACAGCAGCGTCGCGGGGGCGGCGCGGGCTTGAAGCGGGCATCGAGGTACGGCCTGGTGATTTATATTGTCGTTTCTACTCAAAAAGTGTTGATTTGCCCAATGCATCGATCGACTTTTGCCCTGGATTTTGCATGTCAAACCATGTCAAGCAGGGATGTCCATCACACGAATTGAAGTCATACACTAATTGGCTGAACTGATGTTTTCCTGCAATCCGATTGGCTCAAATGCTTTTCTATCAATGCATCTGCCCATTATATCGATACACAGTCGGGCACGTGACTACTCCAGATTTGAATAAACAATATGTGGTGGGGGTTGCTCTAGTCACATTTACGACTTGGATTTGGCTCCAGAAGACCAGGCGGCCCCCGCGGGAGTGCTGCTATCTGGTCTCGAAGAAGTCAACAAGCTGCAGGGGGTGATGGAGCACAGCGACGACGACGGGGACGCCGCCGCCGCCGTGGCGGAAGACGGATCTGAAGCGAGTGGTGTGTGGATTTAGTTAGACGTCAAATAACGTAAATACTCGGACAATAATAACATATCGGTGAGAAAAAAAACCCAATTGAATTGTATCTTTCTATTTGTCAAGACTTGGTTTATATCTTCCATCCATCTACCCCCGAGCCAGCAACCGCCGCACGTACAGCACTTGGTACAGCGCCGCCCCGACCCACAAGGCGTTGGTGAGCACCGCGCCGACCACAAGGCGATCCTGGACGCTCTCGGCCGCTACATCCATCCAGTCGTCCCCGTGTCACATATAGTGTTACCACGTCACAGACGGAGGAGGAAGGAATACTACCGTCGCGACTGCGGCGTTCGTGCTGGATGATTGAGATGAGCTCGCCCTTGAGGTCCCACACTGCGTACCGAAAACGCCCAATCGACTGGAGCACAGGCAGCCCCAGGTCCTCCACAGACAGAGTCGGACGGCGGCGCCGGATGAGAAACGACTCAGACGGTGTCGCATATTCCCCATTTTTGCGAGCCCCCGCGGCGAGACGCACGTCGCCGTCCTCGGCCACTTGAATCTGGTTTCAAGTCGAGAGATGAGCAAGCACCCTCATAGATGTATATGTATGTACCTACAATGGTATATGATGTACTGACGGCATATACAACGTAGTTCAAGTTGTTAACGACATATATAAGTATATAAATAAATAGTCATAGATAGCGTGGATATAGTGGTATGTAAAATATACTCCAAGTATTGTGGATTCGATACGAATTTCCAGACCCTGTCCAATCGAATAATCTCGCCGGCGAATCGAATCATGAATCGACGCTATTGGCTAATCCATTTTTGATTGAATTTGATTGGCTCGAGGAGATGTATATTCAACCAATCAGAACTCTGGCGTGATTCAATATTTATTCGACAAACCAGGCGAATTTTGGAAGTTTATAGCGAATTCACAATACATATATAAACAAGTAAACGAAGAATAGAGTACTGTACCGAGAAGGCGACGGTGGAAGGAGATGTGGCGAGGTCGGCGTCGCCAGCTTGCTTGGCCAAGCTCTCGCTTTGGGCAGTGGCCGCTGTGGAGGCGATACCAAATAGATAAGAAATTATTTAATATATATATGAGGAGAATGTACCTCGAACGACGTCGGTAATGTCAAACAGGAGCGAGCCGCCCGTGGACGCCAACACACCGTGGTTGGAGATCAAGCGGTCATAAAACGACTCGATGTGCGTCGCCATGGACGTCCATCTAATAGGGAGTAAATAAATGAATGTGTTATTTAAAGCAAATTAAATGGATCCTCTATTTCTTGAAAACATTCAAGAGATATTTAGCAAAGTAATGAACGTACGTGGGCGGATGTACAAGGCGGTGGTCGGGGATGGCCGCCAGTGTGACTTCGATGCCCGGCTTGGAGGCAAAGTCCACTGCGAACGACGCAATCACTCTGTTTATGAAAGAAGAATGAATGTATGGGGAAACCAATGGAAGATCATTTAAATGAAATAAATAAAGAATAGATGATTGGAATGAATGTATGGGGAAATTAATGAAAACGAAGTAAATAGAGAATAGATGATTGGACCTAGCGTTGTCGTGGAGGGCGTGGAGAGATATCCCAGCAAACGAGTACTCGACGACTCCCATGGAGACTGGGACGCCCTAAGTATAATGAAGTGGTGGTGGTGGTGGGTCGCTGTCGTGATGCCACGTCAGGACAACGTACGCGTTCGGTGGCCAAGGTGAGCGTGGACGGAGACGGTTCGTCGGGTGTTTGCTGATGCAGCGTGGCCACCACCGTTGGATCTCGCTGTACACATCAAAGCTCCGTGAGGTAGGTGGGGACTAGCAACTGACGAGTCGCGCACCGTCAAGGAGCGGGTGCCGTAGGACACGACGTCCGCGACGTACAGCACACGTTGATGCGCCTTTGATCCAGCTAAGTCCATGGCGATGAGAGCTATTTGTGAGAGATGGAGACGCACGGGTGGATGTAAAGCAGAGCGAGTAGAGGCCCGATTCACGCAGTTGTAACGACGTGTTGTTGGCTGTGGCGTGTGCCCAAGTCGTGACGGGCACACCCGACGGGGATAGGAGCTTCACGTGGAGAGCGTCAGCGGGGCCGCGTGGCTCGAGCAGCTCAAAGTGGAGAAACAGGTCGCTGTGCAACGACCGCAGCACGATGTCTTCGCGAAAGCACTCCTGCGGAGGTAGCGATTAAGGTGGCATAACGACGGAGCGCAGTACCTCTTGGCCTCCGTACACGTCAAAGGCGAAGGAAGACCCGGCCGTGACGCCTCGGGCGGGGAGCAGGCAGCAGATGAATGCAAGGCCCAGCACCCCCCATGGCAGCCCAAGTGGCATTATCATCATTGTCAATTGTGTGTGATTGAGGTTTCACGACAAATCCGTATCCGGATAATTTCCACCGCAAACTGCTGGATTCGAATATTTCCACACGCGGCAGCATGACGCGAAGCATGTGGTTGATGGTCCTGTGGGCATGCGTGCTTGCGTTCCAGTCCACGTCGGTGGATGCAAGCTCGTACTTCGTCTTTGACCTGGTCGATACCGAGGAAGTAGGGAGGATGGGTTGAATGCCGAGTCCTAGAAGTTGCTCACGATGGCGATTGTGGTAGGATTGTTACAAGGAAGACGTGGTGTCCCGCTCCGTGAACAGCGACATCTTTCTTCACTTTGAGATCTTGGAACCACTTGCCACGGATGCGATCGATGTGCGGCTCACGTCGCCGTCCGGCCGCGACGTGCAAGCGTGGCCGTTGTCCAAGGGCAATCACTCGTCCATCCTCGTCCGCGAGTCCGGGCTGTACACCGTCTGCTTCACCAAGACAGGTATCCCCCTCCCTATGATCCCATGCTTCTTGGTTCGTCTTCATCGAGGGATCGATCGTCATAGCGTCGTCGAGTCGCCGGTTGAGCATCTTGTACGCGTTTGACCATGCCAGCATCGGTTCCCGCACCTTGACGGTACGCATGTGGCTGATAGTTCGTCCTATGTCACGTTTGTCCTGTTGATAGCGGCTCCCTGCGTCCACGTCCACCATCGTGCGCGCCAAGCCCGACGAAACTAGCTACACGGAGCTCAACCTTGAGACGTCGGCCAACGTACTTGATGCATCATCCTCATATTTCTTCTTGTCGTATATTCAGATATATATAAATATATATATATATATAGGGCGACGTGCAATCGATGGGACTGGTCCAGTTTCCCTTCTCCGGCGTGTCCAAGAGCATCATCCACGACAACACGCGGTGCGTCCATTGAAATGGAATTCCTATTTATTTACTATATTCTTTAAATAACTGAATAAATATATCACCATCTATTCACTACTCTCTTCATATTACAGGATCATGCTGAGTTTCTCGGTGGAATACGCGTCGGCGGCGGATGTGGCGGTGAGTGTCGCGCTGGTCGCGGGGGGATTGAAGCACCCGTCCACGTAAGTCGAGTGACTATATATATATATATATATATATATATATATGCTTTTATGAAATATATATCTATTTCGGTTGCTATTGTATATAGCTGGAATGCAATGGCCGAGCATGTTACTTCGTTCGTAGCCAAAGCCAACCAGGCGATGGTGGCGACCACTGGCGGCACCATCTTCTTTGACATCACCGACGACGTCACCGGTATAACAAAGTTGATATATTCACTCACTCCGCTTGTGATATATCGTTAGATAAAATATATTTTTATAAGAGATGTTCCTGCAAATATATATATATATATATATAATGAACACATAGACATGGAATATTGTGTCCTGAAATCTCTTTGCATATACTATGTTATTGTATACGTTGAGGAGAACGTTCGTGTTGTTTTCTGAAATCTCGTTTTGTACTGCACGTAATATTCATATACTAATGTATTTTTGCAATCTTGTTTCGTATATATATATATTGTGCTTTCGAGTGAAATTTCATGTTGTGGCGTGGTTTCTTGTTGGAATTTAAATCGATTTGATTGGCTACCTCAGATGAGCTCAAAATTATTAGCCAATCAAAACCTTCTCAATGAAATTCAACCAATCAGATCGATTGTGGTTTGGTCGGCGCGATTCGATTGCATCCCGTCCCCAAATTTTTTGTATCAAATCGACAATATAGATTTATATATTTCTGGTAGCGGCAATGCAAGCAGAAGAGTACCCGTCGATCGTGTACTCTGTCCAAGTATTGAATGGCAGCGCCCGGCTCACGGGCAACGCGCATGCGTTCGTGGCTCACTACCCAGTCATCACATTCGAGGACATTGGATTGGACGTGATGCGTGAGATCGGACACTTTCGGTACGCAGTGTGGGACCTCAAGGGCGAGCTCATCTCGATCATCCAGAACGAGCGCCACAGTCGCAATAGTAAGTCATAGATATATTTGGTGGACAGTGTCACATATGTACTTAGCGGCGGAAGCGGTCTTATCGCGCGTGGTGTGGGGCACCGTGCTCACGAATGTGGTGCTAGTTGCACTCGCCGTGGGCCAAGTGCTGTACGTGCGTACCCTCATTGGCACCGGCTACTCGTTCTGAACACTCCACATCGGGCCACCATGTAATATATGCAAGGCGCTTCGATTTGATCCTCGTGTATTCCAGAGGGATTATTTCTACCCGTAGATGATATATAGATTGCTCGAGTTGGCAATACTAATCGATGAAACGAATCAAATTTAAAAAATTATTATAAATAATAAAGAATTTTTTATAAAAAATATCAAAACATTTATTTCCTTATAATATACTTCTATATATATTGATTTCTAAAGTACCGTACTTTTGTCCTAACTTTCAGATAGTAGTACCGTTTGTTGAAACCATGTAATCGTCCTAATTTGAACAATCGATTTCAAGATTGTAATATTATTATTAATAGTACTAGAATTTATTTTCGATTGGATGGAATTCTATAATTATTGTCTTCACATTTTATATATTTCACATCAAATACAGTGATGGATACATTTGCTTTAGAGCTATTGTGAATTCGCTATAACGTTCCAAAATTCGCGTGGTGGTTTGTCTAATCCATATTGAATCACTCTGGAGTTGTGATTGGTTGAATATACTTGTCGTTTCTGTAAGAGCCAATCAAATCCACTCCAAATTGGATTAGCCAATAGCGTCGATTCGCGAGATATTCGACAGACCAAATATACCACAATACATCTCGTCCTATTGTCTGGTTCACTGTGTCGTGGATGTTGGACGCCACACAAACGCGCTCGATGCTACCGAATGACTTAGTATATTGACATAGATTTCGGCTTACCAATGTATTGGGGAGCCAAGTACGTTTGGCGGTTCTTTTGCATATACTTTAGGAACGCCGTCAGCGTGCCCTGGATGCGCAGCTGGTCCGACTGCGGCAGATCCAGTCCCATTTGACTCATGAGCAGTGGCAGCCGCACTACGTACAGTACGAGGTTTTCTACCATACAAGACCATCAATAGCAGTACCAAAGAGTCGGAGAAGGTGCTCGGCGCCGTAGATCGCGGCGGGGGCGGCGGCGGCGCGATCGGCGGCCGAGCTGTCGTCGGTCACGGTGGAAGAGTCGGCGATCTGGTCGTACTGGGCGCGCTCGTGCCGGTAGAGGAGGATGAGCGGCAGTGCTCGATTAAAGTACGCTTCGAGGCCTTCCAGCATGGGGCGGGTGATCTAGTAGCAGCGTTTCAATCGCAGCTGACGCTGGCTACGCACCTCAAGGTCGTGCTCTTTGGTGGCTTCGTGGTCGAGATAGTCGGCAATGACCTTCGTATGTGTGGAGGATGAGGAAGGAGGTAGAAAGAGCGCGGGCGGGTGGACGTACCGAGCGGACGCTGGGTACGCGGGGCATATCGATCCACTGCTGTTCTTGGGTGATCTTCTTCCAGTCGTCGATGAGGACCTTCTTGAGTGTCATGGGGATGGGAATCGACACTTGGACTTCCTGCACGACCTGCCGCTTGTGTAAGCATAGCATGTCCATGAATGCATGGAAGTACCTCTTCGAGATCCCGCGCATGGTCCTTGATCACCACCGAGTCGTCAAACGGGTCGACCACCTTGGACTTCTTCTTCATCACGCCTACAACACATGACGACATGCATGAGTATGGGTTCGTTCCAGAGTTGCGTGGGCCGTACCCGACGACGTAATGGTAGCCGTCGTCGCCTTTCGTTTCACCTGCGCACATCATCATTGGAGAAGACACAAGTCGTGTGGTTGGACGGGGTACCTGCTCCTTGGCATTCAAGCTAGCTTGCTTCTGGAGTTCGCGTGATTCAGGACTCGTGTCCAGCACACGATCCGAAGAGACCCATTCGTCCCACTTCTTGTGCCAGCCGTTGTAATGGACAAAGTAGTGTGGCACGTCGCCTATGCACAGACAACGGTCACGGCAAGGTCCGTCGTGGCACAGACGTGGAGAAGTTGCATGGACCCATACTGTTCTCGTCCAAGCGCAGGATCTTGGCATCGAAGATCTCAATGCCGTGCTTCACTAGGATGATATCATTCACGGCGAAGAGCGGCACATCAGCCGCGGCGAGTTTGGTCGATGGTTTGGACGCCTTCATTTCGCGCGAAAGTGACAAATTGGTGGGAAAGCACTCAAATGGCCAAAATGGATTTTATTACTGCTTACAAACACCAAGGTTACTTTAAACCATTTCTTAAATATTGTGCGAGGAACTTCTTTTACATTTTTATTATATTTCATGATAATTAAAATATGAAGCGCGAGTAGCTCAGTGGTAGAGCGTCAGATTGCAGCTCTGAGGGTCACTGGTTCGAACCCGGTCTGGCGCTTCCTTTTTTCTTTTTCACCTTGTGTGTCAACCACTGGGCTTCCTCAACGGTATCGCAGGTACAGTACTACCTAGTACTAACGTTAGTATTGTACAAGTACCTCACGGTAGAGGGTGCATGTTCTAACTGGTTGTTGCTATGTATCCCTGAATTGAGCACTTGTTTCAAATATGAGAAGCCCTTGGATGACATCCCGAGTTTGATGACAGTTATTAACGTTTACATACTAGTGCAGATTAATATGTTGGAAATTCTTCAGAGTGGCTACGTTACATGTGAAACCCTCCCCGCTATGAAATCACCTTATGCCAATGGCTTGACTGTGAGTAAAATCACGTCTCCAAAGTCTTCCCGTTGACACGAAAAATCAATGGGACATTTGACTCGAGTGTCGTTTGACACGAAATGATGGAATTTTATGATGGAGACATACCATACCGTACATAATATTCGGTCTTAATAACTGCCCTAGGTTCTCGTGTTCACAATAACTACCAATGTGGCAGAAGAAGAAGAATATATCATTGTATACTTCACTTGCCGTTTGTATTGACAATTAAACATATTTATTTCATTCCCATATATGGTCAAAATATCTGATTCCCCAATTGATTCAACCTTTTTTGAACTCCCCTGACCAATACTACTGTAGTAATACCAGGGTAGTTATATTGTGCGTTACAGTACAGGAGTGATAGTTGCAGATAGAACGTCAGCATGTGTCGACTACCATCTTCAGTTATGTATGGTGATCGAGTCGGCAGCCACATGGCCCGCTTTTGGTCCTCCACATGAGTAGAAGGTCCATCTATATACCGGTATGCGATCACAAGACCATTCATTTGATGGACGGGCGACCCATCGAATTGGCACAGTTACATCCGATTCAGAAGAATTAACCAGACATACCTTACCAATGAACTCGAATCCTGAGCACACGGCCTCAACGTTGCCGACATTGGACGCCTTCTTGCTCACAGATCTACGGGACGCCAAAGTTCTGGTCCAGTTTGGTGGCCAAGGAAGCGGATACCTCGGCGAACTCGCGCAACTGGTGAAGTCGTTTGAGACCGTGCGCGACTTGGTCAGCAGGGCTCAAGCAGCATTGGAACATAACGTTACTGCATTGGCCAACGAAGCTTCGTGTATCCTGCACTCACTCCTATTGGCCGATCACGAATTGATAGCTCGACTGTCGAAATCCGCTTTGTCCCGGGCGTGTGTGAGCTACCCGCTGGTGTTTTTGACGCAGTTGGCATCGTACGTGGCCTACTTGGAGACTGGGGGATTGACCCATCAACGCTTTCTTCCCACGATCCGAGGAGGAACTGGTCACAGCCAAGGCCTCGTAGCTGCAGTGCTTCTAGCAGCCGCCACCACACAAAACGAACTCGTGGAGCTGGGACTTCAGTTCGTGCAACTCATGCATTATCATGGCGTCCTCGCCCAAGCAGCCTTCGATGCCGTCAACGACAGAGTGCCCAAAGTTGTCGGCACCGTGGCGACCCCCATGCTCTTGGTCCGAGGTTGGTCAGAAGCATTGCTGAGTGGGATTGTGGCAGAATTCAATCTCGATACAGCACCCCACAACCCCCCGGTCGAAATTTCTCTAGTGAACGACGCCACCTCGATCGTCGTTACGGGGGTTCCTACGGCGCTCCATCGACTGTACGCAACCCTGGATGGCAAGCAATCCGTCGCCGTGGCCCCCTTTCAGTTGGAATTTCTACCCGTGTCCTGTCCATTTCACAACGACATGCTCCGTGCTGGGCAGAGCTCGATTGAATCGCATGCGACTGCTCTGGGCCTTTGTGTGCGTGGGAGTGCCGTGCAATTTCCAGTCATTGGAACCACCGTCCAAGGCGTGAATTTCCAATCGTATGACGACCGAGACATCGTTCCAGACTTGATTCGAATGCAACTGTCCGATGCTATCCACTGGCCAACGGTGTCGACAACCCTTCACTCGTTGGTCGGCCAGTGCATTGCTTTGGACTTTGGGCCAGGGCGAAGTCTCCCCCTTGATCTACCGAACCCGTGCATTCGCGTCAGTGGTATTCTGCACCAGTCCCCCAGCACCACCACTGCACTGAAGTGCCAGCAAGAGACACAACTCGCCACAGCGTGGGCGGGCTTGTTGAACGTGAACGTAGCCTCCATTGGCCGAAAGACGTCGTTCTTTACACTCGGAGGCGATTCCATCTTAGCCATCCGAGCTGTTGGTTCATGTAAAGCCATCGGTCTTGACGTCACGATGTCACAATTTCTGCGCGATCCGACAGTCAAAGGCGTTGTGCGGGCTGCAAACTCAAGGTTGTCCAGCGCAAGTATCGCGTGGCCCCGTGTGGTTCTGGGCGAAGCTGTGATTGCATCCGTACAGCTCGACAACAAGGACGATGTTGTCGTGTACCCAATCACGCCAATGCAAGCAGGCATGCTATTGGCCACGCTGTCCAACGCAAGCGCGTACGTCCTCCAAGTGACGTTCAAACTGACCAGCGCATCCACCCAAGCGCGTTTGGCGACTGCTTTTGAAACTGTCGTACAGCAAAATTCACTTCTTCAAACGACGTTTGCGACCTCCGATGGCGGCATCGTCCAGCTTGTCCCCCAGCGGCCCCAGGACGCGATCGTCCGTGACGTGGCAACAGTGTCGTTGGCAGAGTACTTGGCGTCGGACTTTCGTCGGGGATTCCATCTCGAGGACAAGTCCTTCATCCGCCTCGCCTTGATCAGTCCGCCTGACGAAGCGCTGTGTTACGGAGTCGTGACCGTCCACCACGCTATCATCGACGGGTGGTCCATCAACTCGTTTCTGACGGACATCATGGATGCCATGGACAACAACCAGTCCGTGGACCTCCGGCCGGCGTTTCAAACGGTGGTGGAGTACATTGAAGCCCAAGATAAGGTGGCTACAAAGTGTTTTTGGTCGTCATATGTTCAAGGCGTTGTCCCCACTCCCATCGGATCTGCCACGCCAAAGTTCATTCAAGTAGACTCGAGTGAACAAGTTCCCCTCCAGGTTGTCTGCGCTGTGTCCGTATCCCGCCTCGCTCAAGTCGCTGGTCAACTGGGAGTGACTGCGTCGGACTTGGCCAAGTTCTCGTGGGCCGCCACGCTCCGCAAGTTCACTCGACAACACGACGTTGTGTTTGGCCAAGTGCGATCGAATCGAGGCATTCCTGTCCACGGAGCAGAAAGGTACGTCTCACTGCGACATCCACCTCTGAAACTTGTGCTTTTGTAGAATTCTGGGCCCGTTGTTGAGCACAGTGCCGTGTCGAGTGACGTTTGACGACGAATTGCCCCTGACGCAACTGTTGCAACGCTGGACTGCCGCGAACCACGCCATGTCTGCGTATTCCCACGCCAGCCTCGTGGACATTGCGAAATGGACAGATGGCCAGCCAATGTTTGACTCGTTGTTTGCGTTTCAGCAGTGGCCTGCACGGCGACCCAACGTGGCTGACGTCGACATCATTGAGACGTGGAAACACAAGACCCAAGTGGCCCAGCATTATGCGTTCGAATTGCTCGTGGAACTACCCAGAGCGGACAAGGGCTTGGTTGCGATGGCCAGTTTCCAGCCAGATAAACTGTCGTCAGCCCAAGCGAGAGCCATCTTGCACGAGTTTGACTACACCCTGACCCAACTGTGCAGTTCGGACGCCCCGTCGACCTCATTGGCCTTGTGGACTTTGTCTGAAGCTCAGACAGCGCTCATTCGCAGCGCATCGTTTGGCCCGACGGTGCCGTTGCCGTTTGAGCTGCTGCACCATGCGTTTGAAGCCAGAGCTGCGAAACACCCCGACGTTCGAGCGGTCGAGTTGGACGGCCAATGGCTGACCTATGGGGACTTGAACGCCCACGCGGATACGGTGGCCAGCCAGTTGGCGGAGCTGGGCGTGTGTGTGGGGAGTCGCGTGGCGGTGGTCATGGACAGATGTCTGGAGTTTCCCATTGGGTTGTTGGCGACGCTCAAGGTGGGAGCAGCCATGATGCCGCTGGACGTGGCTTTTCCTGTTGATCGATTGGCATTGATGCTGTCGGATGCTGGTGTGAACGTCGTCGTGTCGACGGATTCCCATGCTGGCGAATTGGCCAGTCTCATGGGG